GGCTTTGGACATCCTATGGTCCTGCCGTTATGGGAGGATTATCAAAGTCTTTCATGAAACCTAGTTCCTCTCCCGATGCTGCTGCAAAGCAGGCTGCATATGCTAGTGGTGCTGGCGTCAATCATGACGATGGACAGGCCCCTGAGGCACTCTCAGAGTCCACTTAAAAGTTGATTTTGTTGAGGTATTTCTAGTCTATCAAGCACGGATTCTGATTTATCTCTTATCTTATCATTTCAACAAGAATGGGTGGTATGTGTATAAGGTAGACAGTGCGTACTATACAATGTGCATCCAAAATGTCAGGTTCGTGATTAGTACTGCAAAATAAGTTATGATCCAAGTCTGTGGCGCCTAAAAGACGTTTCAACGTCGGCACTAGTATATTCCAGTGAGACGCCACTATCCGCATAACATTGCGAGATCCGCTTGTTGAAGTTCTCTGTCATTCTTTGCAATTCCTCTTCACAAGTTTTCCACACGCCGACCATGACCGTGCCAGGAGCAATGCCGCTGCTTTCTTCCTTTGTCGCCTTCTCTTCAGCTTCAGTAAAATGTTTCTCGACGCGCTTGAATAGAGCATCAATATGCTTGCGGATGTCTTTGCCATCGAACTCCTTGACAACTTTCTTTAGCGAGGATCTGTTGTAGTTGCTGTTCTTTGAGACTTCTGTCGGGGCAGTAGTCGTGAGCAACCGTTCGATGCCGTCGAAATAGTCCTGCGTAGAAGGCAAAAATCAGAAAAGTGGCGATGAATGAGAAAGAACTGCGTACGATGATCTTTGCGAAAGGTCGTCTCAGGACAATCTTGACATAGGCGTTCAGATTCTCATTGTAGATCGCCTCCGCTTGTTTCGGGAAGCCAGAAACCGAGCCTACATCCAGCTGAGACATTTCCGCAACAAAGTAGTGCATATTCTCTGCAAGCCGACGTTTAACAAACAATGGGAGGTGTATCAGCTCACTTACCAACGAGCAGCACATGATAATTCAGCTGGCCCTTGTCTTCATCATCACCGTCTAGGGTAGCCATGTGCTTAAGACATTCAAACATGCTATGCACGATCTTTTCATAAGCTAGATCAATATTGGCTCTGATCTCCAAACCATCCGCGCCAATTAGTTGCTGTTCAATACGACTGACATAAATCGGGAAGTATTTCACGAAATGAGCGACCCCTTTTCGCTTCTTGCTTGTGAGTTTAGTTTCCTCGATCATCTTGATCTGTTGATTCTGCAAACTTGTCATGAGCAGCAGCAATTTAATAACAGAAACGACGGCTTACAATATGACGATCGAAGGATCCCTTGAGCCTAGTGTGCTGCTTTTCCAACATTTGCAGAAAAAACGCATTATCACGCTCATCCGCATCTGCTACAAAGCGCTCCAAGCAAACTAGGACTCCGACCACCTGACTACCGGCGGAGTGAGCAAAGCTTCTCCATGGGAAAATTATGCAATACGTACAGCGTATCTTTGGCAATAGCGGAGTCAATCCATTGCTTCAACTCGGCAGGTAAAAAGCCGAAAATTAAGTCCATGGCACCACGTGCGAGCTTCATGGTTGTTTGGCTCAAGCCTGCGCTTCGCGCAGCTTGTCGCCTGAAATAATTGTCCAGCCCAGCATAATCAGCAAACGTAAGACCAGCATCATTGATTTGCAGGAAATCTGCAATGAAGTCTCCTTCCCGGTAGATTTGAGGGGCAATTTGCTCCAAAATGAGACCCAGAGCCTGATACTGTTGTGAGTCAAGACTAGCTGGATTAGATATAAGCGCACCTCTGGTGCACGATACTCGTCCGCCTGCCTCTCCCTGTCTTTATTTCGATCTTTTCGTCCCTCGATAGGCGAACGGACTATGGTTCCAGCACGACGAATTGATGCCTTTTGACTGTTTTCATTAGCCGACCCAAAGTCTATCTCAATATGAGCCAAAAAAAATGCTGAAAAAGGGTCGATCACAAACTCTGGTCGGCATCTTCGTCTGGTGTCCTCTTCAGCAGTCCCGCGTAAATCGAGAGTAAATGCCCCATCTGTTTTTTGTGAAGTTCACTGGTGGCCGAGAAGTATGCCTTGAGATAAATCCGTCAATAGGAGTTGCAGGTACTGGAATTCCCTTACCCCACAGAATCTTGAATATACACTCTCATCCATCTCCTTCAGGTAGAGAAGCAGTCCTGCGTAACGACCGAGGTATGTCTCCATGCCTTGGTGGCTCTTGATAACCGGGCGTCCTCGACCAGGCTTGGTAATCCCATTGTTTCCATCCAGGATAATTTCCGCCTACATACGGAATATAAGTATCATATTCATGGCCACAGATAAACAGTTAACCTGTGCGACAGACATGATTGATAGATAGTCATAGATACGTTTACAGAACTGTGCATTGTGGGTCCTGTATTCGTCTAATCGCTCCATGGTAGCAGCCATGTCTGTGAACAGTGAAACCTTGGGAAGAAACGCCAAAAGATACAAACATACCAGTGTCTTGACCAGCTTGGAGAGCTTTATAAAGTTCTGTGGCCGCTGTCTCTAATTTATGTATCCCGGATGCCTTTTCAAGGGATTCCTGAGTGAGTGTCACCAGTACTTCACGGTCTACTTGGACAGTTTGCTGTCCTGGCATCAGTATAATGTGTGGTGGCAGATTCGGAAGAACGTACAAGGAGATTTTCGAGCTCGCTCAACAAAGCACGTTGATTTTGTGTCTGAACCTGTAAGCCGCGCCGCTGAGATTGTATGAACGAGATATCGTCCCCGACGGCCTGCGGTCATATATTTTAGTGTGTGATGCAGCCGGTTTGATGACAAGGTCTAACGTTCAAATGAATTTTGTATGATGAAATCAAGCTGTCCATTGCGTCAACTTCAGTGATAGCTTCATCCAGGAAATTCATGACTAAAGCCACACGATCATCGGACTCCACGAAGGAGTGTACATTGGCCTAGAATGTGAGTTAGTAATCAAGAAACATGAGGCTTCTCGGAAGCCTGGTTCACCTTCTCGAGGGCTATTAACTCGTCTAGCAGACGGGCCTCGACCAAGTCTGCTGCCCCCTTTGCGTTCTTTTTCCCAAATAAGTCGTCGCCGGCCCACTCAAATCCCTCTAACATCTCCTCTACACTCGCCATTGTAGCCTGTGAGGTCTCCTCTTCACCTACACTCCCATTATCTGGGTAATCTCCTGCTACAAGCCTATCCAAAGCAGTTTGATTAAGAGGGTCAAAGAATGATACCCGATTGTTATGCTCCCGGCGAGGTTGCGGAGGTTCTGGGGTAGGTATGGATTTGCTTGAAGGCAGCTTTTGAGATCTTTGAGATCGAACAGAAAGCGGGGACTCTGATCGAGGAAGCTGGGCAACTGCTGGAGCGGCTGAAAGCGGACTCGGCGCGTGGACAAATTCAGCAGAAGGGCGAGATGCAGCGAAAGGGTAAATCTCTTTGGGAGTACGTAGAGGCGACGCAGAGAGAGGTGCACGAGCTGGTACAAGGTTTGCTGGCAAACCATTCGACGAAGTGTTTTGTGGTGGCGTTGCATTGGATAGACGGCGAATAACTCGCGGTCGAAGTGAACTTGGTAGACCGGATGGAGCGGTCTGCGGTTGCCCTTGTAGCTGAGAGGCTGGTGATGGGGAAGGGGGTCGGATTACGCCTAAACTGGAATTATTCTGAGGTGGATTACTAATATTGGAACCAGCAGGAGAAGGAGCACGGGATGGAGGTCTTGCGACTTGAGTGCGAGTAGGGAGCTCCGTACGCATACCTGGCTGTGGTGTTCCCGCTCGCGAAGTTGCAGCTTGTCGTCTCGCTGGCCCAGGAGTTACGTTCAAGTCAGTTTGCGGTGCTTGAGTGACCTGAGTTTCCGAGGATTCAGATGCTCCATTGGCTGGTAATAAGGGTCAATAGCAAGCGTGGGTGAGGACCCAGTCATCTTACCAGGACCTGGCTCGTTTTGTCGCACTCCGACCAGATGTAGTGTACCAGTGCCATTTGTGACGATGTAAAACAGTTTCACTGCCGCGGAAATGAAGTTTGCTTGATCAAGATGGTTTTCGGTCTGCCATTTATATGTACGAGCCAGTGTGATATTGAAGGATGCTGGCTGCGTAATTGTCAGGTGTGTGATTATGCTTATTCTATGCTTATACGTACATTCGAAACCTCTATACCACGCAGCTCGGAGAGTTTCCATGTCTTCCCTACGGAGAATGAGCCATTTGTGTTCAGCTTTGACTTGTGAAGGAAACCAGTTCCATCGCTACCCTCTGAATAACTGTTGAAGCAATCCCAGAAGACAGATGATAATGACATACGTGACAGCAAGATATAGCGCGGCTTTTTCCCAGAATCTTCTCCTGCATCCTCCCATATCTTTATGTGACCAACATAAGTCTCTTTAATCGCAGCACCTGTGTTGCGCTTATCGAATACTGAAGCGATTATGCGTTGTTTTGTGTGATCATGATCGGACATTGCTGCCAGAGTCCCCTCGTCTCCTCTAAATTATTAATTGATTCGGGAAAGTGGTTGTTTGGTTTTATTGACTAAAGGCTTCAATAATCCAGAAAAGGACCACACATAAGAGTCAAGAAGGCGAGTTCCGGCTACCGACCACCCTTTACTATCGACTTCAGCCAAGAGTAAGGACGTCTGGTCCCCATAGACTTAGCCATAGCGGCATCTGTCATACAAGCAGTAGTCATTCCTTTCTTAAACATCAACGATCTGCCCTCCGAAACAATATCTGGTTTGGACCACTCCTCACAGCGGCACCACAATAAAGAAGGTTTGTCTTACCTGCACCGAACACCAGTGGATCAAGCGTCGGTATTTATTTCAGGCAGGTATCTCTTCATATCTCTCTCTCGTAAATAACCGAGACAAGTTCATCCCTTATATCCCGTACACCATTGCAAACAGATCACTGATGAACACATCACACACAGGCTCGTCTACAACAGCACTCTCAAATTCACCCACTCTGTCTTTCCGTGACAATCTTTCCTCCTTTGATGGTCAGGAAGATGGATCTGCAGTCGATAGTCCCGTCTCGTCATCCTCGTCGCGGGAACCGTCTCTAGATGTTTCAGCAGATGATGGCATGGATGTGGAGTCTGCGAACCCACCCATGGAGGCCGTCATACTTTCAGAGGAGTCTGTTCCGCGACGTACTTTAAGGAAACGAGTTACGACGAGCAAGGGATCACCGCTGCGATTCAAGCCCGCTTCCGTTTCTGCCATCACAGCACGTCATGGGACTACTTCCGAAGACAATCTCAAGAAGAAAGCATATAAACAAGCATTTTTACAATCTGCCGCCCGTGCTCAAAGCGAGAGAGAAATTAGAGTGCGGGAACTGAAGAAACGCGCGTTGGCAATCACATCTACCGGAAAGACTCCCGCAACCTCACGCCAACGCCTCGTAATGCAGATGGTTTATGATGAGATCACCCCATACCCTGACGAAGCTTGGGTATCCCAGCTAGGGGTCATCATAAACAGGTTCGTTGTCAGTGTCTCATTTTTGCCGTATTGCCTAATATCGCCATTCATAGGGAATATCACCAAGTTAAGAACTGGTTTTCCAATCAACGGCAGAAAGACGCTAGAGATTCGCGGCAACACACACCTCAGCCCGCTGCTCCTGCCAGTCTCGAGGCATCTTTATGCAAGATTACATGCGACGGACGTGATTTGCGCTTGCGCACTGCTGCACTGAATTCATGCAGGGCAGAAGATTGGTCCGATACCTTCTTTGATGAAGTGGTCATGATTTACAATTTCCGTCTTCTTGCAAAGCACAGTCAAGAAGAAGCAATGGCAGCTCTCGTTGAATCTGAGCCTGATGTGGCTATACCCTCATAGCCTACCACCGTCTATTACCTTTCATCTCATCTCATCCCTCACTCTTACTGTATGCAGCTGTAGTACTCAGACGCTTTCTGTACATTCTAATCGTGGGTATACGTACCTGTTATCATATGGTCGCCGTTAATGATGAACAATAACCAATCATGAGCTAGCTACAAACGCCCAAAACAAGCACATTGCGTCAAGTATCTGAATGATTGTTTGGCAAAGGCTGATAGTGAGAATCCTGCTGCCTCCACCGGGTAAATAATCCCCTGTGATTACCATCGCCCGACGTCCCCTTGACTTCTCCCGCTCGTAATACCTCATATTTCTTCCCTCTCCAAATCACCTCGTTACTAAGCATAGCCAAGAACCAGATTGGCAACGCTAGAAGTTCGCGCAGGCACCATGCAGTGATGAACGACCATCGTCTATCTGCTGGAAGAGGATGACCAGCGAGTGACTCGTAAACGTCTAAATCTACCCAGAGCCAAGCTGCATGGTGAACCACAAGAAAAAGCCATATTGGAACGCCGAAAAGATACCGCAAACTTGCAGCAGCGATGGAACTGGCGACAAGATTTTCGGTAAAGGGCTCCATGATTGTTGCCGCAAGAATCATGTGCTTGCGCACTCGAATCCAGCGCACTCGCCTCCACATGTAGTCCGATAAGGACATTTTCCCGATCGCGTTATGCGCCACGTCACACGATAAATCATGGCGGAGATCCAGCTCGTGCCATAAAGCACTGGCAATCATGTTATCTTCGGCTAAAAATTTCCCGAACGCAGCAAGGCCGCGAGTGCAATCTTGGTCATCGTCTGATTCCGTGTGCGCTCGAGGCTTCAGTGAACCGTTTACGCGCTCTAGATCAGAGCGCCGGTAGAGGTTTGATTTTCCAACAACACAAGATTCGATAGACACAGTGTTGATTGCGAGATACATCTTCGCGTGATTGGTATTGAGGAATGCTTCCTCAATTCTTGAACCGAGAAACCCTTCTGGAGCAGATACAAATGGGACGTGATGCACGAGCGCAACGCGCTTTTTGGGAGGTCTTGCGTGCGTGGATGACTCGAGTAAGTCAACGGAGCGCGCAAGTGTGCCAGGTGCAACCGAGATACCTGAATCGATGACCCAGAGAATGTCGTGGGTAGCTTCACGATATGAACGAATGAGGTTGTTTACTTTCGGGTTAACCCCCACTACCTCTTCTCCTGAATTGCCTTCTTCAGCTGAGCTGTCAACATTGCTCACTGTAGACTGACCTATTATTATCCTGGCAGTAACCCTGGGGTATTTAGAAATAAGATCTCTCGCAACCGGAAGAGCTTGGTCTTGCTCATCAGCGACGGACAACATGATTTCGAAATTGGGGTATTCTTGCGTGAACGTAGATTCGAGATTCTCATATAAGTTGGCATCCAGGCCTTTCAGTGGTCGCAGGATAGATACACCAGGAACAGAATCTGGCGGCGCCGTTGCAAGTGGAGACCGCGGTCGAATGCGGTACCTTCTTCGGCTGTTGGCAAAGTCCTTCAGTGACAACTGTCGTCCAGTAATAAGCAACACAATTGCTCACCCTGTTCTACATCCCAGGAGACCGATGCTCCATAAAACTACATACCACGCGAGCCCGATGATAGCAAAGATGATAGGAAATAACGAGGAATTATGGTCAGGCCCCGACTGAGTTTCCATCGGTACTGTGTTACAGTGTGTAAAGCAGAGTGCATGACATAATTACGGAACCAAAAATTAGGGTAATTTTGTCTCTTATTATACCCGAAGCTCATCATGATCTAGGCCAAATAGCTCAATGGTATTCTTGTACACCTTTTCTGTCACCTTCTCGAACGGGACTCCTTCATTGAGCCTGTGTATGACCCATGCAACACCTCCAATCGCACTGGGTTCGTTTCTCCCTTTCACTGGCTTGCCCATCATGAACGACGGTAATTTAGTGCTGGAAGGGAAATACTTTGACTTTAATGACACCGGAAGCGTCTCTAGCAAGGTATTTGACGCATGTGTTGAAGTCATGGAGCACCAAGGAGCATCTAACATCAAACCATTTTTCAGCACCCTCCACAACTGCAATGTCATCGAAATTTGACCTGTTTCGAGTAAAAGCTTGTCCGGTCGAATTGCCTTTGCAGCTAGCAGGTTTTTCTCTGTTTTGAGGGAGCACCCGTTGACACTGATGTGATAATATCAGTGTCAGAATCCAATGCTAACCCTTTAAAACCACACCTTATGTGGAAGCCCATGTCCATCTGTGCATCAGAGTCAGCGCAATTTGAAGGATGATGGACTGTGAACTCACGAGCTCGATGACCTCTTCAACCGAACCTGTGAAACTGTGAACAACTCCCTTTCTCTCTCCATCCTCTCCGAAACCTTCCTCACGAAGGATATTCACAAAGTCTTCGTGGGCTGCACGGGAGTGAAGGAACAGCGGTAACTTGTACTTCTTGGCAAGAAATAGCTGTGAGCCTGTACCGATACAAGGTATCACCCAGCATACAACAGTTAGCTTGAAACAAAAGGGATCCGACGTTCCACACATACGGAAGTGTCTTCGCTGTACGTCTTCCGGTGCAAAATGCGTGCGATCGTAATCTGATGACCTCGATAGCAATGATTTGCATGCAGATATCGTGTAATATTTAGACATACCCAAGCCACACTCGCCAATAGCAACAACTCTGCCTTTACCGTGGAGATTTGCACTTATTAGGCTATCCAGCGCCTGAAGGTAGGCCTCTGGACCGCCTGGGTACTCGTCAAATTCTTTTGAACGGGTTGGATGACATCCCACTGTTGCAAAAAAGCCTTGTAAAAGCAAGGCAGCACACGATAACATTAGGGTGTAAATAATTCTGGTTTTACGAGATAGTGCGAACCAAGTTGAGCAGCAAGAGACAGCGCAGTTTCTGATTCTCGAAGGCTTCCGCCTGTGATTACCATAGATTGAACACCAGCTAGCCGTGACCTATCCAGCATTGCTTCAAAGTCGTCTGCAAATGACTATTAGCACGGCCCAGAAACATTGAAGTTCACGATGGACCTTCGTGTTTTTTTTTACCATGGTGAATGCCATGAAATACAGCATCCGTCAGATTAACTGTTAGATGAGAACATCAAGATCGTCTTATAATCGAGTACTGCCCTAGTCGATGGTTCCTCACCTCCGATGTCTATGATGATTAGCCATATCAATACGACCAGCAGATGCCAGACTTAATTATCAACTCACCTATGAATCTGAAAGTCCCCGATAACTCGGCGGGCACTGGCTTTGATGGTATAACGGTAACAGACATGTCTATGTTAGGTACATGCGCAAGGAACCCGCGAGAATAATATCTAGCTAGAGATATTAGTAGATATAGCATTGGTATTTTGTAAGCCCAATATTAATTCTTCTTTATTCAGAGGGGACTCCCCTGTCCCAACTCGCCCGAGGCTCAAGACATGAATGCCCTGTGGCAGGTGTGAGGCCCCCACATCAGTTTCGCCGCTTCCGTCCATTTTAGACATGTTCTTACATCGAAGATGAGATGATTTGTATACTACAGTCGCACGATAAATAGAGAATGTCTATCGTTTACGCGGAATAGAGTGCCTGAAGCGGTGATAACAACAGAGAGAAGAAATAAATGGGTGAACCAGGATTAGCAAAAGGTCCGAAGTCTCTGATATATTCATGTCTGTCGCTCCTCTTGACGCATGGTCGACGATCACATGCAGTTGGTTTCATCAAAACTCAACGCGTGCTACGAAACAATAAACTCCGACTACTTGCAAAATAACCAAACACAACTATGCATCGGTGTTGCTACTTCCAATTGCCCTCTTTCGCGCTTCACCGCCAAATATGTCCCGAACCATCCCCGAGAAGATGTCCTTTATCGCTGCACGGCTCTCCCACAGAGGTAGGATTGATGTAATACCAGCAGCCACGAAGAGCCACGCGACACAGATGATAATCCAACCCTTGAAAAAGTTCAGAGAGAACACGTAGTGTGATAGGAACATGGGTATCGGTATAAGCTGTGTTCAAGTTAATCACCGAGCATCGACACATCATTTACACTCACGAAAAGTACGATGAATGTCAGTATCAATGCTGCCCAGGTAGCAACCTTGAGTGACTTCTGAAGCTCGGCGGATTCCTCAGCTGGGACATCAATCGTTGTGTCGTCTTCCGCCGATGCCACATCTGCCGTGGCATCTTCTTGTTTCTCTTTCTCGACAGGTGAGTTGGATCCAGGGCCAGACGCAGAGTCCGGTAGGGTTGCTCGCTTTCGATCCATCTCTCTTGCTCTGGGATTGATTCTTTTAGTAGCAGACCAATCGAACTCGTTGTCAGGTTTAATGAGAGTGACGACAGCGGAAATGATAGCGCCCGAGCAGCAAGCGCCCAGGTTTCCAGCGAGGTTGGGATACATTAAGCCTTGTTCTTCATCAGCATAGAACACGGTGTTTGCAGTGAACAAGAGCTTACCTGTGGTTGCGATAGTCAATTCACCGTAATATGTTTTTGCAACTGACAGCCATGCAATTATGCCAACCACTACTCCTCCCAATGCACCACTGATGGCAGCCTCTTTGGTTTGCTGGCGCCATACCACACTAAAGATGACTGGGCCAACAGCGCCAGTGAATAGAGTCCCCGAGAATAAGAATAGCCAGTTCAAAGACACTCCTATTCCGATCCACAATGAGGCAACACACGACATTACCAGAGCCCATACTGCGACCATTATGTGAGATACACGTATAAGAGACTCTGGTGATGCCTGGGTATCATCATCAATATTCGTTCTTGGTAGCAATCAGTTTCACGTACATCAGGCTTAAAGTGGATCTGATACAGATCAAATGTAAGAATGGACGATGTCGCAATCATCTCAGAAGATGCAGCTGAGGTCACTGCCATGAAAAGCAGTATCAACTAAATTACCAGCTGTTATTCAATTGTAAGTGAATGGGAAATATGTAGCTCACCATAGCTGCTGCACCACCACTACCCAATAGTGTCACTACACCAGCGGGAGCAGCTAGGCCAGCATTAATCTCCGCTGCTGTAAGCCCACCAGGGTACGGGAAGCTGGGACCTAGAACGTCATCAGATAGTCACGATTTTAAATATATGCATTAACCTCACTTTTGGCAAGCGCGACAGCAGCAAGACCCATGATAGAGGAGAAGGTAAGAGGTACAGCAAACCAGGCAATACCGCCCATCAGATAGGCTTGGACAGCAGTCTTTGCCTCTGATGCGATTGCACGTTGCCAGTAGCCCTGTTTATGATATTAGCAAGTGTCTACTTTTTACGGTACCAAATAACGAGCCTGATCCAGCATGACAGTACCAAATCCACCAGTGATCTGAATGATCATAAATGTAAGTCCATCTCGAAAAAAAACGTCAAGTCAACGTCTGTAAAAGGGTGAGAGAGACAGCTTACAGTTGGACTTCAAGGTTAAGTATGAGCCATCTTGGTTTCCGGCTACAGGTCGTTCAATGCTCGCTTGTTGCAACAAGTTATACATTCCCTCAAAACCGCCGACGAGGTCTGCTTTTGTGTATGTCCAGAAGAAGAAGTAAAATATAAGGATCATCAAGATGAGTGTATGTGAGTAATCGCCTGCAATAAACCCGAATCAGTGTGTTAACTCAGGAGGAATTTCCGATCACCGACATAGGAACGTGGCGCGAAGACCCCCAAGGATGACATAGATACAGACTCCAAGCGGAATGAGGAAGTTGGCGGCATAGATGTTCATCCCAGTGAAGGCATTGACAACTGCACTTCCACCAAGCAGTAACATACTCGAGACAATAAGATTGACGACCAGTCCAAAAGTCGCGAACATGAAGTGTGCTGTATTACCGTAACGAGCGTGAACAATCTCGAGGAAGGTGTGACAGTATGGCGCGATCTGTTTAACCCGCACGGCGAGAATTGCCATAACGAATATTTGAATCGTAGCACCTGCTGCATAATAATAGCCAGCACATAAACCATACTCGTAGGTCACTGTGGAGCTTTGTAAAAGTGTTGCCGCCCAGGTCCATGCCGACACGATGCCAGAAGCAATAAGACCGGGTTTGACGCTGCGTGACGCTGTATTGAACTCCTCGGAAGTAGAGATTTTGTAGGTCGTATAGCGATTTTGAAGGGTTGACAAACCCATCATGATGATAGCGAAAACGAAACCGATACCGAGTACGACGCCATACCCTGTGCCTTGTGTCAGGACTTCAGCACCTGTAGTTGAAGACATTGCAACGACAGAGGGACAGGAGTGATGTATAAAGAAGTTCAGGCTTTAATAGGTACCTAGGGAGACAACCCAGTAAAGGCGCAGTCAAAATTTGCTATCAAGTTTGCAGAGATAAGCATGAGAGATCCAAGCAGGCACTTGGACAGCTTTCTCCTTACAACATGTAACGCAAGCCGCGGATATCTTTAGAGCTCAACAAGCGCTGAGATAATTGCAAGATGTTGCACATGAAGAAGACGATTATGGATAAACTCGATGAGGTTATCGTATGCGGAGACAGGTTCGTTCGTAAGAACTTGGTGAAAATGTTTCTTTTTCATTAGTACCATGGTAGACTTCAATCGGACGTACTACATATCCCAAGCCAGCATTTGGTATCTTGTCTATCATGTGGTGGGAGGAATGCAACAGTAATGATGGCTTGGCGATGCTTTGCTCCACCCTCTGTATCTTTGTTTAGAGGTCTAAAGCCGATGATTGTCGTGCAGCATACTTCCGAGTGCATAATCTTGATGGTTGTCGTGCGGCGGACTCCCGAGTGCACAATCTTGATGGTTGTCGTGCGGCGGACTCCCGAGTGCATAATCTTGATTAAGATTTGTGGAAAGGCTGAGAATGAACGTAAAGTGAAGTGATAAGACAAGTAGGGACGCTCACACCTGGGAGCTTAGCTTATGTTACACCCCCAAATACTATCCAATCTGTACGTGGTGTAAACAAACCAAAATACGTTACATGCGTAGTCGAAGCGCCCCTCTGTCAATGAGTTTTGTTAATGCCATAAGAAAGAAGGATCTGCTCACCTCCCATTCCACTTGTCCGTGGATATGATATAGACCTTGCCGCTGTCAGAGGTCGAGAAAGACGAGAACAAGCTTGTTTTAAGGAGGCAGGATAAGGAGGTCAGTACCATTCACTTTTAGATCTGCATTCGTTTTCTGAGCATGCCTGGGCCATAGAATACACCCAGTGATAGCAATATTACCGTGTTTCAACGTATTGGATCTGTCGTGCTGCGAGACAGCTACAAGCCCAACCCAATATCAACGGGACTACTTTCTTCTCGGTGTTATCATTTCGCTACCTCTAAACTCCCGTGCGAGATGAAGACTTGCCAGCTTTTGAAACAGGTGCTCGTCCATGTAGAATCTTCAAGTTAGTGTGTTTGTTGGAGCATAACAGCTTCATTGGGGAATAGTTCTGGATTATGGTCAACAACTTGGAGAGAAATTCGTGCCAGCAGTACTGGTGTATTACGTAATCTCAGAATCTGTGTCGGGGGGTTGTAAGTAAGTCAAAATTCCTTTCAGACTGATTACGAGTCTAAGCTTGAGCTTGAGCATGAGCACGGATAAGCATAAGCACGGATAACCACAAACCTATGTATAACTTACTCCCGGGTGAGAACGTCCCTGTTATTATATATACATCATGCATATGCCAACAACGGCGAAGATTCATGCACCATGAGAAAACATGAGTTGCATGACATAATGCTTTCCCGGGAATCAAGTTCCGTCTGAATTGGTTCCGGCTTACGGCACCCCAGGCAGACGTCGTCACAATTACTAATTACTACTTTGCTGTTTGTCTAGGAAAGCCAATTCAAACCTACTTGCCATGGCTCTGCAACGCTTGCGACAGCTCTCTTCGCATCTGACGGGTACCCCAGCCACGGGATTGACTGCTTTGGAGCAGAAACATCCAGATGATGTGGTCATAACAATGGCCATCCGTTCTCCATTGACCAAAGCGAAGAAGGGAGCTCTGAAAGATACGATGTGAGCGGTCTAAACCGTCGCTGAGGATATTATACACATTTAACTTCTTTGGAAGGACGGACGAGCTTTTGTTGGAGATGTTCAAGGTACATCCAGAATGATTCAATACATACATTTCATCATCACTGAGCAGGCCTTTTAGCATGCAATAGTTCAGTCTCGTGTTAATCCAAGTGCCGTTGGTGATATCTGTGTAGGCACAGTACTCACCCCTGATCCGGTTTATCATGCCAGAGAAGCGGCGTTGGCAGCGGGTTTTCCGGAATCCGTACCAATTCAAGTCGTCAACCGCTTTTGCTCCTCCGGTCTTATGGCAGCAACCGTCATCTCAAATGAAATCCGCTCTGGTCAGATCGAGATTGGACTTGCTGTTGGTGCTGAGTCCATGACCCAAAAGTATGTCAAGAAAATCGATTTTATCTTGCGAGGCTTAACTATGCAAGCCCTGACAAAGGCGCTCCTCCCCAGTCCGAGGCCCTCGGGGTAAATGCTGCTGCTAAGGACTGCCTTTATCCCATGGGTTGGACCAGCGAGAATGTCGCTCAAGATTTTGATATCTCGCGAGAAATTATGGATGAATACTCAGCGAAGTCATATCAACGGGCTGAACACGCTGAGAAAGCCGGTTACTTTGCGAAGGAGATTGTTCCATTCACTGCTTACGAGAAAGATCCCATTACCGGTGAACGCAGGAAGATCGTAGTTACAAAGGACGATGGCATCCGTTACGGGACGACGAAAGAGGCACTTTTGAAGATTCGGTCAGCGTTCCCTCAGTGGGGGAAATCGTGCACGACGGGTGGGAACGCAAGCCAAATCACTGATGGTGCAGCAGCAATCATGATGATGACTCGGCGTAAGGCGGAGGAGCTTGGGCTTAAAATTCTAGGCAAACATATCACTACTGTTGTTACAGGTGAGGTAAATATCCAGAATAAGCATTCACTTGCTAAAATCATCCGGAGGCTGCCCTCCTCGTGTGATGGGCATTGGCCCCGTGTTTGCCATCCCCATGGTTCTTCAAAACGCTGGTCTGAGCATAGAAGACGTTGACTTGTATGAAGTGAGTTTGACAACTTGTCAGGAGATGCATGCTCACTCACGGTACATACAGATTAACGAAGCATTTGCTTCGCAGTACGTCTACTGCATCCGGGAGCTTGGTCTAAATCCAGAGAAAGTGAATGTTAACGGAGGTGCCATAGCTTTTGGTCACCCACTAGATGAGTCAAATTCATGCGGTGTATATTTGCTACATCAAGCTGATGTAAATTGCCTTGATCACGTTGCACCGGTGCGAGACAGATCGTTACAGGATTAAATGAGCTCCATCGGAGAAAGGGAAAAGTATGATATTCTACCTTGTTCAACTTATCTATGTTTAACAATGCAATGCAGGTATTAGTCACTTCTATGTGTATTGGAACTGGAATGGGTGCAGCGGCGGTGTTTGTCCGGGAGATCTGATGATAGTAATTTTGTACTTACGTCAGCAAGCAGTTAGCAGCCGTAATGCCGTTGTCTAAATTTGTGGTCCGACGATCTCACTGGTTCTTCACCTTCTGTCAACGTTCTAACACAACACTCGCTTCTTCGTCTTGTTAACGCCGCCCACCTACAGTCTCTCTTTTATTTCTTCTTCGGCCTAACCTTCAGGCCAGTTTTGCACCAATGGCCGCAAATTATGATGCACTGGGTAGTCAGACCAGAGGTTCACCATATGGGTCTGGAGACCCATACTACAACGAGTCGTCAGGGTACATTACACCTGCTCGACCGCCCAAAAAGACAGTCAGTAAATGGGTGAAGTTTGGTATACCCGTCGCTGTCGTTGTTATAGTTGGCGCAGTTTTGGGTGGGGTTTTGGGCAGTCGCTCAAGCAAAAACGCTTCAGCGAACTCGGCGGCGGCGGCCAGCGCTGCTGCTACCTCGGCTATCAGTGCGAAGAATGGTATCGGTCGTTTTGCCACAGCAACAGACAGCCAGTACTTGGTGCCCATATACCCAATGACTGTGAGTCCTGTTTACTGTCTGCATCTTCCTCGAGGTGTTGATTGCTTAAATTTCGCAGACTAACACCGCTGCATTTACTACTCCTACATTCGTCTCCACTACGAACACCAATCTTGCCTGGCCGCAAGATCCTTTCCAACCATCCAACCCCAGCCCAACCCAAGTTCGTTCTGACAGACCTCGCCTCATTGCTCCTGCATACATGTGGGACTCCCTTCCCAACCTCATCCAACATGATCCCTATCTTTCCGGTTGGAACGACACTATTTTCAGCAACGCAACACAGTACATGGCCCTGCCTCCCGTCGCATATTTCTTGGATGGCGGTAATGGTATTTTGGATCCTGCGCGTGAGATCAAACAACGTGTCAAAGCATTCTCCTACGCATATCGCTTAACCAACGACACGAAGTGGCTGGATCGCACCTATGTCGAGTTGCAGGTATGTTTCTTGCCCTATCTTGATGTAGTTTGATGTCTGATGCCCCGCGACTATAGAATGCAGCTGGTAATCTGACTGGCGGTTGGGGTCCTGATAATTCCACGAAATGGAACCCAGTTCACTTCCTCGACACTGCTGAGCTCACTGCAGCCTATGCTATCGCTTATGACTGGTTGTATGATGCGTGGACACTTCCTCAAAGAAGCTCGATCATGACCACTATGATCACGTACGGGCTTAATCTTGGGGTTACCGCTTACAGTAACGGCGACCCGGGTGCCTACGGCTGGTGGAACACCAACACAGAGGGCAATTGGAACTGTGTTTGTAACAATGGTCTTACCATGGGTGCACTTTCCATCCTCGGTGACGATACCACGGGCATCGCTGCACAACTTCTTGCCTTGACCGTCCCCAATGCCCTCCAGAACTGTGCTCTTGCACCCTCGGGCGACGGCACATGGTCTGAGACCGCCAACTACTGGTACTTCGGTACTACGGGTCATGCTGAGATGGCATCTTCGTTGTTGACTGCTACTGGTTCTACATATGATCTTCTGTCCGTCAATCCTGCCTTTCAGTTGACCGGTCAATACCACATGTATGTGTCCGGGCCCGGCTCCCTCTTCAACTACGGTGATTGTGGTCCAAACAAGTATTCCACCACCGCCAACTCCATGATGTTCTACGGCCAGCAGTATGACATGCCGCAGTACCAGCTTTTCCAACGTGATCAGTTCGACGCTGCTGAACCATGGAGCATGTTCTGGTACAACCCTGCTGTCACCGGTGCTTTCTGGGATGGTTTAGCACTCGACCACTTTTTTGATAACAGCACTGATCAATGGGCCTCCATGCGATCCAGCTGGACAGACGAGAATGCTCTTTATGTTGCCGTTAAAGCAGGCATGCTGCAGGGGCACCAGACACACAACGACCTTGATTGCGGCGACTTTGTCGTTGATGCTCTTGGTGTTCGTTGGTTCGGAGAGCTTGGGTCCGGGGACTACAATTCAATAGGCTACTTCAGCAATGACAGTCAGATCAGTGAGCGATGGATGTACTACCGCAAAATGACGGAGGGCCAGAACACCATTTTAGTCAACCAGCAGAACCAAAACGTCGCCGCCGCTCCGACTGTCAGACACGATACCTCAGCTACAGTTCAAGGGTCCAGTACTGTGATGAATGTTCCTGGTGACTCCAGTGCCTACTTCGTTGCGGACCTGTCGAGTGCATATTTCGACGTGTACGTTTGCTGATGCTTGTATATGGAACTTGCACTGATGACCACTGGCAGTACCTCGTTCTCCCGTGGTGTTCATTTGATCAACGGACGCAAACAGGTACTCATTCAGGATGAGATCAACGCTTCAGCCTCCATTATGTGGCGAGCACACACCAACGCAACTGTGGCCATCAGTTCAGATGGCTTCACGGCCACCCTTACCATCGGTTCTGCGACCACCACTGTTCAACTGCTCAATCCTCCATCTGGCGCGGCGTTCACCACCATGGAGCCTGTTCGGTTCGCTACTGATCCTATCCCCCCACAACCTGATCAACCTAATGATGGTGTGACTGTCCTGGTGATCAGTCTGCCTGCTGGCTCATACACGTTGGAGGTGCTCATTAATCCACAATGGCCAGGAATGTCATCGAGTTCATATATCACCCCCGCCTCTGTGCCTCTGAGTCAGTGGTCGTTGACAAGCCCTTCTTCTTAGTTCAGATTTTTCTTGGACACCTTTGTTGTTATGCGGTGATAGACGTTTACAAACAAGATTGGAATTTTCTTGAGTTGTAGGTAGTTCCACGTTCGTACGGAGCTTCACTGATTAACCTACGTATCGTTCCTTCCGTTGTGCTTTCGGAGTATTGATCATTTACGAACGGGGACGGACACGTGTTGTAGTTATACCGTCTGAAAACAATTTGAGTTTTAGATACTTATTTAGCCTGGACGGCTAACAATATTACAATAACACTCAGTTGGTTTCCTTGACAGCCCCCACACGTTCTGTCTTCACCACAAGGGTTTCACTCCTAAGGCCTAAACAACCACGCTCTTTTTTTCAAATCTGTCTTTTCTGCTTGGAACTACGTGGGATAGAGAACTGTTACCTCACCGAGTGAGTACCTTCTAGCGCGCCTGTAAAGTGGTTCCATTTTGTTGACTTATTTCACCTCTTCAACCACGACCTGTATCGACGGCTGGTCCATCTATTTGCTCGTTCTATCTGTGTTCTCAATCTCGACCATTATTTTTACGGTCTCCAGTCACCAAGGTTTAGTTTAGGCTTCAAGTTTTTTCTTACTACGTACGCGCGACACAAAATCTAGTGAAGATGCCCAAACTTTCTCTCCTTTTCTACATCACACTCGTTTTTTCCTTGGTCATTGCCTCAGACGCAAAAGCATTCGACCCGAATCACCAAGTCAGCCACAACCGCTTCCTCAAGAAGCGAGTGCCGGCTCTTCTGATTGGTGGTTTCACTGCTCCCCAGCCTGGTCCCACTGTCATCGGAGTAGGGGCTGATCCTTTGACTTCAACCCCTGCTGTGGCAACGCAGTCCGCGTCACCGGCAACTACAGCTGATAGTACACCCACATCTTCTGTATTACCTTCGTCTTCTCCCGCTGCAGTGAGTTTCATCATATTTACCCTACATAAGCAACAGCTGAGATTGTGCCGATAGACGTCCGTTGGGACAACGCAAAGTCAAGTTAGTCAAGTTCTACCAACAACGACGACGGCGAGCTTGACTTCTTCGTCGACATCTTCTTCATCCTCTACCTCCCCAACGAGCACTCAATCAACATCGTCAACACCATCAGCCATCCAAAGTGTTCAATCTAGTCCTCTTGCGACTCCTGATGCACCTGCACAGGCGGGCTCTCCCACCTCCCAGTCAGTCATACTTGTCACCAACACCGCTTCTTCAAGTGCAAGCGCAAGTGCCACACCATCTACTTTGTCCTCTTCTTCTACCGGTATCACGCACGCTGCCCTCATAGTCCTCATTGTCATTGCTGCAAGTGTCGGTGGTTCCATCATCATTTGGACCATTATTCGCAAGTGGAAATTTGGCAAATCCTCCAGCTTCGATGGTCGCATGCAGCCTATTGACTGGCAGCCGAGTAACGATATCGATGACAATAGTGGTATTCCCGGCCTGAATCGCCGTAACTCCACTGCATCATCGTTCCACTCTGGCTCCGGCCACGCCGGCATTGGTGCAACAACACTCAGCCCAATTGCTGACCATGATTTCACCGCAGGGCCTTCCAATCTCGCACCTGTTGGCGGTTATGCTGACCTTGCGCGTGGTCCCAGTCCTCAGCCTATGATGCAGGAACTCGCGCGTGGTCCGAGTTTCAACGCGCGTCAGTATCAGTCTGACCAATATGGCGTCCCGCTTCACCACGGCGCGTACGCCACGCACGGATACTGAGCCAGGAGAAAAGGCGCGGAGAACAGCATTCATTTATCCCTCGTACAGGGAGATGCTATCTATTGCTCACCTTTTTATTTTGTCGTATCAGTTAATGGCATCGGCTTGCTGAGCTATGCATTCGCTTCATTCCCATTTACATATGCGTATCTAGACGACAAACGTTATGCTTATATTCCTCGCGCCCATACCTCAAGTCATTGCATTTCTATTCCTTCCCCGTCGTACTTATACCTTTCATTGCTATTCTTGTGTTCTTGATGTCATGCACTACTAGGCAATCGTTTGCATGGTTGGGTACTCGTCTTTTGTCTTAATGAAAAATGCGGTTTGTGCAGGTCACAAATGAATATACTGTAATCTACATGGCATAGTTGGAATTAGGTCAATTTAATTCCTTGTCGATTGCATTCCTTGCAAGAAATTGAACCCCAAAGCCACAAGAGGGATGAGGATCAACGTGGCACCTGTCCACCACCAGCGCACTACAAATAGACGTAGGGTAGTCCGTGTATGCGTGGGACGGGTATCAGACGAAAGTTTCTGATCTCTATCGTCTAATTTGGTACTTGCGAACAAGGACTCCAGGCCCGTCGGCCGTTCTGGAGGAAAGAAGCGCTGTGGCCTGACCCACGAACCGTCATCGTCGTCATTAAGGATCTTCCTCGGCTTTGCGGGAGAAGGAACTGTAGGGGTCCAGTCCATAGCATCGTCATCCTCGTCTTCATCCTTGGTTTGAGAGCCTGTGTATGTTGAGTTGGACGCCATGAGAGAAGGAAGGCCGAATATCGGGTTACTGGGGGAGATTATGGGTTGCGACGAGAGTGAGAGTGATGCGAGGAGGTCTGGTTCGCTAGCGGTTCGCGTATGGGGCGCAGGTGAAGGACGAGGAGAAAGCTCAGGTGTAGGATGTTCAGAGGCGGCTAGATGCTGGTGGCTAGAGGTATCGATTAAGCGAATTGGCGGGGGTTTCTGTACACGCAGCGCGACGAATGAGGTAGCAGAGATCTAAGCGTATGCGGCACGTAAATACGAAAGAAGGGAGAATGTGGAATAGCACTTACAAGAACTTCAGCGATAAGTGATATTAGACAATAGTAATGCGTTCGTGATGAATCCGGATATCGCGAAAGATGCAAGTAGTCCCGAGAAGGCGAGTGCAATGATAGTGAGAGAAGAATAGATGAGAGCAATCTGGAGAACCACGCAATCATTTGCAGAATCTGGTGGTGCGTCAGTAAATTAAACTCTGATTATCATATGGACTGACAATATAATGATTCTTGCCCCGAACGCGGAGATCACGACCTTGTATTCGTGCCTTCCTGAAGGAGTAGTATGTCGGGTCCCATGCAGTCCAAAATAAACTACATAGAGCGATAAGAGGAAGAGCCTGTCGCACATAACCTAGTACATCGGGGAAACGGAGTTTCAACACAACTGCGACATGATAATCAGATACGATGGTGAAGCTAGAACTGTGATAATGTGTTGGCGCACCAGATGAGTGAGCGACGACAGCCACCGCTAACGTCATAAACCATAGAAACCCTCTTAGTCTCCACAGAAACAAATGAGTCTGAAGTTTTTCCCTTTCCCTATTGGATCCCGAAACTTGTCTCTGCTTCTCCTTGCCTCTGCTGTCATTTAACCATCCGCCCAGTGCCTTTGTCCGAGCCATGTGATCTTTCTTTCGGATCTCCTCTTCGACAGCAGGCATACAGTTGGCACACACCGGAGGATATCGGACGTGCAACGATTCACGATATTCTGGAAGTTTCTCCAAACGATGTGCGTAGTCCGGATGCTGTTCATGAGGTTTAGTGTGATGAAACGCGTGTAAAAAGGACGCTTCCCACATGTGGTGGCGGTAGGTAGTTTGAGAGAAGGTTGACCAAGAGCATTTGGTTTGTCTGGCATGTATGACAAAACTGACCGGTCCCGTACATGGATGGCAGGCGGTCCTTGCTGGGAGAGGCTACCAATAAATTAGAGCGTGAATAGCAACAAGAAATTTGAAGCCTACCTCGTTTTGCAAAAGATTTCGAATTCAGGGATTCGTCATGCATGGCAGGTTCATCTGACATTATTTCGCCGTTCGTATCATAGCGGTTCCAACAGTCACAGTGCGGACAACGAAAAGATCGTTGATCTGGCGGTGCAGGCTTGATGGCAGACCTACAGAAAAAGCAGATTGTACTGCTAGTGTGACGAAAGAGAGCTGGCATTTGGGTTTGAGACGTGTTAGCTGGAGGAGCAGTGGATAAATGAAATTGGCATTTGTTTATAAATTGACGAGAATGGAAAAAATTGCTCCTCTGTGGACTTTTAACAAGAGAATGTCACTGGCCCCAACACACACAACGCCTAGAGGTCAAGTGGTCCTACAACCCACATATTTCACGTGCTCCTTGTTTGTGGACCCTGCTCGCGAAGACATTGACCACCTCATTTATGTCTATGCCGAGCGGTATGCCAGGTCTCCGCCCTCACAGCCTTTTGTGCTCTTCAAGGACATCTGGAACAACGAAGGATGGACGTGGTTGCATTTCAAGGTTTTTGATGCAAGATCTCGCGATGCTTTTCTCAAAGTCACTATGCAACTCTTATCAGGTAGGATCACGATTCACCTCCTGTGCACGACTCATGTCATCGTATACAGAACGGTTAGCGGAATCCGAGTATCCTCTTACTAGAGCTGCTGCTCTGTTTGGCCTTTACACGTTCTTTGCGACTCAACCATCAACGTCGGCTCCGTCGTTGTATGCTCTCGCTCATCTCCCTATGACAATCGGTAAGCCGCTCTTGTGTTCTGAGGTCGGATAGCTCATTGGGTCTAAGACATGTATCAGTCTTTACTGAAGCTGCCTGACGTACTCGAAACGGATTTCCTGCGCCCTTTAAGACCCCACATAATATATGTACTCTCCGCCTTGCAAAAAGCTCAGTTTTTTCATATACTCCCCCCGTCTAATTTGTATCCGCATAGTCCGCGAGAACTGCCAAGGGAAAAATTTATCTCAGATGGGTACGAACAGGCAGCTTATTTTACCACAAATGCAACCAAGAAGAAAGGTCGACCGTCAAAACACGACAAGGTGAAGAAATCCAAGGACGCTGTCGTTGCGCTGGACAAGTGGCTAGACAAAACTGCATATACATATCAACCACCTCGGGTTACAAGTGCAGAGACTCCACAGTCTGTCACTACGCATATTCTACTTTCACATCCGCCGAGCACGACACGGAACAATTACCGGGGGAAAAAATCGGAGCTGCTAGAGAAACTCGAGCCCGATTATCCGTATGTGACGACTGAAGGACCTGGACGAGCAGCTTTGGAACGAGCAAATCTGGGGGTTGTTAGCAGGTTACAAAAAATAGATGAGGAAGCGGCAGCAAAGGGGATGGAGATTGGGGGAGAAGGCGGAGAGCGGACTGGATTACGTCGTGTGGAGAGAGCTGCTGATGAGCTTGGTAAAATTGGGTCGCTAGGAGGTCGTGGTGGGCTACTTGGATTGTTAGAGGGCGCGGGCATCGTCGAATAGAGGGGAAACCATGCCGTTCTGTGAACCCATCAATCTATATTATTTTAAAACTCAATATCCCCTGTCAACGGTGCCAGTTACTTCCCACGGCAAAATTCAGATTCACTTACTCTCCCCGCCGCCGCCACCACAAAATTCAAATATTCAACTGTAACACCTAGTATCCCTCAATACAATCCTTACCGCTCTTTATATTCAATCCAATCGTTTTGCCTTTAGATGGCTTCTGATAGCCAAAGGCGTTTTCATTCTCAAACACCTCCCAATGCTCCTTCAACAGCAACTCTTTTTCAATCCGGAGGGGGCTCCCAGGTCGTGCAGGCCGCGTTTGCTAGGCCCCCCCCGTCTTTGAGAAGTACGCAAAGTTATCACACCCTTGTTCGTCGTCAACTTTATACGACAGCCTTCACGTAATATGTTCTGAATTTCCTCCCAGAGTGAGTCGCCTTACAGCAGTGCTGGGCGGACAGTGTCTCTCCAAGAACAGTCAATATCTGAAAAGGTACGTATGCACTAATATATGCCTATTTTTAATTTAGCTGCGTCTTGCCGATCCCTAATGCAATATTTACTACAGTTCTCACTCTCTCCTGATCCATCATTATGGGGTGCTACTCTTGCCATGAACCTCGAGGAACCAGATGACGAGCTTCATAATCCGGATCCTCGTAGAGACCGCAAGAATGACCGTGGCGGTTCTGTCTTCACTTACAGAGGTTTAACCAACCTTGGCTGCCTTATCTTCCTTGCTGTTGGAATGGTTTCTCTGTTGTACGCCCACATCATACATGCCAGCCTAGTCCCTGAGATTGACATGCTCTTCAGTGCTGGATACCCTATGATTTCCTATTTTACGAAGCATTCTCTTTCAAATGAGGGTGGATTCAACATTGGTGGGATTAATGCGAGCGGACAGGCAAGTCTTCATATCTTCTCTCCAAGTTACAAATACCTATTACCACTGCAAAGATCCCCACTATGACAAATAATTATGGTCTTATTGACGTGGATACCCCATCATCCGCCCATACCTACACGTCCTTTGCAGATTCCTCGCAATGGCAGTTAGTTTTCAGCGATGAATTCGAAGTAGAAGGCCGGACCTTCTGGCCTGGAGATGACCCGTATTGGGAGGCTGTAAACCTTCATTATTGGCAGGTAAATCGCATATTTCCGCAGGTATTGGCTTTAACTGAAACTGTCGTCAGACCAATGACCTTGAATGGTATTATCCTGATCAGGTCACGACCAGAAATGGCTCGTTGGAAATTACTCTATCCGAAAGGGAAATGAACAACTTGAGTTTCACCAGTGGATTGATTTCCACTTGGAATAAGTTCTGTTTCACAGGTGGTATGGTTCTGGCGTCAGTAAGTTTACCAGGGAAAAACGACGTCAGTGGTACGTATGATGTTACGTTGTCTGTTTGATATTTTTACTGATCCTTTACTTCCGTCATCTAGGTCTGTGGCCGGCAGGTACGAAACCGAGCTACTAGTTTTTGCGAGTGTACTAACATGATCTCAGTGTGGTCGATGGGTAACCTCGGTTAGTAACGTCGTATTTTAAAAGCGTTCTCATCTGACTATTCACAGGACGAGTCGGATATGGCGCGAGCCTTGAGGGAATGGTAGGTCCCCCTCTCAGGCTCGAAATTCAATCGTTGACCAATGTGCCAGTGGCCTTACTCTTATGATGCTTGCGATGTCGGTACAGCCCCCAACCAGACAATCAATAGCGCACCAGCGGCAGCTGTTACTGGCAACCCGTACGGCAACAGCGCGCTTTCGTATCTCCCTGGCCAGCGTTTATCAAGGTGTACTTGCAAAGGAGAATCCCATCCAGGACCTGTGCACTCGGATGGGACATACGTTGGTCGGTCTGCACCCGAAATCGATGTTTTCGAATCACAGGTGTGGTAGTTCATTTTTTATTCTGATAGGCTTCCCAACAACCGTAGGTCACCACCGAAGGCCAAGTTTCTCAATCTGCACAGTGGGCTGTAAGTACATGGTCTTTGTCAAGCGTCCTGACTCACAATGAAGACAGCCTATGAACTATGCGTACCAATGGTCCAACACGTCGCAAAACTATAAGATTCCCAACCCAGACGTCACCCAACTCAATTCGTACCTCGGCGGTGTCTACCAGCAGTCCACGTCTGGTGTCACGAACACAAGTGAGTCATATTTATCTTGTAACTGTTCAAAAGCTAACCAGAATTTAGACCAGAGTTGCTACACGCAAAACTCTGGCTGCTTTTCGACATATGGATACGAGTACAAGCCAGGTATCTATCGTCTTTAGTGTTTTACACGAGTTAACACTGTCATCAGGTTACTCAGCTGATGGAGGCGTAAGTGAAACCCACACTTTTCCTACGGTTATTATTGATGTAGTCTTTACGCAGTACATCAGTTGGATCACAAATGATGTCGTTGGGTGGACCCTTGATGCCGGTGCATTGGTAGCTGATTCCGTGACTGAAATTTCAGACAGACCAATTCCCCAGGAGCCAATGGTCAGAATATCATTTTTGGGCTGTTCTTTAGCTCATGCTCTTCGTAGTACCTTATCACCAACTTGGGCATCTCTGAGAACTTCCAAACGGTTGACTTCACGAACCTTATTTTCCCAGCTACCATGCGGATAGACTGGATTCGTGTCTACCAGCCTCAAGGCTCTATCAACATCGGCTGTGACCCTAAGGATTTCCCGACGGCTGCATATATCAATGAGTACGCACTACACTTCTACTGATACTGATTTAGTTTATGCCCCGTACGTTCAGGTATATTGAAGCATACACAAACCCGAACCTGACGACTTGGAGGAATGACTTTCAACAACCCTTCCCCAAAAACAACCTCACGACCGGGTGCTAGCGGTACATACATACTTATTCGGTTGCCCGTTTTCTGTTGTTTTTGTTTTTACGGACCTTGATACCGTCGGACTGGTATCATCCAGACTTGTTGTCTGTCATTTCCAGGATTTCATTCGTTTTTGTATACCTCCGGGACCCTGTGCACACTTCCCTACGTATTCTATGCCCTGTTTGTCCTCCCCATATTGTTTGTTCTCTGTAGAAGGTCTGTCATCTACACCTATGTTCAACGGGCATATTTGAGTATATCATATTTCTGTAGAGGTTGGTTGGAATAATGAAAGGCGTTAAGATTAAGAGTGACCTGAATTCATTCATACCACTTGCGATTACATGATTACGTGTTCGAATATCCAATAAAGACATCAAAGAGATAAAATCCTACATCCGGTCAAAAAGTGTTTGCAGTTTGGACAGCGTTCGTTCCAGCATGATGATGCCGCCTGCAGTCAGGCGGGGCACTGCGATATTCTCATCTGCGTCTGTGTTTTCTGGGCCCGACTGACTCTTCTGGATCAGTGCTCGGGAGTCGTTTAGGACTTTGGATAGCCTGCCCTGGGAATTGTACAACCAGTTGATCTCTGCCTCTAGTCCACCGAGAGGAATCTCCAAGGCGCGGCGAACGAATCCACGGGATAGGACATATGCCTTCTCACTGTAAAGTCGACTACATAATATGAAGTGAGTCATGGGCAGATGCGAGGAATTGAACGTGGACGCCACCTGTTAACCATGCCTTCCTCAGTACCCCTCAATTTCTCGTACGCAGGTTCACAGAACCAACTAGAAAGTACTCAGCAAGTTATAAAAGAGAAGACAGGGTGCAGAAACCTACGGCTCTTTCACCAACACCAGACCCTGTATCGATACAAAGGCCTGGAGAAGTGAAGATCTTGCCGCGCTCCACGTTTCCGTGCGGTCTCCACTCCACGTGCCGAGGATGGACAAACAAACTTTGCCTTCCTCGTACAAGTTTCTGAGTCCTGATTAGCCGAGAGTAGCGCTTTCTTCATCCTCACTCACGGATTAACGCGACCGTTGCCGTTGGTCCAACTCAAGAAGTGAGCAATAGGTGGACTTTGAGGGAAGTTTGAGTCAAGCATCCAATCTATTACAAACGGTGCGTCTTCATAGGGTGTATTTTCCGGTCCAATAATGAGGCATCTCAATAAATCTGCACGATCCTCGTATGCACGGACGAGGATTGAATCTGTTTTTATTAGTATATGTGAAGCAAATGGGAGGAATGATTGATGATACAGACCTGGTAGGCTGGTTGAGAGCGCACGGTACTCTTTCGTCAGACGCGCGAGGAAATTCTTCGACGGCTGATTCGATACAGACGAATAAAATGCATGGTCATGGGGTGCACTTGGGAGAACTTCGAATTTCTTCCATGGAGAATCGGCATGACCGTCCTCATCTTCCTGAACAATAATCTCTTGGGTACTATCTGGCGATGTGTTGGACGACGATACTGGGAACAGTGAGTCCGAATCGGTCACGTCTGAAGTTACATCGTGTGATATCAGAGAATCTGGGATGCCATCACCCAACGGGATATCAATTTCGTCGGCCCAGGTGTCCACGTCCATTCCATCGCCATCCTCATCACTATCCTCCTCGTCCTCCCATTCTGAATCGTCATGGTCGTAGCGCCATGTGCCATCTGGATCTAGATGCCACACACCCTCAGTGTTGTCAACATGAGAGCCTTGATCGGATCCGTCTTCACCCTCCCAGCCATCATCTTCAAATTGTTCAAGAGTGTCGTAAAGCTTGGTCAACCGTGAGAGAGGGTAGATAGCCATAGATCCATTCGGATGAGTGACATCGACTGTTCCGTCAAGACGAAGCTTCGAATTAGAGTTAGTTCAGAAGCATATGATGCAATTCGGTAGGGGACTCACCCCAGTGACCTCTCCAAACCATGACAGAGATGCATTGTCCCGCATTGGATGCTTGACACGGGAAACAGTGGGCTTTTCTTTTCGTTCGGACGCTATTTTCGTCCCCATATCTGCCATCGTGCGCCTCCAACCGCTGAATTCTCCGTCTGGCATAACTGGCACCTCTCTCACCCACTCCTCGACCTCGCCGATTCTCGGAACTCGAGGGGATTCAAAACCATTTGAGGCGCCCTCACGGTGGACGAATACCTTGTCACCACGACGCACGCCGAGATGGGTATGTGGAGTGCCTGCCGCCCAATCACTGACACCGTTTGGGTCGAGTTCAAGAACAGAAACAGTTTCAGTCTTGCCAGTACTCGTGAAACGAATGACGGCGACTCGATCAGTAGAATTGACCGATTGAACAACGGCTGCGTGCTCTTCATGCTCAAATTTCCATAGGACGTGGTCGCCTGGCCTGAGGAACCATGTATTATTCAATGTCATACAAGACATAGTGAAGAAACCTTACCAGCAGTCATATTCATCTGGATTCAGGTATGGAATCAGCTCCGTGGAAGGGAAGCTCTCCTGTGATCCATCTTGCCAAAGAACATTGACGACCGTTTTCGTCTCCCTCACGCATAGGGTCTTGATCGTCATGGCGCCATTTGATTCTGATTCGACACCGTATCTTGTGACAGGCACACCTGCATCGTTCTCCAGTAGAACCTTATCCCCGACACGTACATCATCCACACGCATCCTAATCACTGTCAATTTAGTCAAATCTTCGCCAGACCAGAAACGCGCTGGTCGCTGTTTGAGTTGGGCGACACTAGGATTCAACTACACAATGCGCTAAGAATGTGAGGGACTGAAGAAGATAAGGAGACCTACGCTTTGATTTACCGCTAGCCAACAGATGGCTAGTATTGTGCGCTTCATATCTATGACAGTGTCATCCGAGCTAGGTAGTGGGGCTCCTTTAGGATAATTCACTAGCCCGTGAAGTGCCTCGGGGTCCGGTAGAATGTCCTTAACAAAGTGAGCGCACAAAACAATAGACACCCAGGTGGAACCTACCGGCCCCTTGTCGCCGATTGTCAGACGAGAACTAATTTCAGGTAAGCGGACGAAGGCGCCAGACGCAGAAACAAGAAGTTCGTCGAATAGCTATGGGAATCGTCAACCGTCACTTCTTTGTACCGTAATTATTGCACAAACCTCTATGACCTTCATGTGGGAACTCAGCATGTCATTTCGACTTGCGAGACATTGAAGCGCACCTGTCCAATCCAGTCATCGTAGATCACATAATCTCCCCCGTCAACGTCAGTAGCACGTCTGACTTCCCTGATATCTCTCCAACCCTCTACTTGCTCTCCGCTGATTGCGTGCACAAGCCGTGCTTGTACCTCGATACTGGTCACTACGCCAGAACAAACATCATCAACGCTACGCTTGCAATAATCCCCTGACTGAAATGTTCTATCTACGAGCTCATAGTGAGACTCCGGGACGATGTCGCGAACACCGCCTGGGAAGAATGAGACCCCGATCTCACCACGATCAAGGGATCTCATTAAGGGGTCCGTGAACGGACTTGGGAGTGGTGGGATATCCTCGGCATCGTGCCAGCATCTCTGTTGGTTCTATGAGAAATGTATAGAGTTCAGCGGGTGCATACTCACAAGTACAATTCCATATACATTCGGCGAGTCGATGCGGCGCACGATATCCTCCTGGTAGAACTTTATGGACCGAAGTAAATCGAAAGAAATCCAGAGTAATAACACAAACGCATACCTTGGTGGGAAATCTTGTCCTTTGGGCGGTGGTCATTACCACAGCAACCTGAGAGGAAGATATGTCTGAGAATTGGTCGAATGAGAAGAGACCAAAACCATCGCTAACTTTGATCTGTAGGTCACGTGTATGGGGCACATCTCCGATTGACCAAGCTGCCGAACTACAATTACCACACCACAATCATTATCGAGAATCGTTTACGAACGTGGAAGATGCGATGTTGACCTCGCTGCCTGTGGAACTCATTCACAAGATCATTTCTTTGCTGGACTGGAGAACAATATTGGTTTGCCGGGAGGTGCGCACAACGGATACTTATTCTTGCAAGTCGACCGCACTCATGTTATACAGGTTTGCAGGTTATTCCACTCAATAGTAGAAGGAGATAGTGCTCAATATGAAATTGAGCTTGCTGTGTCTGGGATGGTGGACGGCCCTCCAAGCCCACTCACCACCTCAGATCGGCTTGCACTTCTTAAGGAACGCAATGCTGCATGGGAGTCTCTGAGATGGGTAGAATCGCGGGATATTCCGATGATGCAGGGACACATCTGGGAGTTATACGGCGATGTGTTCGCGCAATCTAGCACGCCAGATGTCCTTCACTTCCGTCAGCTGCCATCAAAGTACAGAAAAATCGAAGAAAAAACATGGGATGTGGCGCTGGACATAAACGTTCGAGACTTCACAATGGATCCTGCGCAGGACCTTCTCGTGCTCATCGAGGAGCCCACCCAGCTGTATGTTACTTCACTGTATATTTACCAAATCTGACACATCCACAGCCCTCATATCAACGCCACTACCCGTAGCATTCGGATCCATTTACGTTCCCTCACCACAGGAGACAGGCACAGATTAGCGCCTCAACCAGCCATTGTCGTTCATGACCTCAATGTGCGGCACGCCCGAGCAACGTATACATTACGAGTGTGCGATAATCTCCTGGGTATCTTATTCACACTCCAGGATGAAGATGCGGACCCCGAACTTACCATATGGGACTGGTCAACGGGCAAAGTTATTTTGGTAATTGTTCAAGGTTCCATGGAGTCACCCTCTGATCGTCATTTCTTAGACATGCTTCAGTTCCGAGATTGCGACATTTGCATTCCTCAGCAGTCGCTTTTTGCTAGTAGGCAGCGTCTTTGACTCCGAAGCTATAAACACACAGGCCCGCCTCTACGTGTTTGATATGACCAAGCCATCTAGCGAAAAGTTTGGCCTTTGGGCGGACTATTCTTGCGTATTTCTTTGGCCCGAATTCAACTTCTGGACCAACCCGGTGGCTCTTTCAATCCGCTCTGATCCGTCGCCTACCTGGCAGCCTAATCCAGAAGCTCGGTTACCCTTCTCAACGGCGCCTGGGGACAGGCTCCTCATCATTACAGTCTCTTTGGTGAACAATGATCGTATCGTCCCTTACGATATGTTCGTTTCAGCTGATACTTTGCTATCTCATATTGAAGCCCTTCCTACGGAGGTTCGCTCCCGTGAAATCAAATGGGATGAGTGGGGCCCCGCAGGCACACGCTTGATGCGGTCTTTGTCGCAGCCTTCCCTCTGGGTGTGCTACGTATTCGGGACCAAATTCGTGTCTCTTACTGAGCCGACCCACACGTCTCCGCAGACTTTGGAGATGTGGGATTTCAACCAGCTCGCAATGAAGCGAGATGCCAAAGTTCAAGGTGGTATCAGCTATCATGTACGTGATACGACGGTAATTGATAAAGTCTTTGGGGACGAAATCCACACGAGTCTACCCTACCGGGTTATCAAGCGCACCCTACCTCCACATTCTTCTCCGGAATTAAGTTTTACTGCTGTCATATGTAGCGAAGACAGCCTCATTTTAGTAGATGTAAGCATGCCACACGCTTACCGTATCGAACGTTTCTCTAACGGCGCACGTCCATTTGCAGTCTAGTCACCGGTATCTTCGCCTTCTCACTTTTTGAGCAGTGCAAAGAGATCATTGCAATTTTCAAATGACAATTAAAAAAGCCACCTGGATCCTACATTTCCAGTTGCGCGGCGACCACCCAACTTCGAACACTATGTTCAAGTGATATACTTCAGCCAAAACGAGTCAAGGAACGTGAATATTCTGAACAATCGAGGAACTCGGTCCGTTGGCGCAACCAGTGATAATATTGAAAAATGAGTATTGCATTTTATTTGCAAAGCTTCCTGCAGTTGGCTAGGCAGTGAGGCATCCCTAGCAGGGGATGGGCAGGGGGTGTGGCAGGGGATGGGCATAATTTGCATGGTTTAATCAGCATGCAGGCTTTGGACCAGACATCCTTCGAGCCATTAGGCCGCAGTGCCCTCGCGAATGGGCATCTGTTCCAGCACCTTCCTGAAATTTCGTATTCGAAGCGTCGTGTATGAAAATCAGAATCATGTTTCCGCGAAAATGGCTCATCATAGCGGTGGAGATTAATTTCCGTACTTCCAACGCTTTTTCGTCATACCTGTATTAGTTCTGCAGGTTTCTTCCAGGACCATCGATTGAACTATGAGGCAAGTCATCTCCCCATACTGCTACTGTCCCAACTGTAGGTCAACACAAATCACGGACATATAAAATAGTGAATTACCTCCCAAAAGCAATGGCCTCTAGCGGCCATCAGGCCTGATGGCAAAAAGTTATACACCATCCCATACAGAGCATGTTCATATTCTCATCGCTAAAACCAATATAAAGTCATATATTACGACGTAAAGGGCCCTGCAATCAACGTAACGCGCCCTAAAGGACTTACTGGTTGTCTGCCGCCTGGTGCAGATTCTTTGAGTGTCCAGCAGTGGCACATTAAAATCAGAATGAAACAAAAATAAAAGTTAGCGTATCAAGGAAAATCACAGCAAGTTACCGGTTACTCTTGAAACCCATGTTAGTGACACCAACAACGAGTATTCCTCCATGTCGGTACCTTTGCCGCTTGCCATTCATGCGGACCACTTATGCAAGATACATAATAGCCCTGAGATGGCCACATGATAAGATGGGATCCGCGCTGGTGGAAATAGCACGTCATATTGCGTGTCGTATTGCAGGAAATATCGCCTAGTTCGTCATATTTGATGAACCTGCTTGCAGAAGAAGTCATTCATGATTATGGGGCACTGGAAGTTGGCTATAGCCTGTCGAGGACGTTATTGTGGCCTGTGCTATTGTTACTAGTTGGGTTACAGGCTGGATACGTATGCTTCCTGTATAGTTGCGGCGCTACGTGAACAAAGGATATTATAAATATTTCGGAATAGAACGCACGAGGGTACGCTAGATGTTAGTAGATCCGCTATCGCTTTCGTTAGCAGAACGTTTCTGTAGCGCTGACATCTACTCGGATTCGTGCATTTCTTGCAGCCGGCGGCGGGCCCGGTGATGGAGTGTCACGAATGGGCTTAGCCCCGGTCTCATGATGCGTTCGTTTTGCTCGAGAATATACGCCGATTGGGTGGCAGAAATGGACTCAGATCAAGAAATGAAGTGGCAAGTTAGTCACTGATCCAACGTTCGAGCAACCTTCAACCGAACGAATGGATGATTCAGATTTTCCCAATTTAGAAGGATCTGGATACGAACGAGAAAGTTATGCCAGACGCTGTCCTATGACTGCGTGGAGTCACGGTTGCTCCTGACCATTGGCGCTTGGCTGCCTGCCAGCGTGTTCCTTTCATAGATTTCCTCTGATCTTTCTTCCTTATGTACAGGATTTCCTAAATGTCGTTTCACCTGCCGCTTAAAAGCTGCACACCCCCAGCCTAGTCGAGTCATCATCATGCTCTCACATACTATCCACCACGGGCCTCGTATATTGTCCTCTGTTGCAGCCTCAGCCTTGAAAGCACGTCGAACTCAGACGTTCAAGGCCTTCTATGCCGTACGTACTATAGCTTAATCACACAGGGCAGATGTATTGACTCCGACTTGTCCTTTGCAGACTATTCGAAGTCTTCGTCAACCTCCGCCCACTGTCGAGGTCGATGATCTCGACCCGCGGGATAATGTATGTCTTGATTTACTTTTCCACGACAAGCTAACCTTCCCAGCAGGACTTCATTCTTTCCCTCCTGAAAGCCAATCCTTCTCTGCGGGATACTAAATCTTACCTGGCGAATTTTGGCGTTCGTCCATCAGCTCCGGAAAATGCCGACTCCGTTTTCCCATCTACTATTCTCACACCCTTGTTTCCAAAAGAAGCCTCAGATATATCTGTCGATAAACAACCAGAACAGGCCAAGCCTGACCCGAGCCCTATCTTGTCTTCTATATTAAATCCTGTCTACCGTCGCACTGCTCTTGTGAAACTCCAGGGTCCGTTCACAAATAAGCAGCTCGATAGCATCGCCAGGGGCATGGTCTACCTCGAGAAACTTGGACTTGTCAGCGTTATCGTCGTCGAAAATGATCAAATCAGGGGCGATGATGGAGAGCGCTCCGCTCTCATCGAAGAGATTATGCGTGTTGTCTCCGCATTAGAAGCACAAGGTGCCGAGGCGCGCCCCGTCCTCGGTACCACTGTCCGACTAGGTCCTAAGCCAGATGATGACCAGCTTCGCGAGCCTCGCAATTTTATTCCCCCTGAAGCACATGTGTTTCCCTCGGATCTTGTCGCCATCCGTTCTGCTCTTCGCGCCGGGGAGATCCCAGTTCTTCCTCCTTTCGCCCTGGACTCCTTCTGCAGATCAGTACGGATAGGTGCTAATGACGTTCTTGGCGCCCTTGCTCGCGGCATGGTCGAAGCTGCTGCGCTTGATGACAATGACATGAAGTCAAGTCCTCGTGATCCCCATGCAGACTACTCTCAAGACATCAACCTCGTTCCTCTGCGACTGATGATTATCAGTCGGGAAGGAGGGGTCCCTTCCTATGCCAGAACAGGCTTCCCTCATCTCCTCATCAACCTCACATCCGAGTATGATTATATCCGCGATACTTACGACCCATCATGGTCCAATGAAAAGGATTCTTCGCTTTCAAATTTGTCCCTCGCGCGTACCTGCTTAGCGTACATGCCGCCTACATCATCTGCCATCATGGTTTCTCACCGTTCGCCGAGTTCCCTCATCGCCAACCTCATCACGAACAAGCCCGCCGTTAGCTCGAGCCTGCCTCACGCACTTCTCCAAGGTAACCGAAAACTCACGCGGGACACGCCAACTCTTCTGCGTCGCGGTCTCCCAATACAAGTTATTCGCAGCCTTGCGGACGTTGATAAAGCAAAGATGAACTATCTCTTGGAGACCTCCTTCAAGCGCACTCTCGATGCTGATGCTTTCTACAAGCGCCTAGAACAGACTCTCGACTTTGTTGTGGTCGCAGGAGATTATGTCGGTGCTGCCATTGTCACCAACGAGCCTTCGCCCAATTCCTCTGAACCCATCTCATATCTTGACAAATTTGCTGTATTACCTAGTCACCAAGGTGACGGTACCGTCGACTTCTTGTGGGTCGCCCTCCACGACGAATCTTATGGTTTGGGCCACCCGTTCTCCATTAACCCAAACGGGGGCAAGGAGGGCAAGGGTGAAGGCCGAGATCTTGTTTGGCGGAGTCGTGATGATAACCCCATCAACAAGTGGTACTTTGAGCGTAGCTCCGGCCATATGCGGATGGGCTCGTGGGTATTCTTCTGGTGTGATGCTGAGAAACGTCTGAGAGTGGAGGAAGGACGCCGTGCCAACGCCGGCCTTTCTTACGTAGAAGAATGGGAAGAGAATCGCTTGTCACGGTGGGCAGACGTTATCACCAAAATTCCATCTGTTTGGAAATAGAAGTTGAGATCTGTATGTACTTCATAGTATAACACTTCAGTGGTGTAGGTTTTGAATTACAACACTCAATGTAGGACAAGTAAATTATTATCCATCGTGACGGCGAGCCCGCAGTCTCCGACTCCTCTGAACATGTGCAGCGATTGCTGCGGACGAGATCTCTTATCACCTTCAGTTCTCAGGCATTGTACCAGCTGTGCTTTACGATCTCCTGTCCCATGAGAATCTCCCTGACAGATCTCTTGGAATCCCTCGCTAGTGCTTGGTCTTTGCATGTGATGTGACATGTCTTCTAGCCTGACAGACATCAAAACGCACTACACTCCGACTTCGTTTGCAGGTGAGCCGTCTTCTGGGCACCCAGCCCACAGGCACCAGATAATTAGATTGCCTCATTGCGAGCGTATTCAACTGCCACAGAAACGCAGTGGTGATAACCACCAGAATGTCTGAAACTCACTCATACGGAACTGTGATAACAGACAAGCGATTTAAATAGTAGCCATACGCAAAAGATATGCGGGTCTCAAAGCGATAGTCGAGTGCATCACAGGATATATTGGGGCAATCATACATGTCATAATTGACATGCATGTCAGTGGTAGGCACGCTCGTCGAACACCGGAGTGGCGCGGTACGGAGCCTCGAACCTGTAAATGCAAAGAATAAACTGAGCGTCTCTACGGGTACCTAAGTCAATGAACCAATGAACCACGCGAATTATAAATTCTTGCCATCTTAGATTAAAACCCACTTGTCACTGCTGTTCACAGACTGGAAGCTGCAGATAACGGTCTAATCACTGAATTTATTATCCACCGCGACGGAGACGCATGTGAAAGAAAAGGCTATATTCCTAGCTGAACTGAGAAAGCTCTGAACATTGCGCATAAGGTGGATTGTTCCTGCCTCAAGGACTCACGTCTCACCAAATGCCAGCAGGGGCTAATTTTCATCCGCATGTGGCATTCTCGGTTCAATGTGATGAAAACACGAACACGAAAATATCGGGGACGAGTGCCCCTGTGAATGACTGGGTACCTCCTTCATATGACCCACCCTTTCCAAGCAGCTTCCCAACCCTCCACAAAGCGCTGCTCAGCGAAAGCGCTTACAGCCCAGGTACGTGCACGCGTCCTCATTGCTCGCTGCTCCGACTTACTCATGCTCAGCACCGTGTGCATGGCGTTCGCAAAGCTCTGCGGATCACGTGCATGGAATCCCGTTGCTTCACCGTCCAGAGGTACAACAATATCATGAAGTGGGCCGCCGGAAGCGTGCGTCACAGGAATCACACCTGCAGCCTAGTTTCGCCCGAGGTAAGTGGCTATACGACACAAAGTAAAACAGGGAACCTGCACCATGAATTCAACGACGTTGATTCCAAAATGTTCGTCCACCATCGTGCTGAGCCCGATGCTAGCCATTGCGAGCCAGCGGAGCATTTTCGGGTAACTTGCGTTGACGATGAACTGGACGTAGGGGGTGATCTCGAGTTTTTCCGCGAGATCTCTAAGCGACTGCACGCGGGCGTGGTCGTCCGTGTTACGTGCGCCACCCAGTAGGAAAAGTTGCACAGAAGAGGAGCCAGAAATATAAGTTGGGTGATCGGCCAATAACTGCGCAAAGGCGCGAAGTTGAGCAGGGTGGTCTTTTTCTGGCCTTTAAAAGCGACACTTGAGCTCCAGTAACAAATGTAAAGTAGAATAGAAATATACCTGAATTGTGCGATACTCAGAATAATTCTTTCCCTCTCGTCCAATGGGAATTGTGCCATCTCGCGGGTATCGCATGGCGGGTAGACAATATTGGCTTCTGGTTTCTTGCTTGCTGAATCGGGGTGGAGTTTCTTTGACTTGAATGTAGTCGCAAAGAGACGAAGGATAAAAAGGGGGCTGAGAAAGTGCATTACGTTCATGACGGGGTCGGAGTGCGAGAGTATTGCATCGACATGATTCTTTGTCCAGCTGGAATTTGCCATAATAAAGGAAGGACGGGAGAGCGCCAAGGAGTAGTGATACATTAGGAAACGGTAATACCTATGAGGTGCGTTATGATAAGTACCAGTCACAAACCGAACCGCAGCAGGATATAGAATTCTAAACAGAGCGAGAATGTAAAAGGTGGAAGGTGAATCACTTGTACTCACCACATCTTCCCGCGACTCAATACCAACGAGCCTGCGACGTCTCCACGGTTGGTATGACCCACCTTTCTGGCTTTCACACGGGCCAGCATGTCCGTACTGATTGTTGGATAATGGATATATGCACCCATAGGTATGGATCCCTTAGTGATCCATGCAACTACGTGGAATGTGAAAGCGTAACCCATGCTGTCTAAGCGGTATGAGCACCGATAGCCCTGCAGCATCCAAAACAAGTAGACCTACCAATGTATAAGTCTGGGATGACTTGGGATAAAGCTTCCCAAGCGAGGAACATGGACCCAAGACTCTGGCCAAGAAGTGTAAAACGCGGCCAAGCGGCATCCTCCACTAAACGTCTTCTCTTTAGGAAGACGAAATGTAAAGATTTGGGATCAAGAGAGATATTGAAGCGTGCTTCGACTTGAGCTAGAATCTGTTCTTTTGTCGCGTCGACGTCTCCAGTATATACTAATGAGACGCAGTTAGGATGTGCACGTTGGGTAGCCGCTATAGCAGTCCAGAGGACACGTTCGCCTCCCCCACCTGCATTGCTACAAAAATCCCACGAGTTAAACATTACCCAGTCCTTGGCGGAGAAACCTACCAGTAAGGATGGAAGAAACCGATGAATTGAGGGTTTGATGTGGTGGAGATGCCAAGATTCTTGATGATGGCATGGCGAGCTTGTGCTGAATGTCTGGCAAGTTTATTGGTGTAAGCAGTAAAAATGATGATACCAAGGAGGCCTGTTAGAAGAAGGCACAGCAGAGTAATAGCAAAAGCCATCAGTGCAAGGTAGCCTGCAGCGGAGCTTTGATGCTCACCTCGCCGACGAGAGCCAAACACGCCGTGTCCACTGCCAAGATGTCCCGTTCTGGTGAACCGCTTATAAATTTCATTACATACGTACAACTTGAATTTGATATTACCACTCAATTCTTCCTAATGCAAGTTCAACCTGAGGCCTGATGACCAGTCAAACGCGGCAACCTTCGCAATATGTGAATTCTTGGAAAAGTGTGGAATGCCCTGCTCTTCTTCGGCCTCGCAGCCATCCCGTTCGACCTTCAAGTAGCACGTAACGATGACTTCCCAACGCAATTCAGGCGACATTTTATTTCCTCATTCATCTCCTGTTTGTTTTCGCGACAGACTATGATACCCTATACCCTCCAAGCCTTGGGTGAGGAGCCAGGCTAGCCAGAACAAGCCCAGGATCCAGGAGTGACGAACCTCGTGATTAGTGAAATGATACAAGTCGCCATCAACAGTATGTGCCATCTACCTTCACTCGATACATCATCTGTGCCCTTCACGGTGGCGATGTTCGTCGTGCTGTCGAGCTGTTGGAGCAAGGCACGAATATCATTTGGACCCAGATGGCAGGACTCCGCACGCCTGCTGACAGGCTCCAGACTTACGGCGATTATGCAGTGACTCTAATGAAGAGATTCAGAGACCTCAGCTCCCTCTTTGATAAACCTCCTACGAGTCATTCCGATGGCACACTAGGGGTCGATGTACTAGTAGAAGCGGAAGAAACTCGGTACAGACGTCTGGTGGAGAACTGAAATGGAACTGTAGAAGAGATCCGGATGATCGAGGGCTTCTCTCGCTTCCTGTTTCCCCTTTGTTTTCCGATCTTCAGGATGCAGGTCGTGATGGGCCCATCATCGTGCTCATCGCAAGCAGATCGTCTTGCTATACCATTGATGGATCACGTGATCAGTGGCCCTCGAGGGAAGTACTTATCACTAGTATTGACCGGTCGACCGTCCATTTGACAGCCTCGGGCTCTCGGAATGGCTTTCGTAACGTCTGGTATCGTAATATTAAACTATCAACTAATCTCACTCAAGGAAAAACGTGACCTTACATCGCCATTGGAACAGCTCATCGCTGTCATTTCTGGCTATGTAAGATTCAGCCTCAAATGAAAGTTATGAAAAAGCCCAGGAGTTCTGTGAGAGACTTCTGGTCAATGCAGAGAGTAAATTATAACTCGACAAAACCCTCTCCCATTAAAGCCGGGGTCGGGGATAACATTTCAATGATGTAGCACGAGTAAATTATAATACATGGCAATTCGAGAGTATCAATTACTGGACCTGCGTCTCCGTCGCCTGCTCTTGGGCTTAGGCGGGGAGGGGGATGCATCCGAAGTCACAACTGTAGTAACAGAAATGTTGTGGTTCTCTTTCAGCGCGTTAGTCTTTAATGGAGGTGCCAGGTCCCCAACCCTTTTCCAGGGTTTATATGTCCTTTCGCTGGAGGAAAGCTTTTCCACCATTTGGTTTACACCCCGAACAGTATATTCTAAGAATTTGCCTGTGGTCCACTCGTCAATATTCCGAACAAGGAAGTAAACCTGCAGAATGTCGCTTGGACGATCAAGTTTCCACTCGTGGAACACATCATTTGATGATCGACCACGGGGACCACAATACGGAGCAGACATCATGACCTGCAATGCCATAACTCCATAAAATAATACAGATCAGAATAAATGGACATACCGTCTTTCCCTCTGATTCCTCACACCAATCAACATGCGCGCGGACAACTCCATCTGCCCAAATAAGCCCCGTGACAGGGGCATGGATACCAAGGGAGTGTAAATGCCGGACAGCAGCAGTTGTTGACATGCGGTTCTGGCGATATGCATCATCAAGAAGAGCGTGTACCGGCTTCTTATCCTCCCAGAAGCTGCTTGCGAACTCAAAGCCAGGCATATCGGGAAGCTGAGCACACGGGGTACTCTGGTACCTGAAAGAAGATCTCTTAGCCGCATTACCGGCTTTTACTACGGTAGGGTGGTTCTTGAGGAGCTTATATGGTGACTTGGCAGAATGCGACAACGGTCGAGTCCGTGAAGCGGGAATGAAGATTGCGCAGTCAGGGATGACGGTCTTCGTATTCAACACACGGGGCACATCGAAGGCGTTTTGAAATGTGTCTTGCGGTTGTGGGAGCGAAATCGCGCATTGCACCCTGATGTCGTTCGTAAATAACTTAACTACAAACGTAGAAGAGATGGGACGTACCGGAAGGTGCTTTCTCTGATTCTAGAAGTTCGGAATACGTTGTATCTGTAATATGTCAGAGCCTTGTATTTCGATGTTCAACTAATGCCTCACACGTTAGCCACGAAGTCCGCCTCGGACCATTTCTCTTTGGAACTTCTCATTTGTGCCAAACGCTTCCATGCACTGAAAACGACACATACGTCTTCAAATAGTTCGTTGCTTGCACTCTGGTCGATGGAGAAGAGTTCCGGTGCTGTTCGTGAAGCATCTGCTATAAACTTGGCAAAACCTGGGCTACAGTCAAAAGACTGCACGGGTTGCGTTGCATGAACACCATGATAATGGAGATTTGGATAGTTGATACACGCGCCGCTTACCCTGTCTAACCAGGAGCGAGGAATTCGCTTTGTGGTACCAAAGAGATTGTCCACATCCTCTTGAAATTCAGAGGGAAGGTCAGAGAGAGAAACTTGTTCACAACATTGATGTGACGACCATGTTTCAAAATTGCCCAAATTACGAGCAATTCTGAGCGGTGATTAGGTCGGGTGGTTAGAGAACAGGTTGGACCTACTCAGAAGCAGATACAGCTCGTGGTTGACTGGACGACTTGTATTTTTTCTTGGAGTCGGACATGACCAAAGCTCATAACTATGGTTCATATTAATAACCCATTGCCGAGACAGGGTTCCTGAGTACATGCTGACATGACCACCGAGCGCTAAGTTGCTCAACGCTTCCTGCATCTTATCTGGTGGAATCAACTCTATGTAATATAGTACAAGTACAAGTTTATCAGTGAGTGGTAATTACAAAGGATATCTGTTTCCGAGTCATGGTCGCCGTAGTACTTATTGTACAATGTACATTCATAAAGGTCCGTGGTATTCAACTGGGTCCGGCTAGGAATCATGAGCATACGATGGATCACTGCGAGAGGTAACTCACCGTAATCGTAATATAGATGTTTGAAGATGGGACCATCCTTCTTATCCGATGATGTGAACTTCACATGTCTAGCGTATCTCCTCTCGCCGTCTAATACTTCAAACCCCCATGTCTGAAGAGCATGAGGAACGAATAAAACCAAAGGATAAAGTCGTACCAGTTCTGCCTTCCACTCCATGCCACTTTTTGAAGTATCACTCCGGGCTACAGCGAGAATCAACCCATCTTCAACTGTATCTTCCGTCCAGCCAGACCTCAAGAATTCATCATCCACTTCCTCAGCCTTGATTCTCTTTGATTGTGCTATCAAAGCACCAAAAACATCGTCGTTTATGTTACGTTCCTCCCAATCGAGAGTGCGATACTCAGTCGTGCCTGAGATACCGCCAGATAGAGTCTGTTGGATATCTATGTGTTCAAAGCCGCCCTCGTCGGCATAGTGCTTCACCACAAGCGTCAACGTAAACATCGAGATGGCACGCCGCTTGAACCAAGACACGCCCTGGAGCTTGAGGATATCGTCGCTGTCGTCGCTCAATGTCTTGTTCTGTCACCAGGGAATATAATCAGAATCATCCCTGCGATGTACATAACCTGAGCACAACGAACCATAACATATTTCCCAGTGAGATTCTTGGTCGTTACTTCGGGAGGCGCAGCCATGATGGGCAGAAATAATAAGTGTGATGAGGCCGACGGTACTTTATGAGGCCCCGAGATATCACCAATCTCACAGTGAGCTATTGTTGGAATCCACGTGGCTGCTGTTGTCTTGTGCACAAAGTTCTACCGACAAATTGGCAACATTCATGTGAATGGTCACCGGTCACCAATCAAACATCGTGACGGAGCAACTTGTCATAGAGGAGATGAGATGAAATGGCTGTGAAGGGAACTTATAGAAGATCGATATTCATGCCCTGTGCACCTAGACCCGTGACAAGTCCGGTCACCACGTCAAATAATGGCGTAGTCACCATATCAGGCTGGTCACGAGCCTACCGTACAGCTTCGTGACATTGCCGGGGGTCGGGGGATACGAGGAGAGGAGTCGCGGCGAAGGGCTGTGATTTCGAGACGCGATTGCTCACAAACTGAACTCTCTTGTGGCACAACTTCAGCCCAGTGATGAATTCCATTTGTGATATATGTTCTATAAAATCGTGGCCCATTCAGAAGAAACCATCCATGAACTTCCGCGAGGCTTCGACACCAAGCTGCCATAACCAATACTGATTAGAACACAGTAACAAAGTCAGATCGAGGAACAAAACGTACGAATGTGGCAGCATTAGCTGGGAAAGCCTAAAGCAATATCACAGTATGTAAGCAATGTTCGGCATAATCATGGAAACGACATACTCTAGCCATCGCTGGACCAAGACCTTTCCATAATGCAGTAATCCCATCACGCGCTACGGTCTTTCTAAAGCAATCGAAAAGTCCAGAATATGTACCAGAAGGTGCAGATTGTATGCGGGATTTCAAGACCTGTTGAAGCAACATGAATAGAATCCTGGAGAGATTTATGGCTCGTGAGGCCTTACATCTGGAGGTATAGCTATTGACCACATTGCAACACCTGCAGTTCCGCCTGCGAACATGATGGCGCCTAGGTTGAGGTCTCCTGCTGACGACCCAGCCGGCATCAGGGCCTTCTTGGTAACTTCATACGCTGCAAAGTAACTGAGGAGCGTGATTTCAGTCCAGGTCGAAGTGTTCTCAAATGTCAGATGTAAACTTACACAGCACTGCCTGGTCCGTCGCGAGCGATAGTTGCACCAGTGCCTCGAAAGATACTTCGTATACCACCTTCCCTGTAAAGGTGCTTCATAACATCGAAGACACCTTTGTATTGGGGCCCTGAACCTCCTTGACCTTGCACCTGCAGCAGAACCTTTGCTCTCTCAACAGGTGCAGTAATGAGGGTCGTCGGTACGGCAGACAAGAAACCGGCAGCGGCAAGTTCTGCTGTAGAAAGCTTCTCGGATGTACGATTGGGTGTGAGTGCGAGTATCAAATTCTTAGAGGCATCGTATGCCTGGAGGTAGCTGTCTCAGCAAGACACGTAATTTGGACATGGGCACCGTATATTTACCCAGAAGGACACTGCAAAGATTGGAGTGACTCCCAGCAATGGAGGTACCATTCCACGATACAAGCTGTTGATTGAATTGAGAGTAGCCCTGAGCATAGACACAACCACTCACCCAGTGACACCATCTCGAGCTAATGTTTTCCTGACAACATCAATTGCACCAGTATACGCGCCAGGAGCTGCAGTCTGTAATCGGGTCTTGGTCAGGTCGAAAGGATGCCCTAAAAACGTATCAGCGTATGTCAAGATGCGCAAGTCAAGCCTTCTTACCTACAAGGACAGCAGAAACTCCTCCAAAACCTCCTGCAATAAACGATTTTACGTTGTCAATTGCCGAGTTCTTGGCCTCCTCGGCTGCTGGTGCTTCGCTGCTCTAAGAATTTGTGTGAGCGTGCTGTGCACTGAATGAAGGATGGTTCTGACCATGCTGGACGGTGCGAAGTCTTGGGACGAGTATGAGAAAAAAAGAGGACAGTAAGCGAGGAATACGCTGCGGTGCTCCGACAAGGAAACAAGGACCTTTCGGATGCGTTTTCATATGATATTCGCGCGTCAGTTTAGTATGATTTGCAGCCGGCTCCCCGATCAAACTCCTCCACCGATGTTTAAGCTTTCATCTGCTTTCACAAGCCACCTTACCCCGCAAGTATGATGTAACATCTAGAAATCGAACAGAGAACCCACATGTTGGATGTCTCAAGTTGCACTTTAGAAAATGATAGCATAACTAATGTCACATAGAATCTACAAATTAGTCGTAAAGGATTCATCGCCGTCCTGTTCAAATCCACCAATCGGCTCATATGTGGCTTCAGTAACATCCCTCTTCCATACTGTCCGGACAGCATAGAAGAACAAGCCTATCAACCCAACGCCAAGCGCTCCCACGAAGAGCGGCGCGAAGTATTCGATCCACCATGGCGGATGATACGGGACGAGCATGCGGTCAATGGTGATAACGCCGCCCGTACCCCCGCCCGTCGTTGCTCGACCCCACGTTAGGACGCGTGCCCAGTCAGCTTGTTTGTCTGTCCCCCTTGCGTTCTTGATCCCGACCATGTACTGGGATACTTTGTCGTCCAACGCGCGAAAGACAATATCACCATACGCCGAAGAAGGCGAAAGGAGAGTGGGATATTCGCCCAAATCTTCTAGCGGAAGGGGTCGGTTGTTATTCAAGACGTCGAAGACGTTAAATGAACCAGATTCTCCTGCAGATGATGTGCGAATGAGGTGTTGGCTAACGATTGCACGAAGAACGTCGATATTCTCGAGGAGCTGTGTAAGGTTGTTATTCTTGAACGCATCATCCGTTGGACAAAGTACGGTCCAACTTGCCCCACCTAAACCCTGGTCTGCCCACTTTGAATCTTCAGGAGGAGCGGTTCCATTCAGGATCCAGTCGAATCCAGCTTTCGTGACCATGTTAATCATAGTGGTGGCCTTGGCCGCCTTCATAAGCTTTCCTACATTTAACTCCACGGATCGCGGGATCATCAGATCTGACAGCTCGTGTATTACGCCAGTTTCGGTGAGCGTGTTTGTGGGATATAACGCGCTCTTCATGCCAGCCCAGCCACCGCTGGGGCTAACGATAACGGATAGATTTGGTAGGTGCTCCAGTTGTAAGTCAGATGTTTCAAGGGTGGCGAAAGTGCGCACAGAGCCGTTAACGAGGCTCTGGGAGTATTCAATACCGTCTATGATATGGTGCCTTATGACGCGCTCCAAGTCCGTCTTGGATGACGCAGCTAGCAGATGGTCGCTGACCAGCTTACCGAGCCGCTTGAAAGCAGCATTGTGAGGGATGAGGAACGTTGCGCGGGGCGTCTTCTTGATGTCTTCTGCAATGGACGTGGAGAAGACTGCGGCAAGGAATGAAGACAACTCAAGAGAGGGTAGAGCTGTTTGAAGCGGGTCCACAGGTGGTTCCAGAGGTGATGAGATGAAGTAGACAACAGTATTGTTGATAACAACTAGCTGTGATTCAGTACAAACAAACTACATCGTTTGGAAATCACTCACGGTGCTCTCCAACAATGCCAGCTCCACCAAACCTGATATGTCTGGATGGGACATCCTGCTTCTCATCGTCGTTGACCTCTACGTGTATAACTTGACTCCCATTACCAAGACCTGGCTCCTGAAGTACACTTTCTAGAAGCATGCCGTCTGCCAACTTCTTGGGCGTCCATTTCCCGGGGAGAAAGTGGTACTGCAACATCCTCTTTAGCTCATCGCTCCCCTGTTTGGGTAAGCCGTCGTTCCCGAAAACGGATAAAACATCGTCCTTCGGTGCTAGGATGGTGTATTGAGTCTCGGTATCATTGATGAGATGGGTAAGATTGACTGAGTGTATGAGAGAAATAAACAAAGTGCAGTTGAGTGCAAGAAGGTATTTCTCAGGTGTTAGTTGAAGGGCTCCTGGTGGAACCAGTAGAGAGGACACGAGGTGTAAGACTCCATTACTCGCATAAATATCGGGCTGCGAAAGGGTAGCGCCTGATACTGTAGTCTTCCCTTCGGAGACGACGACTTCCAACTCAGATCCATATTCAGTAGTCACTGCACTCCCAATGTCAACACAATAATCACGTGTACGCATTGTTGCTTACAGGTGGTGGCTGAGTCGAAACTGTCCGACCATCTGACACTCTCCTCGACAACAGCATGCATGTTGAATATGCGCAGAAGATCATCTGCAGCAAATTGGCTTTCGAGGTATAACCGCTCAATTGGATCGAGTGCTTCCCATGCAGAATCGACGGGAATGAACAACGTAAGCTCAGAGGTAGAGTTGATGACATTGAGCATGCTAGGTGTGAGGACCTTCTGAAAATATGACAAGGATGGTTCATGAGACAGGACACGACCTAGGTGGGTGAGTGAGAAAAGTGTTATGGTGTAGATATAAGAAGAAACTAACCGAGGTGGAGTGGAACATCAAGGACATGAGCAATTCCATACACGACACCATTTGCCGCCTCCACCTTCTGTTTCTTCACTTCAATACCCCCTTGTCCAAAAGCGTCAACACCGACCCAGCCTACGCCATCTCGTGAAGTGATGCGTAACTTCTGAGATTGGTTGCCTAGAGTGCTCTCGGGTATTGGGATCCATGGGGGAGGCTTATTAGTAGGAGAATCCAGGGAGAATTTCGGGAAGTGGAGTGTGTCAAGAACTCGCAGTGTAGTCAAGTCCTTTGGATCTTCAGTTACGGAGTAATTAAGGAGGTGGTAGAACAGTTGCTGACGTAGCTCCTCTTGCACATTGTCTTTGAGCAAGTTAGGATACTCGAGGGCTGACCTCCAAATATCGTGACGATTAATTGCGTCGTTAGTTGGTGCGAAAAGGGTGCTGCCATTCAACTTGTTCAACGTTGGGATGAGTTTAGCTTTCTGCAGGAGAGAAAGGAGTGATGTATAGTCCTCGTCATTATTGAGAACATCGACTAATGTTTGGGGCTGAATAGTTGCATCTGAATTCCATGCGACTTGGGTGGTCGTAGAAACAGCTACCAAAGCCAGGAGAGTGAGTGGTATGCAACCCCAGAGGCGCATTCTGGTATGAGTTAGCTAGCACTGAGAGGCTGGCGAAAGAGAACGTCGAGGAATAGTACTAAAGCCGCGCACCGCAGTCTGTGAATTAATATGACGAAGGTGGCTAAGCTACGTAGTCCAATCTTGGCCAGAAACAGTCAGAAGCACAAGTTTTCCGGAAGCATATTTAACAAGTCACGGTCGCCTGCCCTCCTTCACCTTGCAGCAGTACATATTGAAAGCTTACAACGTCAGGCAGCCTACTCTCTACGCCCTGGCATGGTCTACTCCGCGTGAATCAAACAATCTGAACTCACATTCGCTGCACAGATGTTAGATCTCCTGAAAACATTCACCGGCTCTCCAGTTGGTGCACTTCACCAGCTGGTTCTACCTCATGTCACTCTTATAGTGCGCAATCCATCTGCTCAATTTCAAGTTCATACTGATTAAGATCCTCTTCAACTAGCTGTACCCCTCTGCAGACACTGTAGTAATCCTGGATGCCAGTACTCTTGACCTCGTACGCGTGCTCAACTTCGGGGAAATCTATCCTGGCACCCAGCACCTCAATCAAACTATATCTTGCGTGGCAGTCGACTCCGCCATGAAAGTCGTACGTGTATCTCCTCTTTTACTCTCCCTCCTGCTACGCCTAATTTGATGCTCGAAGTAGATAGTTGCTTCCATGGACACGCACATTGCCGCATGGTTATTGTCAGGTAACAATACCTGGAGAATTCACTCTTCCATTTCTCTCCAAGATAGTGGCTCTGTCACAACTCTGGACTGCAGATCTGGTACTAGTCTTGTGTGCCCTTTATGCATCAACTATTGATTTCTATTCAGGGCTTCTCTCAGTTGGCAGTCAGAACGGCCTATCCGTCTACACGTTGATATTGGAAAATGACCTTCTCACATGGTCGAAGAAGTGGGAAGCAAGGTACAGCGGCGCATGTTCCTTTGCCTCAATATCATTTTCACCTCGCTCGTCAGGGTGGCAACCCCGTCTCTCGCGAAATTTGCTCCAACTCTTGCATTTATTGCCACTATATCTCACGTACGGGACCTCGCATCCCGCTTTTGATGCCCACTGAATTATGATTGACAGCACGATGATTTGGTTAGATTATATTCGACTACTTCCGGCCGCTTGGTGCAAGACATTCCTCACCCCAGGCCCGTTACGGACTTGATATGGAGGTTTTCTCAGGCATCACGAAGGTCGAGCATTTCAGACACTACTTTTGACACGAAGCTCACACATTGAGTGCAGTGGTGATCCCGCACTCTACACCATTACATCTGATTCCACGCTGCGGATATTCCTCCCTGTGATTGACGCACCGCATCGTCTGCAATTACATGCATCCCTCGACCTTTTCTCTTCGCTTCCGTTCCTCGTTGCAGCAAAACTTGGATCACATTCAAGGAAGTCTACGGTCATGTGGTTGGACAAAGAAGTCGTCCGGCGCACGATTAAAGCTGTCCTAGCGTCAGCTACCGAAGATGCAAGTCTTCAGGTCAAGAGGTTGCGAGAAATTGATGAAGAAGGTTGGGATCTCTTCGTTCGCGCTCTTGGGGATGGCTCTATGCTTGTCAGCGCCGTCGCAGTAGGTGTTAATGATCTATTCATTTGACGCAAATTCAAACGGGTTACAGAACATTGACCGCAGACCTCCGACGCTCATACGTCAATTTGCCCTTTCACATACGAGTTCGAATGTCCTCTCTCAGCTTCCTTCTCATCTGTACCTTTTCCCGCATCCTAATGTTACCAGCTTAATCATGGCAACATCTACTCCCCTCACTACATTCGAGGTGTCGCCCTTAGCCTTCTTTGATGGCCAATCCACAGGATTGCACCTTAATGCCAAAGGACTTGATAGGTTTCCCCATGAGGAGAGCAAGATACGAAGACTGGTTAGGACGCCCGCTGGAAGAGGCGTTGCAGTCGTACGCGTCGATGGAGGGGAAGTCTGGCGGGTCATTGAAGGGGGGTCTCAGCTCGTCCGAGGAAGACGATGGTCTAACGCAGACCATGTTGTGGTTCTGGATGGCGGTAAGATGATCTCGTTTTGCACGACATATGACCTAATTTTTTGGTGCAGGTAAGCTACTAGCGACATACTCGTCCGAAACCTCGGTCTTGACTCTACATTCGGAGCCCATTTCGACGCTTACAATCCTTTCCATCACCGACTTATTTTCGGCACCCTCGAGGACGACGCATGAATGTATTGTTGGCCTGACTTCAGACAGTTCCATCGTATACATATATATTGACAGCAAACCTAATCCAACCTTACGTCTGCATTCCAAGAACAATCTACCACTGGCCCAGCCGCCAAAAGTAATCATTCCCGTCGATCCAATGTCGTGGAGTAGGGATAGCTCCTTGGAGGAGCATGACACATTACTCAGTATCTCTGACGATGGCGAGCTTTCGTTCTGGATAGCAGAGGATGGAACACCCTCTGGATGGAGATGCACAGGCAAGGTCAAGACGGGAAGGAAGACATTCGCTCTGGCAAGTTGCAGCTCTGCGAAAAAGTCTGTCCTAGGTGAATAAGTCTTTCATTGTAGACCGGTGATAGCTGACATCTATACTGTCTTGATATCTCAGTTGTACAGCTGCCGGATGGCCAAGAGCTTACAATCTGGGACTCGAAAGAATCTGAATTCGCCTCAGGTCTCGAGCATCGCAGAATATTCAGGTGGGCGGGACAGTCTGTTGTTAACACTGTCTCATCCATCATTTCGATAGTACTTCTGAACATATTAACGACTTGGACTGGACATCAACACCTGATAACCAGTCGATTCTGGCTGTCGGTTTCACGCATCACGTCGAGCTATTGTGCCAGCAAAGGAAAACTTACTTTAATGATGACCCTGCGTGGGCTATCTGCTGGAAAGTGGATATCAGAAAGTACGTTCGGTGTTCCAACGAGCCTTGAGAGTGGACTGAATTCTCGCCAGTTACATCTCATATCCGATCCGTGATTCAATATGGCTCGCAAATGGGTCCTTCTTGATTGCAGCGGGTCACCAGTTGTTTCTCTTTGGTCAAACAGCACTTCAAAAGGATCAGGAACCCCTATTTCAGTACGTTGCTCGACATAATGGACCCCTGGAAGATTACCATCCGCAAATGCTCCTTCAGTGCTTGCTTTGGGGTAAGTATTGTGGATGGAGTAGTAAATTGATCTAATTATTTTGTAGGTAAGGTGGAGTTGGTGAAGCAAATTATCGTTGCTCTATCCCTGGTCGTAAAGGTTATATACGAAGACCCTACGCAGGATTTTCACTGGAATGCCTTTCCTGTGGAACAATACCTGCGTGGTCAGCATATGACATCTGTAAGCTGTTTCAAGATTCTGTCATCACTAGTGATAATTATCTTCCAGAATAAACCTTCAAAACGATATAACTCCTTGTTCAGCACCCCGCAGGAGAACTCGTTGTAAGTGTGTTCCCCTGTAACAGCATATGGGACTTACTCACATTTTGAAGACCGGATGAAACCGTCTTCTCCCGCCATATGGTGGAGACGCTTATCGAGCAACTTGAAACGCGACCTCTTCCTCATTTGACTCCCAATGAGCACGCATTTCTTCTGGTTCTCATTCAGACGACCCTCGAGGTCAGTGTGCGAATGTATGGCAAACCATCACCAACTCACCTTGTGTGTAGATCGAAGAACAGAGACGAGCACTGGACGCTAACGGCCTTCGCTATGTGATCTCTATGCGGTCATTTTATATCCTCAACCGTCGAGTCACATCTGATCCCAGCAGTCCACGCTCAAACGGGGCAATACCACGATCAACAGGCTGGAGGGAACGCCTGCGATATCGTGATATGGTCTGGGCCTTTCACAGTGAGAGCCAAGGGCTTTTGTTAAGCACATCGACGGCAGCGTGCAGTGGAAGGATGCTCTGGTCTGATGCCCGCGCCCTTGGAGTCTTCATATGGCTGAATTCGGTTGAATCCCTGGTATGTCCATTTTCACACTGGTATCGAGTCATGTTGAAATTCGGGGCATGCAGAGGGCTCACATGGAAGTCATCGCACGGAATGAATACATGGCTGGTGATAATCGTGACCCTACAGCATGCTCGCTCTTCTATTTCGCACTGGGCAAGATGAAGTTGGTGCATGGCCTGTGGAAGCAAGCTGCATGGCACAAAGAACAAGCCATTATGCTGAAGTTCCTTGCAAACGACTTCACGCAACCGAAACAGAAGACTGCAGCACTAAAGAACGCGTATGCTCTGCTAGGTAAGCAGAGATTTGGTAAGTTTCCATACCCTCTTTGTGGATCCTGCCACTACATGATCGCTTTAGAGTATGCTGCTGCGTTCTTCCTCTTGGGAGGGAGTCTGAAAGACGCCGTTCATGTTTGCCTCAGGCATCTGTCAGATTTTCAGCTGGCTATCGCTCTCGCTCGTGTGGTGGAAGGAAGCTCGGATGGTCCTGTGCTGCGGGACATACTACACAATACGGTGATCCCTACCGCCTTTCGTGAAGGCAATCGATGGCTTGGAAGTTGGGCCTTCTGGATGCTCAATCGAAGAGACTTCGCTGTCAGGATACTGGTGGTAAGCGAAGTCACTCTTTTGCGTAACCCTTGAGAGTTCATTTGGTTAGACACCCTTGCGAGATATCGCCGATGCTTTAGATATACAAGTCATAGAAATCGGCGAACCCCACTACGATGATCCTAGTCTTGCATTACTGTTTTCCCAACTCCGCTCCAAGACGCTTCAAACAGCCAAGGGCACAAGCGAGATATCAGGGCGCTCTGAATTCAACTTCGTGCTCCAGATCGCCCGGGTGTTCTGCAAGATGGGCAAGTGCGATCACATGTCAAGCTAGAGTTTGGCTGACTAGCTTCTCTACAGGTTGTCATGCACTAGCGCTAGATCTCGTGCGTTCGTGGTCCTTTGAGCGCCCATCGATATCTGTCCCTGCTCCGACGGAACCCCCACCAACACCGTATGCTACATTGCGGAGATCTCTTGCGCTAGATCCCAAGCTGCGCAGACGTTCGTCAATTATGATTGACATGGACATTGCATCTCCAGCTTCAACACGCAAAGTCTCTCCCGAGCGCTCGCTTGTCAGGGCACCCACGCAGGAGACCATCAAAGAGGAGGGTGACCTCTTAGCACGCAAGGCAGGCCTCGGCAGCCTACTTAAATCTGCTAAGCAGGATGTCCAAGTACCAGAGTTCAATATGGATTCGTTTTCATTTGTCTAATCCCTAGTAGATTCTGATCACCTCTCATGGGGTTGTGGACTTTGGAATCCCAAATGCGAACTGTATGTTAGGACTTTGAATCTGAGCCTGTAACGTTGGGCGATACTTACTCTTGAGGTCTGAGAACAAGCATGACAAATATCCATCCATCCAAAGCAGTCATGATTCAATTGTTCGTAAAAATGTAGTGACAGAAAACCTGTAATCAAATGTAGGGAGGGCGGATAAGCGAAAGACTAAAGAGTACAAACAACTTTGAAACTAGCACGAAAAGTTTTGTCGCCTGATCCTGGTGTACACTATATAAGGTATGACTATGGCAGAGGGTAGCCATGGAGTTGAGATCTCATCGCCTTCATTGCTCGCTATCGGATTCACGTTTCTTGAGTACGAGGTCCTTGCCCATTACACGCTTGAACACATCTTGCACATCTTCAACGACAGTTTCGAAGTGTGATGTCGCATCATACGAGCGTGTGATGTAGATATGATCTTGCTTCCCGTTGGCGACGGGAGTGTATATGGGGGAGACGGTCACAAATCTGTCGGATTAGTCAGAATGAATGAGAGTAAAGAAAGATGAAGAAGTGTGCGTACTTGTCGTAGATGCTGCCTAGGAGATGCAGACCAGGTTGTATTTCATTCTCAGGAGCGGAAGTCTCGACAATGGTGCTGACAATTGCGACATAGATGTTATCAGCGCATACCTTGTGTGTCGAGGACACCATCGCAATGTAGATATCTGTGCCACGCCATGAGCACGACTCATAAGATCATCACAAAACAGACGCTTACCATTCCTCCTATTTACCTGGTTTTGCGGGATAATAATTTGCACGCTATCGCTCTCCTCCGTACCAGGAATCGGGTGCTTCAAGATACAGATCGCCCTCACCACCTTACCATCTTCGACCACCCTCAGCTTGCCACCCTCCGCCTCCTTTCCCGCACCAAAATAGCTCGGGTCACCAATAACCATCTTGGCACGTACGGTCTCTGCTCCACTGCGGACACCTGCAAACGATCCATCCTTGTTGAGCACGATCTCATCAATCGGCTTATCAAGCATGTAGGTCCCGCCATAAATTGCACTCAAACGTGCAAAGGATTGGGGAAGCTCTCCAAGCCCATAAAGAGGATAGATGTAAGGGGATTTGCCCCATCGTGCCATAGAGGTGGTGTACAGGACAATACGCTCGTATGTCTCGCGGGCAGGTTTGTTAATATAGCTGTGGAGACGTATTAGCGGACTTGACGAGGTGTGGAGAGATCACGCTCACTCATCATCGAGATAGAGTGCCAGGGCATGCCCGATGAAGTCTTGAGTGCCGGGTTCTAATCCGAAGTGCTGGTATACTTTCCTCATACTATCCTTATCAAGATTCAATCCTGTCCCCGCGTTAGAATGATAGAGTCTTCACGTCTACACATGTTTATGCAGGCTCTCACCTTGGTGAGTTGTCGGATCTTCTTCCTCCCACTTCTGCAGGAATTCAAAGAATTTCTTGGCTCTATACTTCTCAAACAAACCCATCAACGGGCTCCTCGCTGCCTCCACTTCCGTGCTCGGGACCTTGCTGATCTTGCCATTCTTATACACAAATGAGCCAGCGATCTGTTTGAACTCGAGGTATCGCAAGACATCAGTGTGAACGAGTATTTTTACGAGTTCACCGGAGGCGATGATGAACTTTGGGATAAGATCAACTGCATAGTCGCGGTCACGACCCAGGTCGGCGGGCGGAGATTGTTTTGGGCGAAATTTACGATAGAACTGAAATCGTGTGTATTCGTTAGGGTGTCGAGTCGTTGATTCCGTTGCAAGAAAGACACCTACCTGTGTCAGATTCAAACTGGCAGACTCTCCACCATAATAATCATTTCTGTCCATGTGGAGGACTTTCTTCCCCTCCACGGACAACAAACCAGAGAGGATACACTCAGTGAGGCCAGTACCAAGGACAATGACCTAGATCGCGCCAACCAAAACCAATGATCAGATGTCAGTACAGATGAATGAGATAGAATCAGGGGCGGTTAATTACATCGTATTCTTCATCCATCGTGATCGGCTATGCGGAGTGAGTGTTGAAATATACTAGGTCTAGGAACAACAGGTAGTGGAGGCCGTTATGGAATGGTTGGCGGTTGAGCTTGGTTGATAATCTGGGCTGGGCAACCTGGACCATGCTTACGGTTGCCAGTTTAAATTAGCACGTGACCCCAACATAACCGATACCCAATGGTGAGCAGGCCTTTGTTCTGGACCTCGCTACAATAAAGAGTCCAGTGCTTCAAGTTTTCAGCCAACCGCATGAGCGTATGTACGTGTCAGTCCGTGAACCGGTAAAAATCGACATGATCCATACTAATCAAAGAAAAGACTTGTCGCATACCAAGCTGCTGGATTAATACATATTATTGTTGACCTTGCTCATTCAACAGCTTATCGCGGAGAACTCAAACAGATGTGCTCGTCTTGATTTTTTTTCCCTCAGACCCAACGCAAGGATAAATCGATCAATTGCATGCAACTTCATTATACACATTGTACAGACAGAGTTTGATTTGTTCTTGTAAAGGCTCACTCCACTGAGGAAAAGCTTAGTTCGTACTAGGAAGTAAGAGGATGGGAGGTACCCACCATAGTCGTAGTACAGTTTGACGTCGATCGGCCCAGACCTTTCCTTCGTGGTGAATCTGAAGCGCCGGGCAAATCTCCTGACACCTTCAAGGATGACGAAACCCCAAACCTGGCGTAGATCATTAAGATCACACTATGTCCACTAGACCGAACCCATCAAACGCACCACATTTATGACCCAGTCCCTCCCGGACTTGGCGGTGTCACTTTTCACGACACCGGCAATGAGGCCATCCTCAAGGGTATCCTCCGACCAACCTTCCTTCAAGAAATCAATATCAAGATCCTCGACCTTTGAACGCCAACTTTTGGCGATCAGATGTCCGAAGAGGGAATCCTCCTTGGAAATCTCCTGACCATTCAAAAGTAGAGTGTCTGCAGGAGCCTTGAAGCCTCCTGAAAGTGTCTGTTTAACATGAACGACCTCTACACCGTCATCGTCCGTGGTTTGGGTGGGTTCCAGTGTAAGGGTGAAGTTGGCAATAGCAGTGCGCTTTATGTAGCCAACGCCCTGAAGTTTCAAGGTTTCATCAATGTCGTCGCTCAGCGCTTTATTCTGCGATATATCGTGAGCGTTATGCGATAGTGCATCAAAGTAAAGACCCACGAGTCTGAGTTTTCCTGACAGATTCTTAGTCGTAACGGTGTCAGGACAAGCCATGGTTAGAAAAGATCGTAAATGAGTGGAAAACAATAGGTAGCAAGGGCATGATGCCTTGCCTTCTTATATTGCGAGTAGAAAGCCTTGATTTCATATGGAACGAGATAAGGATCCTATCAACTCGATATCCCCGGGCCACGACCCTTGACCGAGTGATACCCCTTTAAGAATAGCGTGAGTTCTAAAACGAGATTTAAACGCTTGATGAAGTCAAGTTATTACTTACTTCGGGGACGCGCAGTTGACTGCCGAGCCTTTGTGATCAGCACACACGAGAGCCATCAACGTAAATTACCAAAACTTGGACAATGGTACGACAATTGTTCTTGTCATCAGATCTCAGCAAGGGACCGGTCATGACCTCGGTCATGCCCGATTACCCTAGATTTGGTGTCTTTGGCAACATTGGGGTAATCAAGACCCCAAGTTCGAGGACTCGAACAAATAAAGTTAAACGTATACAACGTTCGCCATAGCAGCTCTTATTGTACATTCATAAAGGTCCGACTAGGAGAAAGATGTCAAAGTATATAGATCACTGCGAGAAATGACTCACTGTAATCATAATACAAGCGTTTGAGGATGGGACCATCCTTTTTATTTGATGATGTAAATTTCAAATGTCTTGCGTGCCTCCTCTCGCCATTCAATATTTCAAACCCCCACGTCTGAAAAATATAAGCGACACGAGTAAGACGAAGCGATAAAGTCGTACCATTTCTGCCTTCCATTCCATGCCAGTTTTTGAAGTATCGCTCCAGTCTACAGCAAGAACCAACCCGTCTTCAGCTGCCGCATCCTCCGTCCAGCCAGATTTCAAGAATTCATCCTCCACCTCCTCAACTTTGACTTTCTTTGATTTTCCGATCACAGCACCGAAAACATCATCGATATCGCCACGTTCCTCCCAATCAAGGATGCGATCTTCATTCGAGCCCTTGATACCGCCAGACAGAGTCTGCTCGACGTCAATGTGCTCGCCGGCCTCGTCTGTATAATGCTTGACGCTAAGCGTCAATGTAAACATCGAGATGGCACGTCGCTTGAACCAAGATAGGCCCTGGAGCTTGAGGATGTCATCGCTGTCGTCGCTCAGTGACTTGTTCTGTCACGGTCATCATCAGAATCGTGGCTATGACGTACATAACTTGAGCAGACGAACCATAATATATTTTCCGGTGAGATTCTTGTTGGTCACTTCGGGAGGCGCGGCCATGACGGATAAAATGAGACTTGACGAGGCTAATCAGTAGACTCTACGTATAATACATCGCTTTATATGTCTCAACATTAAACCGATCTCACAGTACTCTTGGTGCGGCCAGAATTTCACACGATCCATTCACGGGTGCATTCTTAAGTTCATATTGACATGGACGTTGATCTTTGCTGACGCGCTGACGTTTGAAATTGACTGCCGACTTGTCAACAGGAAATCCCCAAGACCATTTTTGTAGAATCAGAATCATCGAGATGGAATGACTGGATGCCCATGATGTTATGGTTACACTGAGATATAACGAGCAGCGCATGCAACGTTCAAGTTTGGCTGACGCTAATCGATATCATCGATCTCGACGAAAGATTTGGATATCGAAAACCCATTCTTGTATAATCATAGTCAATATAATCTCTACCTCCAAGCAGGAAAGGACTTTTTACTTATCACTTGCTCTGGTCGCCGCCTTCATTTCAGTGGCAGTAGCCCCTCGGGTACGCAATTCAGTCTCTACCCATGGCCTTGCGGTAATCGAATGCCGATCCAAGGAACAAGTGACTGGGGATGCAATGACGGTTTCTCACAGGTCCTAGGTCTTGCCTGAGCTCGAAAAAAATATTATTATCATGAGAGAAAGGACGAGGCACGCTATCATACAGATCTGGATGCGTCAGGTGCAACTTCCTTTGACGAGCACGCCGTGAAGCAGAAGCAACTTCTATGGTCTGCCCATGGGAGACTAACTTAAATTTAGCCTTCTGCCACCTAGGATCAGCAAAAAGTAGAACGCTCAGTAGCATAAGATGTTACCTTCTAGTCTATTCCTGCTTTGGAGCAAATACTGTGATGACCCTCCATATGGCATCCTTGCCACGTTCCCAAGCTTGCGGTCCTCTGGCTTCATCCCCTCCGAATTCAACCATAATTCCGTGCTTCAACCACTCACACCAAATGCCAATAGATCCAGATGAAGGTCCAGCACCACCGCCTTTGCGATCAGGTTCTCCAAGGCAGCTGACGAAATCTTTACCGTTTGATGTGAGCGAGATCTCGATCGAGGACTCGTTGGACGCCGAAGCCTCAGGTGAGAGCGATAGGTTCCACTTTGACATGGAATAGGTAGAAAAGGCGAGCTCCGCTATTCGACTGGATGTAGATGTTTTTGTGGTGGTCACCTTAGGCTTTGGGGTGTTGTAGATGTTAATGCTGTCAAGCACTAATGAATCAACTTGAAGGTCCTCGAGCTTCAGCCCTCCGGTGGGCTTGTACCCATTTTGAGGGATAAAGAGGAAGCTGATCCCTAGTGGATAGTAGTTGAAGTAGACTGCATCTGAATATGATTTCACATCGGGAACCGTCAAGCTCGTGTTGGAGTGTTGAACGAGATCTTTCAAAAACACGGTTATGGAGTCAGCGGATGGATTGGCGCCCAGTAAAGTCTGGATACCCGGCACCATCTAGTTTGAATGAGCAGAGGAATCAATCAGTAAGTTTATCTGGTACTCGAGCATGAGCGTACGACGGTAGGACAAGAGGGTTCCTGACAGTCCGCTGCTATAGATGTAACGAGATAAAGAACAAAATATTTGCGCGAGTGGTCACGTGGTAACATGTCCCATTCCGGTCTCGAACAAGTAGTCTTCGAACAGGCGTGCTCAACGTGATGCCATGGCTTCATCGACACCAACTGCCAAGGTCGAGCCTGAGGACTCCAAGTCCTTCTATGAAGGGCAGCATGAAGAGTATTCTTGGCTCGAAAATGCCATATCTAGTGCCATTCGGTTCATCATGAACCTCTTTCGCCCAGTAGCACCTCAGCTGATTCCATTATTCGTATGTCTTGCGTTAATTCCAGTTATCATACTTTTCTCCCTTTTCTCTGGCTGGTACGTTTGGAAGAATGTCGCCGTAGGGTGGGAGTCTCCTCTGTATCTGCAATATGGGTGAGGTCTCTTCCAGCCGCTCGGCTGTTGCTCATGGTACTTGTTTCGTTATAGCGATGGTACTTCGCCGTATGCTGAGATATCGTTACCATCTCTGGTACCTAGCCAACTCTATGATATCTCCATGCACCTCGTTATACCAGCATCAGAAGCGAATTTTGCCCTAGGGAACTTCATGACTACTTTGACGCTCTCGACGCCTTCTAATAGAACCTTGACATCAATTAGGAAGCCAGTAGGTACTGAATGGTATAGCCGCAGAGAAGATACTCACACATCCCAGGCTATAGTTCTACCACCTACAAAAAGCCGAGTATGGTCGTCGCCAAAATTAGTCAACCTTGACATTCTCTTCCTTGAGTCGCACGCACCCGGCGCGTCTCGCGTTATCGCCAGAGTGGAATTGGGGCGCAGGGATGGATGGAGGGCCCTTGGCAATGGTGAAGGACGAGAGTTAAGTGTTGTTTCTGCATTCCTGAGAGGGGCCGTCAAGCACCACGGAATTCGGTAAGCACATCTGTCGCCGTTTTCATTACCTGAACCTTATGGCCTGCTACCGTATAGGGGGCTTGTGACACGCTTCCCAGTCACTTTTGCTATTGTATCATCTGCCACTTTTCTCGTGATATCTCTTCTTGTGCTTGCGTCATGCATACTTCCCGCAATTCAGTGGCGCTTCCCAAGTGAGGACGACGGATCTGGTGAGCTGACCGAAGAAGCCGCCAAAGAGCGCATATACCGCAAGAGGCGGCAAAGGAGAAAGTTATCCCCAAAGAATGAAAACGATTCGCCAAGCGTTCGTCTATTGTCGAGTTTTATGAATTGTATGCTGAACGGTATCCCAGGAATATAAAACAGAGGATGTCCCGATTGATATGCCTCCTGCGGTTACGTTCTCTGAACAACCATTGCGCCGGCGTCGCTCAAGAGCCTCAGATGTTTTATACGATTCTGAACCTTAAATGTTTCTTCTCGGACTGTAATTGTTTTGCACGGACATGTTTCGTTGGCACTTCCGTGACGATTGTATTTATAGTTATAGTTCTGTCGCTGGTAGTAGTAGGTACAATCTCAATGTCTTGTAATTTCAGTGCTGCACACCGTCAATGTCGACTTCAATTGACCTTACGGCTGTCCTCTCGTAAATTGCTTACGCGGACTCTGAACATCGCGTCGGTTAAACCTTCGCATGTGGGAGATACCACCTTGTTCGCCAACCTACGTAGTATTGCTAAACCTTTTCATGTATTATTCCCAGTAAACCTTTCCATGTAGCATTGCTATTTAAACTTGGATATCCGAATGTGAAATCGCTTAAGGCGCCTAGTGGATTGCATGACAAGGTAAGGTTTAGGATACTCCGCGACAAGTACCATGCGAAACGCGGTGGTGGTCAAATGAAGAGCGTAAGTAATTTACGAGAGGACGGCCCGCAAGGTCAATTGAATTCGACATTGACAACGACATTTTAGAATCGACCACAGGGTAGACAAGAGAAATTCAAAGTCCGCGAAACACATGCTCCACATGTCTCGGTACCTCTTCATCCCTGAAAAATTGCCACTATTAGTACTGACTAACAAAGAATGCAACCTGAGCCACCAGGACGTGTCGTCATTTCCATTTTACAGACTCCATTATTACTACACCCACTCTGAGCACAGACCGTACCGCTTAAATGTCCACATTGCACGTCGAAAATCTCTTCGCTGTCGCAGGGAAGGTAGTTCTCGTGACAGGAGGTTCTCGTGGGATTGGGAAAATGGTGTGTCCCAAAAATTCAACTGCGCGTGGTGGTAAGGACTTAGTTTTTTTCTCCCAGATTGCCTCCGCATTCGTGAGGAACGGTGCCAAGGTGTGTATTACAACCTCCTGGCACATGGAAGGCACCTGACCTCCGTACCGCCGTGAAATAGGTCTATATCTCGGCCCGTTCTGCGAAGGAATGTCAGGCCACCGCAGAAGAACTCGGATCCAGTGGCCCAGGTTCATGCACCGCAATCCCAGCTGATATGTCTAAATTCTCTGAAGTGGAGCGGTTCGTGCAAGAACTCTCCGCGCGAGAATCCGTTCTCAATGTCCTCATCAATAACGCGGGGACAACATGGGCAGAGCCTATCGACCAATACCCAGTGCGTCATTTACTGTCGCCTTTGTTTGTCTCGCTGAATATCATACAACAAAGGATGAGGGGTTTTCAAAGGTCCTCACTCTGAATCTGCAACGTGTGTTCACTCTGATGCAAAAATTGCTGCCATTATTACGTGCGGGCGCAGCTCAAGATGGCAAGACAGGGGCCGTATATAATGATCCGGCACGTATTATCAATGTGGGTGCATCTTGAAATTTCGGAGATGTCCTTCTATCAACTTTTGATCCCATCAGATTGGCTCGGTCGAGGGCATCGGTGTGCCCGATCATGACACATATGCCTATGCTGCTGCCAAGGCTGGTCTGCATCACCTCAGTCGCCACCTCGCCGGCCGCCTTGGGCCCGAGGGCATAGTCAGTAATACCATAGCCTGTGGTGAGTCCGCTCTTTCATTCACTTCCCCTCTGAATTCACCGACTTGCGTCGACATTGCAGGTGCGTTCGAAAGCAAGAGTAAATCCATCATGGTTCATTTGTATTTTTGTCGTTTCATTGACTTGAATCTTACAGTGACGGCCCAATTTTTTGAAACTGCAGGGAACATCATCATCAACCAGATCCCGACGAATCGCTTTGGTACGCCCGAGGACATCGCAGGGGCCACGCTGTTCTTGGCAAGCAGGGCTGGTGCATACGTGAACGGTGCGACCATTGCCCTCGATGGTGGCTTTCTTGTCAACATGCCGATGAGCAAACTGTAAGAAGGAACTCGACGTTATATGCCTTATCATTTCGCATTCAGGAAAATTATGCACAAGTAACCTAACCACATCCGGCCGGCAGAGTTCTGCACCTTCCAGACCAATTCCAGACGCTAATATTTTCGTTCCACTTCCATGACTGGTATATAGATCAAGCAGATATAATACATCAGACCACAAGGGTCACTTGTTGTCCTCCTTTGTCACACTCGCGTCCCTAGTGTCTGTACTTGTCGCTTCCTTCGCCTTTGCTTTCTCATCACCCTCACCACCCTTCTTGGGAGCATCCTTTCCATTCCCACCACCACCCAAACTCTTGACCATATCCTCTGCATCGTCTCCTTCAAGCCCAAGCTCTTCGACTAACAACCTTAAATCGTCATCGGTGACTCTTACGCCCTGCAACCCGTACCCCTCCAGCTCCGTGCTTACATCAAAGTTGCCTTCGTGTTTGTTCACTGGTTTCAATGGGGTATCTGGGTCACGGGGAAAGAATCGGGGCTTGTGATGTTCCGGCGTCATTTGCGCGATGGGGACGGCCCCGGGCACACCAACGGGTTTGACCTCGGGCGCCGGACGATCTTCGTCGGTGGCGACATCCCAGCTTTCATTTAGCCGCAAGAAGGTAGCCAGTCCTTCGGTTTCGACGGCTTCTTCGCTGTATGGGGTAAATTGCCATTGAGACACAACGGGGTAGGAGAGAAGGCTTACAAGGCATCAAAGTCCTGTTCGGCGCAATTGTGATGAGTACTGTTCAGAAGGCGTGGATAAGAGCATACCCCAATAAATTTGCCGCCTACAAGTATACCTGGAAGCTGTTGCTTATCTGCCGAATCCGTCCGAGAGGCAGTATGAGCGCAGTATCAGAGCAGGATGTGATCGAACGCACCAGGCGGGGCCTTACGCCTCCACAAACGTTTGGCATCATCGTCAGAGGCAAGATCATAGGAGGTGTATGGGATCTTCTTGGTTTGGAGGATGCGAAGAATGTATTCTGGTTCATATGATGGTAGATCAACGTTGCGCACGTTCAGTGTCTATGTACGAACCTTGGCGCTTCCTTACGACGACCTGCGACGCGATTGTCGTGAGGAAGACTTGGATCGGGGGTGAGGGCATACGTGCTTTGGAACTTCAGGTGTTCATGAAGTCACGGCCGTCCAAGTTCAAAAGCTGATAGGTATCACGTGAACGTAGACGATACGGAAGACCGAAAGCAGGAATTTGCTCCACCAAGTGCATACGTGGATCGCTTCAAGTGCATAGTGTCGTTAGGACGCAGACTGATGCATGTGATTGAAACATCGCTAAGCTACTAGGGGTCAACTGGTGGATCCATCAGACGAAGCTGTATCAAGCTCGATATAAATATGCATATCTGCTGTGTTCGAGGTGATTTGGATCAAATGAAGTGAACTGATAGGCAGAGCAGAAAGCAACTTGATTTCATACATGAAGATGCGAGATATACAGATGGTTAATGATGGAAATATTGCGTGATGAATACATAACAGACAAGTGATCCTTTTCCTTTATCTTCATTCCTTTCTGTTTAAAAAGGTCGGGACAGCACGTGCTATGACCATGGCTCGCACGCTCAATGGTGCGTGGGCATATCAACTGACGCCTTGTTGCCAATGGCATCTTCTTGACGCCAGAGACTCGTCGTGGTCTGCACAGATGAAGTCGACAACTAAGTTCAAACACAGAGGGCTTGATTAGACTTACCTTATTTTGCGTATAGAAATTAATACCACTCTTCCCATAGAATCCGATATCACCAAGCACACTGCCCTTGTTACCGCTCCATGCAAACATAGGCAAAGGAACCGGAATAGGAACGTTGATGCCAACCTGTAGAGGCAGGAGATGATATTCCATTAGCATCAGTCCAAGTTCCTTTGAAGCAGTGACCCAAAACCCCAACATCACAGCGCATGAAAGAATAGAAACACACCTGCCCCACATTAACCCCCGATTCGAATTTCCTAGCTGTCGCGCCCGACTGCGTAAAAATCACAGCACCGTTGCCGTACTTATTTTTATTGATAATGTCGAGCGCATCGTCGAGCGTGTCTGAGGTGATCACGGTAAGCACCGGGCCGAATATCTCTTCGCTGAGTGTAGCGACGAGTATCAGATTGTGACCAGTCATGGATGAGAGATAATACACACCGGTAGCACCGCATCTCCACCGTTCCCTCTAAAACTGTTGGACCTACAAAGTTACCAGCGGAGTACCCAGGAACTTGAACGTTCCTCCCGTCAAGATGAATTCGCCCTCCTTCGTCTGCACAGGATGCGATGAGGCCCGTGACACGAGCTTTGGAGGCGGGAGAGATGAGGGGGCCACTGTGTGCGGTGCAGGTCAGCGTTGCGCAGGTTCAGAGGACGGTGAAAGGGTACTTACAGATCTGCGCCCTCCTCAAATCCTCCGTTCACGTTTAGCTTTGATGCGCGTTCTACAAGCTCAGGGAGCCATGATTGCGCTGCGCCGACGAGTACAGCTATACATGCACAGATGCACCATAACGTAGGTGTCAAACGGCAGGTTCGCACGACTTACCTACTGAAACTGCCATGCACCTCTGTCCCGCAGCTGTCCAGGCACGATCATGTCAGCACAGTCCACATTAAAAGGGTGGACGCCTACCGCCGAATGCAGCACCAATAATGGAATTGAGCGCAAGATTCTTATTTGCTGTGTATTACGTGAGTTTCAGTCACACACAATGAGAGGTATCTTACCATCAGGCATGATTACCGCATGATTCTTTGCGCCCAAATTTGCCTGCACACGTTTGCCGTTCTGCGTGGCCCTGCCGTATCCATCGACATGGTTCCGAAGATCATAATTTAGCTCGTTCTACTCACCTCTCGTATATATGTCTTCCTGCGCGATCTCCCCCCACAAAGCTCACTGCTTTGATTGCCTCGTGATCACAAATTCTGTTGACAACAGGCACGGTCCCATGCACCACGTTTACTACACCTTCGGGGAGACCAGCACGGGCACAGAGCTCAGCAATGATCATGGCTGCACCGGGGTCCCGCTCAGATGGCTTAAGGATGAGGGTGTTACCAGTAACGGTAGCAAGGGGGATTGTCCAGAGGGGAATCATTCTGAATAGGGACGTAAGGGGAAGCCAGGGACGTGTAGAAAAGAGCTTACGCTGGGAAGTTGAAAGGTGCAATGCTGTAAGAGGTAAGTGTATGTTTGCGTGGGATACTTCAAAACGGACCTCGCGCAGACGCCGAGAGGGAGCTTTCGGACTTCTGTGTCCATGTCTTTGCTGACTGCGGCGACGTGAGCACCATGACCAAAAATTCAAACAGCACACAAACCTTCCAGTTTCTCGCCAACGATGTTGGAGGTGATACCGATGGCAGTTTCGACAACTTGAAGACCACGGAGGACATCACCGTGAGCATCTTGGAAGTGATTAGAGAGAATGCCGAAAGGACCGAGAAGGTACACGTACCGGCAAGGGTCTTTCCCTGCTCGAGGACGATGCTGTGAGCAAGTGCGTCTGCATTTTGACGGATCTGATACTGAAGTCTGAATGCAACGTAAGCGGGTCAGGTGTTGGTAAGGTGGGTATTCTTTCTCGAAGACAGACTCTATGGCAAAACGTTGGCGAGCGAGAACGCTCTGCTTGCTCCATGACTTGAATGCCTGACTAGCAGCATCAACTGCCTGGTCAAATTCCTCCATGGTAGTCTCAGGGACGCGTGTGAGCAGTGTTTGGGTCGACTGCCGGACAATCATTAACACTTGCTCTTACACAGTAATCTGGGACATAGACGTACGGGGTCGAGCACATCATGCCATTGTGTTGTCTTACTGTCGACGAAGGCGCCGCCAATGAAATTCTTGGTGTTACCTCCAGTTGCACTAGTACCCTGCCAAGTCGCGCTGAGATTCTCTGCCTTGGGACGTGCGAGGGCATTTAAGCCTGCTGTCGTAGCATAAGAGCGCGATGGACTACGGAGAGGAATACGAGCAAGACGAGAGATCGACATGACGGACGGATCCAACGGGAAGGCAGACCGAGTGCAGCTCTCGCTCGGAGTCTCAAGTACTTTACGGTGCCCCGCGATAATCTCACGTGACTATAGCACGTGATGAAGACACGTGGATTTGAGTACTTTCAAATTGTGGGCTCGTCAGGGTCAACAACGGTGAACTCATCTTCTCGCTGTCGCGTACGTCCTAAATGAACGCCCCAATACCGAATGGATTACCTGCCCACCACACCGGTCGACCTCAAGACCAGTTCTACAACCAGAGCATGACAGGCATCCTCAACCATCAAAACTGGCCGTCGATGAGCCAGAACCAATATCCTCACCAACCCCAGAATCATCAATGGCAACAGCACCAGCAAAGCATGCAGATTAATGGTCATCATACGGCCCAGCAGCAACAGCCAAATTGTAACGTGCCAGTTGCACCGAACGTGAACTCAATTCAGCACGCGTTCCCCAATCCGAGTTTTGATCTCGCGTCTGTCGTTCCACAGCAACTCATGCAGGACTTTCTTCGCCTAACAATTCCAGTCGGCCAGTCACCTAACGACGATTCCATCCTCGCTCAAGCTCTTTTCGACTGCAAGCAGTCCGGGAAGACGTACAGACAAGCTTTGGAGGGGTTACATGGTGTGCGTGTCATCTCTACTAAATCGTAACATGCACATGCATTAATCACACTCCCTTAGGTCAATAATCACGCTGCCAACCTTTGGAAAGACTATTACCTCGACCACCACGACCGCTTCGATGTCCTCGTCGCTCGTCTAGCAGAAAAAAGCCAAACATCAAAAGCAGTCAAAAAACCTTTCAGTTCCAGCCGCGCATCCACCTCCGCGACAAAGTCTGCTTCCCCTCTAAACAATCGCGATCGTGACTCGCGGAAAAGACAGTCTTCACCTTCCCCACCACTCCGACAAAGTCGACCCCCCAAACGCTCTACACCTACCGCCATCAGCACAACTCAGTCCCTGGGCTACCGTCCCCCAAAACGCCCCAGAGCAACCCTAAACTCCCTCTCTGCACCTCTACTCCCAACAAACCTTCCCTCCAAGCTTATGCCGCTTCAAGCAGATATCACTTTACCCCGTCCACCGTCGCGAAGCCCTACGCCCCCAACAAGAATCGAAGCTGGGACAAACGGGAACAGGTATACAGAGGAGGATCGCGCGTATTTCTTGAAATTTATCAGTTGGAGGCTGAGTCAGGATGCGAGCCTGACGAAGAAAGAGTTATGTGCGATGTTGAATGAAAAGGTGGGGAGTTGTGCTTGAACACGTGTTCAATATTGACCCTGTACAGGCCCCACATCATAGCGCACCTTCCTGGGCATCTCACTGGCATGCCAGACATGACATTGCAGACAAGATCCTGCACTCCTTTCAGGGCGATGAGGATGAGGACGAAGATGAGGAAGAGGACGAAGAAGACGAAGAAAACTCGGACTCTCCAAACGCACTATCCGATGCGGTTGAAGACTCAGAAACTGAAGTCATTCGCCAGACAACATCCATACTTCGTCGCACAAAATCGGCTGCTCGTGTCCCAAACACTAAGATGGTTGCATCCAAACTGGGCGTCGCTTCCTCGCAACCCTCCCCTTCTCCCTCGTGTGGCAATCACGATGCCTCCGCCACGACAGATAATGACGAAGCAGACATGGGAGCGATTGGTGGTTCGTTCACACCTGCGGATTGGAGGATTATAGCCAGGTATGTTGCGCGCACTCCGGGGTGGAATGACATGGTAGGTCGGGAACGATGGGAAGGCTTTCTTGAAAAGGTGAGTACTATCATATTCTATATGCTGAATTTGGTGAATTGATCGTGTGCATTTGATGGTGTAGTTCCCGGATAGCGAGAGATCAGAAAAATCATGGGGTGAATTCTACAGAAGGAACGAAGATGGTGAGCACCTTCCTCTCGCATGTATGTCCTGAGGTTGTCTCTCATTAATTTCACATAGCCATCATGTCACTGGCAGCCCACTACAAAGGTACAAAGTGGTCGAGTAATGATAGTATCAAAATGCAGCAAGGGCGGCCGAGTTGGGCACGCAACCGGGGGCGGCAAGGCACAGAAGGAACAGAAGAAAAAGGATCGGATGAAGATGGCGATTATGAAACAGACGATGGAGAAAGGTAGGGGATATGCGGCAGAGAAGTTTTGCCTGTGGTCTATATAGGATGATATGCTGGTCGATATTTTGATGGCCTCGGCAAGGTACCATACTTTTTTTTGGTAATGATCTTTTGCAAATCTCATATGACATCTACGCATATGCATTCCTCTCTCAATCTGAGCTGTGCTATGAGGATGCTCAAGTATGCTGTGGTGCTACTTAATAATCAACTATTAAGTAATAATATAGGGGACAGCATCGGTGATGTTTTAATTTTGGATGGTTACTGCGCAGTGTGCGTCTCAGATGTCTTTTCGCACAACCAACTCTTCATGACAGTTGCCTCAAACTGAGCTCTCATGGATCAAGAGCTCCGGAACAGTTCTTCTCGCGAGACAACAGTCCACTCAAGCGAGGAGAGATCAAAGTTTGAGGCAGGGACCTCAGAGCAAGGCCTCTATGGTCCGGACTCATTACTAGTAGGAGCCTCACCTCATCCTCCACCACCCTCCACTCGTTTCTCAAGACTCGCTGATTCATTTAGAGCACGATCTCCTCAGTTGTATCATGTTATTGATCGAGCGGTCAAATACATTCGGGGACCCAGGCCGAAGGTCGATCTTCCGAGTGAGTTTCTATGTTTTGAATCACTCACTACCAGTATTCACGATATGCAGACCCTGTGCCCCTCCTTGGTCGCACGTACAACTTCAAAGGCCGCCGATTTGCCATCGCACTCGAACCTGCAATCATTCGATTCACTCGTCCACTTACCGTTGCATGGCTTTTCGTCCTCCTCGTAGCAGCATATATCATTTCCTTTTCTTTTTTGGTCCGTGCACAATGGTATACAATCCCTGCAAGCTCTTTTGTCGGTTGTACATCCGTCTTCTGGACAGGAGACGCAGGATGCGGTCTGGACGGTAGCTTGTGCGCGCCGTTCAGTAATTCGTCTTTTGATTTCAGATGCCCGGCGCAGTGTAACAGTGTTGTCCTGCAGAACCCGCGTGTGGTGGGCGATGAATCTGTGGATTTTGTACCGCTACTTGTTGGAGGTGGGGATAGTCAGAAGACTTATAGAGCTGATAGTTTTATCTGCGCTTCTGCCGTTCAGGCGTAAGTTGTCGATCATTTCAACGCTGCAGACTTCACTCACGTGTTCTCTACATAGCGGTTTTTTCAGTGACTCGACAGGAGGTTGTGCATCTGTTAACCTCGTGGGGAATTTCACGAACTATTTACCTACAACTGCTTTCAAACTGTCTTCCATCGGATTTCCCTCTGTATTCCCAATGTCCTTTAGATTCTCACCGTCAGATGTTCTGACTCACTGCACCGACCTCCGCACACCGGCGCTCGCTTTCAACATACTTATTACATGTTTACTCTTCCTCGTATTACGACCCAAAGCTATCGTCATGTGGTGGTGCCTCGTCTGCATTGGATTTTGGCACATTGCATTGTTCTCCCAGCCCCAAGCGACTCCACCTCCACTGGACGTCGCCTTCGGTGCATTCCTGCCTGCCCTTTTCGTCTGCTACGGATTCTGGCGCGTTGCTGTGAGGTTTACATTGCCTCTGTTCGCAAACGCTCCGTTTGAAGCTATGATATGGTACCTTGCACCTTACTGGACTGGTGTTCTTACAAATCTTACCATGGACCAAATTCCTATTGATCGATTGACCGCAGCTGATATCAAGCAACAACCGGGGGGTGTTCTAGCGCTTATCATTATTGTCCTCATCCTTTTCGTCCTGGTGGTCAACCAGATACGTGTTATTCGGAAGACTGGCTGGCTGCCATACTATCTTGGGTGGTACATCATCGGAGGCCTCGTGGCGCTGGTACTGGCGTTGCTGCCTGGCCTGCAGTTCAGACTGCATCATTACATCATCTCGATGGTATTGTTTCCTGGTGTTGGGTTCCCAACGAGGCTTTCAGCGATTTATCAAGGGTTCCTCCTTGGAATGTTCCTTAATGATGTGGCTGCGTTCGGCTTTGACTCGATACTGCAGACCGCTGCTGATGTATGCCCTTTTAACTATGCATGCCCTCAATAGCTCATGTAGTGTTCAGCTTGTTGACGGCGGGACAACTGGCTCTCCCTTGCCTACTTTCCTCACGAATTCCACCACCTACAACGCCTCCGTTGCTCTCGCGAACCAAACCATTAGCTGGTACGGCATGCCTACGGCCATTGCCACGCAAGGCTGGAATGGTTTCGCATTACTCGTGGATGATGTGGAGGTGTACGTGGGCACTGCACTGAACTACTCACTTGCTGCACTAGAAGCTGGCTTGCCACATTTCTTTAGGCTTGCTGTAAGTGCTTTTAAGGGACTTTCTGCGCTGGCTAAAGACTGGTGGATTCTTTTGTAGTACGCACTGGATGGTACAGCTGGTGATTTTACGATGCCTGTGACCCTTTGGCCGAATGGAACTTGGGTGGACCCGCTACCCGGAGCTTCGTAGATATTTATGATCATTATCTATAGCTAGAACATTGTAGTTTTCGGACGCTGTCGTTGCGTAGTAATAGGAGGTTCAGGACTTCCTATCTCGTCATGACCAATATTGTTGGCTTGTCCTCGTGGTTCTCTTGTATTAGCAACGTACACAGTGGAAATACGAAGCTGTTCCGTATGCGGAATATATACGGCTGCTCATCGTAATTGTGGACTGTGCCACTGGAGTCCTGGTCTGTGGACACACGGCCAATTGAAGGACATTTATACTGATCTTCCAGAGGCTCCGAGGCAGCCCTCACACTTTCTCAATCATCCCATCATCCTCTGAGTACTCTCGATCTGAACCCATGGCACCTCGTTATTCCAAAAAGTTGAAATTTAACAAGAATCAATGTACGTCCTCACCTTGAACGGTACCTAGACGCATGATCATGATCCGCTTATAGATTTCACTCCCGACGGCTCACGCCGCGAATGGACTTGCAACATTTGCATCCCAAGGTGCCCCAATCAATTCCATTTCACAACTATGCAAGCCGCAGTTCGACATGAGAATACATCTCCCGAACACGCGCAACACATTTCCGATGTAGAGTGGTGGCAACCACGGGACGATGACGGCTGGGGAACCCTCGAACAGCCTCCGCTAACTTCCGATGGCCTACGCACATGGGAGATGCAAACGCACGTGGATCATGTGTATGATCTAGTGCCGTTCTGGATCCGCGGGGTGGATGCTGCTGAGAGGGGTGAGGTGCTAAGGATGGAGGAATTCCTGCAGATGATGGAGGAGAATGGCGGATGGCGGACCTCTGATGAGGTTTGGGGGATGTTGGGAGCTTTGAGGAAGCCGAATCATGAAGAGGGGAGCGATGGATGGGGGCGTAAAGATGATGTGCCTATTCCCAGGGCTGCCACCGTGACCGGTACGGACTTGACATCGGGCGACCAGGATAAAGGCTGGGGCGTTACGGAGGAATGGGCGGTTCCCCCTACCAATACTAGTAGCTCTTCTTCCCACCAGAGACGAGATCTCGGCGGTACGCATCCTTTTGTAGATGACATCGCTCTTCAGGAAGCGGCAGGTGAAGATAGGCGCCGAAGGATGAACCACTTTTTTGAAGTGAGTAACCTCCTGCAGGGCTTTGACAGGGCTGCAAGTTATTAAACTATTAATGTTATGCTTTTAACAGATGCCGACGGAACAGAAGGTGCTGAAGATTCAGGAGATGATCCGTTACCTTCGCGCCCATCCTGCCTAGCAGTCGCTGCCTTAATACGCCGCTTCTCGTTGTTGTTAACATGCCCTCATCGTTCGCCCACTCGTTGATATAAAGTCTTGGTAACTGGCAAGTCAGCCTTCAGGGGTGACTTGTCAAGTTGAAGCTGAAGGATAAGGAGCGAGCTCTTTCAAGTTGACCCTTGCTCGGAGCGAAGTCAAGTTGTCAAACCAAGGGCTACTAGTGGTTCATAAAACAATGGTATTCCCGTACGTAAATAAGAGACATTGGTAAGTGTATGGATGCGAAAGTAACGATGTGATGTCGCGGATCTATGCAATGTATTGATACAGTAGTAGAGTAGAACGAAATGTGCGCAGCTGAGCCAAATATATAAGCGGGGGATCATCATTAGCGCAATAATCGGAGGAATAAAGTAGTAATGTGCACGAGAGCCTATGTACACAGGCATCGATCTTTATGAGATCCTTATTCGAATCTGATTCAAAACGCAGGCAGTGATGCACTTTGATTTCAGTCGCAGGTGGCAGGGCAGTCATTCTATGAATGGAATCAAGGGAAAGAGTCAATCAAAAAAGCATGACAACCTACCGGACGGGTGAATGTTAGCATGCCATGGTAACCTTTGGCAAAACCAGCGCCCGCATATGCAAACAGGTATTGCCATTTGCACTGGAAAGTATCGAAATCGGCCTTGTCTTCTAGACTAGGGTAGTTTTCGATAATCAAGTCTTGTCGACATTGGCATCAAGCGACGTCCCCATTCGCGCAGCGTCCGCGGGTAGTCTACACGTACACAATGATTAGTTATTGAGAACGCCATGTAAAGCAAAAGCACCTACAAGCTGCGCAATTTTCAACACCCTCGAGCATGAAATGCCCTTTTGAACCAGTGTTGGCGGTAATGAGCGCTGTGGCACTAGGGAGGTAAGAATTAGGCCACATCTATTTGCGCATGAAATCCTCAGGCCGAAATCTTTTGGTTAGCGTGTCACGGTGAAATGCAAACAACGTACTGATAGCCAGAGTACCGCGATTCTGGGAATATTGATGCACTAACCACAGCCGCTGCATTGCTGGACTTTAGAGCAAAGTCGGCAAGTTTGAAGTGGTAGTGCTTATAAGAGGAATTTCGTGGTCGTCCATGAGATGAACACGAATGACATCTTCAAGTTGCAGACCAGCCTTAACTTAATGCATTCCTCAGCAAGAGCCTTTTGTTCTTTTGACAAAGTCAAAGTGTCGACTTCGCAGCTAAACGTGCGAGCAGTCTGAAAGAAATCTAATCTCCACAAACACCTCCTTCGGCTTCGGTACCACAGGGCATCATCGATCATGGAGTCCGAGGCCTGAGTTTATTTGATTAAAGCTAAAAATAACACTACGTAGCGATAGATTCCCATTTACGGCTGTTACCTGGCTTTGCCACTGTTTCATTCGGTCATTAGTCTCCAACCTTGGTACACCGATCTCTGGCTGCCACTGCATGTGACCACAGTTCATCATTGCTATAGGAGACATAGGATCTCTGATCGTCCTGCAAATTTTGCGGAATGTGCAGATGTTTGTACTGGGACCACGCCGCCTTATCCGTTGTGCCACTAGTGTTCAAGAATTCAACGCTAACCTAGCTTCAAGTTGTGACCGGCTCCGGACGAAGTAGAAACCGGCATGTCTATTGCCTTCCAGGAGTAGTACACCCCTGGACATTAACACTTTTGGTGGTTCAGCCTGGGAGCACGAGAAGTTTGTGCGAAGCTTCGTTGTGGTAACTATTCGGTGTTCCAACGTCGAGCAATACCATGTCTGAAACACTTATACTCATGCTAAGGATGGAACAGATGTTGGGAGATGTAACCTCCCGGAGGATATGGAGAAGCATAGCCAATGGAAATGCGTTAAGATGGCGCTAACGCTCTAGCATCGACTTTATAGATTGCCCGAGGACGCATCATGCATATCGTATCGATACCATTACTGAAATCGGTTTACCACTCACATTTTGAAACCACGAAGAATAGCGTATTGCACGGATACATCTTTACTAGCCGCCCATGCACTGGTTTGGTCATCGACGTTTCAGCTTGCTCGCGTACCAGGAATATCGATCACCGCAACACCAGCATCCGCTTCAAGGGCTGTATCAGGCAATATGCAAGAGTGCGGGGGGCACGCACGGTACTACTATCAGATCCCTAGTATCATATTGTCATGCAGATTGGCCTCGCCATGGGCCCGATCATATTTATTATCCAGTGCACATTCCTCGTGCCTGGCCTCACCCGAATTATGCACTAGTAAAGGGCCTTTGACCAAGCATAGCGCGGCAAATATGGATGACTTGGTCAGCGAGGTGACTCGTTCGTGGTGTAGTTCTCAGCATTATACATGGCCTGAGTCACACTGGTCTCCCCTATGGTTACGCTTGTGCAGCGCATGGGCGCCATGCTAAATCCTATGTCAGATGCATCGCATCACACCGGCGTGCAAGACATGCATAAAGGCCACCATTCGTCTTTGTGAGACCCTACAAAGATTTTCTAACTTACATTATTGTTTATTATTCCTGATTCTTCACGATGCGCATCTCGACTGTTGTTCTTGTATTCATTTCAATGATGCTGGGTATCATTGGAGTCAATGCACACCCCGCATGTAAGCATAATTGTGAACTTCTTCCCTCCCGAGTCTGATGATGACGCAGTAGCAGTTCGTGGATCTAATGAGATTAACGCTTCGGGCATGCCACCGCGACGTGTCGAGCCGTCAATGACTGTAGCTGCAAATGGCCTACCCCCGGCTTGACTGGGAGTTTTCTGGCCACCGCAATGAATTCTCTTGACAATCATTACTATACCCAGTTTGCGCCATAAACGATATTCCATGTTAATTATAATTCCTACCGAGTCTAGCTAGCTTGGAGAAATCAGCCATTATCATCGATAGTCCTTATCCCTTACCTAATACACGATACCCGCTCTTAGTTCGTGTTACCCCTGAATTTTGCATTACTATCAGTTACAATTGGTTAATATTATTAGCATCATGGGGCGTGGACGTACTTGTAATAGTAGGGAATATTTGAATACCAAATTCTGTTTGGAGCTTCCGGTTTTCCTCTGTTTTCCTGTGCCGCGTCAGACATATACAAGAGTTCGAGCATGTACTATCGTTTCGCTAGTGGACTGTCATAGCATTTATGTGCCTCGGCTTGAGTTCGTCGAAAGGGCTCGACTATCGCCAATTGTGCACATCAAGTTTTCCTCCGGTTTGCGCTGAGTGCTCTGCTACAACCCAAACTGTCATTAAGGTTGCAAGCATAATGCTAAAGATTGCTGGCCTGACAACTTCAAAATGAACTCGGGACTGCAGGCGTAGGCGGTGGCTAGTGCCAGCATCCCCAGAGCACGTGCATGTGCATCAGCATTAAGCTCGTAACCTTGTGTCCCGAAACACATAAAGGGCACGATTTTTCTTCAATCAAATCCGGCAATATTTACTTTCAATCTTCCGCTCCCTCACAATGCGCATCTCATCTGTTGTTCTTATATCTGTCGCAATGATGCTGACCATCATCGGAGTTACTGCCTCCCCAATCGCTGAGGCCTCCGTCGAGAGTGAGTGGAATTAAATTATGAGCTAGCTCTGGTCCCGAGTCTGATGATGACGCGGTAGATGTGCAGCGTCAAGTACCGAGGGAACCAGGAAGGGGAGGATACACCAAAGAATGAGCATCTTGGACGAATAGTCGAATACTGAATCCTGCTTGGAGGTGCCCATAACCTTGGTGTTCCTTGTGCTGCGTCAGATAATATACATGAATTCGAACACCTACCATCGCTTCGTTATGGGATTGTAATGTAAGCAATGAGCTTTGGATCGCTGAAAGGGCCTACCCATGGCTGTCACCGGTTTCGGAGCGTTCGGCCACAACCAAAACTAGTATTTAAAGGCATTTTCAAGTATGATGGCGAAGCTTGGTGACCTGACAACATCAAAATGCACTCAAGTCTGCAGGAATAGGCGGTGGAGTATTTAGAGCATATGGAATGCATTGAGCCTGTAAGCTTGTCGCGAAAAGACATCAAACAAGTACGGTTCGCCTTCAATCAAACTCAGAAATATTTTCCTCCAAGTTCCCAGTCCTTCAGAACCACAATGCGTGTCTCAACTGTTTTTGTATCTGTCGCAATGATGCCCGCTAAGCACCATCGGAGCTTGTGAGTTAGTCGCCTACGATAAGCCTGAATCAGTGGGTTAACTCATGAGGAATTTTCGATCACCAACATAGGAACGTGGCGCGAAGACCCCCAAGGATGACATAGATACAGACTCCAAGCGGAATGAGGAAGCTGGCGGCATGAATGTTCATCCCAGTGATGGCATTGACAACTGCACTGCCACCAAGGAGTAACATACTCGAGACAATAAGATTGACGACCAGTCCAAAAGTCGCGAACATGAAGTGTGCTGTATTGCTGTAAACGAACGTGAACAATCTCGAGGAAGGTGTGACAGTATGGTGCGATCTGTTTAACCCTCACGGCGAGAATTGCCATAACGAATATTTGAATCGTAACCTACCAGCACTTAATGATAGCCAGCACATAAACCATACTCGTAGGTCACTGTGGAGCTTTGTAAGAGTGTTGCCGCCCAGGTCCATGCCGACACGATGCCAGAAGCAATAAAACCGGGTTTGACGCTGCGTGATGCTGTATTGAACTCCTCGGAAGTGGAGATTTTGTAGGTTGTATATAGCGATTTTGATTCTTGAAGGGTTGGCAAATGTAAGGCGGCTACTTGAGTTCGAAGGGGAATGTGAGCAAAGTTGATTTAGATATGAAAACAAGAGAAATGATGAGACGAGAAACGAGACAGATACGTTCTAAAGATTTTCTGAGGATCTTGGAGCGGGGGTCTGAGTATAGGATTCGCTGGTAGATATGAGAGTACATGGACTGTATATAAACGCGAAACGGTAAGGGTCCTCGGTATGGCTTGACCAAACGATTAGGTGAAACGGAGAAGTGGCGTTGAACCTGATAGGTGGCTAATGCGAGCAAAAGAGAGAGTACGAGAGACTGAATGAGTGGCGGTATGAAAGAGTTCGGTTTGGATAGAATGACGAGAATTTTGTAGCGGTTTTGATAGATTTCGGTACGGCAAAGTGAAAATGGAGAAATTGTGACGAAAGGAAAGAGTCCGAGGGTCGATAATAGCAAGGGTTTGATGTAAGTAGCGAGTGTAACGGTTATGTGAGTTGAAAACGATGATGAAAGAATGAGAGAAGGAAAAGAAATGTATCCGCGTGACTCGCGTAAAGCTTGTTCGCATCAGTGAGTCACGTGGACTATTGCGAACGCTGGACCGTCGCTGGTAGAATCTATGATTTCCTTTTTGAGGTGCGGGCCGTGCGTAGAGGATACTACTATGCAATCCTTACACTGCAAATCCATCATGATGATAGTGAAAACAAACCGATACCGAGCACGACGCGTGAATTTACTGATGTAAGTCATAATTTCGATACAGTTATTTTCTCGCACATGTACTAGCTTTGTTCTTGCTTTACATAGTAAATTCGGCTATTAGTCTCCAACCTTGGTACACCGATCTGTGGCTGCCACTGCATGTGACCACAGTTCATCATTGCTACAGGATACATAGGATCTCTGATCTATATTAGTACTAGTAGCGGCCCGGTGTCCTTCAATTTCTGTGGAATGCGCGGATTTGTGTACTGAGACCACGCCGCCTTATCCGTTGTACTGCTAGTGTTCAAGAATTCAACGCCAACTTAACTTGCGACCGGCTCCGAAGTAGAAACCGACGTGACTATTGCCTTCCAGGAGTACAGTCATGTGTTATCTTAGAGTGATTTATAGCACTGGACATCAACACTCGTCTGGTAGTTCAGCCTGGGAGCACGAGAAGTTTGTGCGAAACTTCGTTCTGATAACTATCTGGTGTTTCAACGTTGAGCAATATGTCTGAACACGTGCACCCATGCTAAGTAGTAAGGATGGAACAGATGTTGGGAGATGTAACCCCTCGGATGATATGGAGAATGATTAATCATAGCCAATGGAAGATGGCGCTAACGCCCTAGCATCGTTAATTTATAGATTTTCCAGGGACGCGTACATGTCATATCAATATAATTACTGGAATCGGTTTACCACTCATATTTTAAAACCACGAAGAATAGCATATTGCACGGATACATTTTACTAGCCGCTTTGCTTTGTCCATGCACTGGTTTGGTCATCGACGTTTCAGCTTGCTCGCGTACCAGGAATATCGATCATCGCAACACCAGCATTCGCTTCAAGGGCTGTATCAGGCAATATGCAAGGGTGTAGGCACGCACGGTACTATCAGGTCGCTAGTATCAGATTGTCATGCAGATTGGCCTCGCCATGGGCCCGACCATATTTATTATCCAGTGTACATTCCCCCTCGTGCCTGGCCTTGCCCAAATGATGCACTTTCGACCAAGCATAGCCGCGGAAAATATGGATGACTTGGCCAGTGAGGTGGGGTGACTCGTCCGTGGTGTACAAAGCTGCGGAAAATATGGATGACTTGGCCAGTGAGGTGAGGTGACTCGTCCGTGGTGTAGTTCTCAGCCTGATCACAGTATGCATGGCCCGAGTCACACTGGTCTCCCCTATGGTTACACTCGTGCAGCGCATACCATAATACATGGGCGCCGTGCTAAATCCTATGTCAGATTCATCGCATCGCACCGGCGTGCAGGACATGCATAAAGAGCACCATTCGTCTTCGTGAGACCCTACAAATATTTTTCAACTCACATCATTGTTTGTTCTTCACGATGCGCATCTCGACTGTTGTTCTTGTATTCATTTCAATGATGCTGGGTATCATTGGAGCCAATGCTCACCCCACAGGTAAGCATAATTGTGAACTTCTTCCCTCCCGAGTCTGATGATGACACAGTAGTGGTTCGTGCATGTCCTAGTGCTAGCGCCGCTTCGTGTTTGCCACCTGCCGAGCCGTCAGTGACTGTAGCTGCAAATGGCTTACCCTCAGCTTGACTGGGAATTTTCAGGACACCGCAATGAATTCTCTTGACAATCATGATAATACTTGCTATACGTAGTTTGCGCCATAATCAATATTCCATATTAATTATAATCCCTACCGAGTCTAGCTAGCTTGGAGAAATCAGCCATTATCATCGATAGTACTTATCCCTTACCCGATACACGATCACCGCTCTTAGTAAATGCTCCTGTAATTTATTTGTTCTCTTTCGTCGGGAGTTTAGACTGTCTCAAGGAGAATCGAATCGTCTTTCTCACGGATAGATGGCGCCAGATGCTCTGTACAGCAAGGATGCCAGATCCATAAATGCCGTGATTAGTCCTGAATTCTGCATTACTATCAGTTGCAATTGGTTATTAGCATCATGGGACGTGGACGTACTTGTAATAGTATCTTTGCAGTGTAGGTTTGATTGTGAACGTATCAACTGCTATAGGGAATATTTGAATACCAAACTCCTTTTGGAACTTCGCGTAACTTGGAGTTTTCCTGTTTTCCTGTGCCACGTCAGACATATACAGGAGTTCGAGCACGTACTATCGTCTCACTAGCGGACTGACATGCCATTTATATACCTCGGCTTGAGATCGTCGAAAGGGCTCGACTATCACCAATTGTGCACACCAAGTTTTCCTCCGATTTGCGCTCAGTGCTCTGCCACAACCCAAACTGTCAGGAGTGTCTGTCAGATATTAAGGTTGCAAGCATGATGGTAAAGAATGCTGGTTTGACAACTTCAAAATGAACTCAGGGCCGCAGGCGTGGGCGGTGGCTAGTGGTGCCAGTATCCCCAGAACATGTGCATGTGCATCAACATTAAGTTCGTAACCGTGTGTCCCGAGACACATAAAAGGCGCGATTTTTCTTCAATCAAACCCAGAAATATTTGCTTTCAATCTTCCGCTCCCTCACAATGCGCGTCTCATCTGTTGTTCTTATATCTGTCGCAATGATGCTGACCGTCATCGGAGTTGCTGCCTCCCCAATCGCTGAGGCCTCCGTTGAGAGTGAGTGGGATTGAATTATGAGCTAGCTCCGGTCCCGAGTCTAATGATGACACGGTAGATGTCCAGCGTGAAGTACCGAGAGAACCAGGAAGGGGAGGATATAACAGGGAAGCGAGGGAACCAGGAAGGGGAGGATATAATAAGGAAGCGAGAGAACCACTGGGAAGGGGAGGATATAACAGGGAAGCGAGGGAACCAGGAAGGGGAGGATACAACAAAGAATGATTATCTTGGAGAAATAGTTGAATACCGAATCCCGCCTGGAGGTGCCCGTAACTTTAGCTTTCCCTGTGCTGCGTCAGATAATATACCTGGATTCGAGCACGTACTATCGCTTTGTGATGGGATTGTAATGTAATCAACGTGCTTCGGATCGTTGAAAGGGCCTACTAACCGTGGCTATCGCCAGCTTCGGAGCGCTCGGTCACGACCAAAATGGTTTGAGGACATTTTCCAGTATGATGACAAGCTTGGTGACCTGATAACATCAAAATGGACGAGAATGGGCGATGCAGGGTGCAAAGTTGAGTACGTAAGCTTGTCGCGAAAGAAAACATGAAAAAGTACTGTTCGCCTTCAATCAAACTCAGAAAGAATTTCCTCCAAGTTTTTGCTCCTTCAGAGTCACAATGCGTGTCTCAACTGTTCTTGTATCCGTCGCAATGATGCTGAGCGTCATCTGAGCTAACGCCTCCCCGATTGCTGATACCTGAGTCTGCCGAGAGTGAGTGTATTGAGTTATGAGTTGTCTCCGGCCACGAGTCTGATGATGATGCGATAGATTTCCGGCGTGAAGCTGGTATGGAAGTAAGGGAAACGTATACTGTCAAGACATGTACATCGCCTGCCGCGGTGACTGAGACATGCACGAAACCAAGACGGTGTGGTACTGGCAAAATTCTAGATTTGAAGAGGATGTACGTAGTTTTTTTTCAGAATAGTACTGCGGTACCTACTCACAGCCTTTACGTGTAGCTGAGTCCACTGGACATGGCGGTCCTGACACAGCTTGTGCTGCGGAAAAGGGTGCTGACTCGGAGCGCCACTCGCTTTCGAGGTTATTTTTAAGATTGAGCTGTTCGGTCTCACTTCCATCATGCAACCGTCGGATTACATATAATAGTTGCCTATAGCAACTACAAGGTCCTCATTTGTTTACTACAGGTATGAAGTTGTGTGTAGATCCATACACAGCTTGCATCAGGAATGTAGCATGCATCCACGTTGGCAGTCGAGCGATTAATTGGTATCGAAGTTTCCTTTGTGGTTGTAGCTATGCCAGAGCTGTGTCTGTGACAAGCCGTCGGGGTAGTAGTGCACCCCTAAAGGCACGTGATGGATGGGTATAAGAGTGACAGTGCCCATTGGAGTCGCGCTTGGACAGCTTACTTACTCAACTCACAATTGACCATAACCCCCATCGTATCTCGCATGTCTCAGTCTCAGCTACCCTTGCCAGATGGTTGGATCCAGGAATATGATTCTCAACAGAAGCACCCATTCTGGGTAAGCACCACTGATTTCTCTTATCAGATTGAGTTCTGAGTCTTCTGACCCTTCTATAGGTTGATACAACGGCAAAGCCACCACGAGCAATATGGGTGCACCCCTATGAAGACGAGCAGTTCCTTTCTGAGAATCCAGATATCAAAGCAAAAGTAGAGAAGCTCAAAGGAGAATCTTTGGAAGATCCCCCTCCGTACGAAAAGCGACGTCATTCATTCAGCGGGGGAGAGGCGGCCGGCCCACTTCACACCAACGCCAAGTCTTCCGGGAGTGCAGTCTCGCCATCAATCGACGAGCGCAATGAGGAGCGAAAGCGTGGGATGTTCGGGAAGCTGAAAGATAAGGCTATTGGTACGAAGGAAGAGCGCGAGGCACACAAGAAGCAAAAAGCTGAAGAACGTGCGCGTGAGGAAGAACTGCGTCATGAGGCACGGAGACGAAATTTGGAGGAACGTGCTGCGTACATGCAGCAACATGGTGGTTATCCGCCGTACGGTGGTTATGGTTACCCAGATTACTCGGGCGGCTCTTATGGTCAGAGTCGATATGGCCCACCTGCAGGAGACCCATATGGATACAATGAAGGTCGGTATGGAGGAGCGTCTAGAAATCGGCGTGGAGGGTTTGGAGGGGGAATGGCATTACCTTTATTGGGTGGATTGGCAGGTGGACTTTTACTTGGGGATATGCTTGACGGAGGGTTTGGCGGAGGTGGATTTGGTGGCGGAGGATTTGACGGAGGATTTGGTGGTGGGGGTTTCTTTTAATTTTGTTATGATATACCCTATGTACATTAACCGTGACACCGAATGTGGGAACTATGGTACTTTGTATTTTGAGGAGGGACTCGACGTAGCTAGCTACGCATCTTGAAGAGCAACGTGCACGAGCAACTTTCATGGCTAGGGTGCTGCCTTCATCGCTAACCCCGCACATATGCATCCTTCCTTCTCAAGACCTTGAAGAGCTCCTTAAGTCTTCTGCTCTACCTTCCCTGCATCATATATTGCAGTCCTTTTCGCCATTACCACAAGGTCTGTTTGATTATTTTCGACCAATATTATTATTCAATCCCTTCAAAAAGTCACAACCCGCACCACTGCTTTGACCACTGTGCCCCATGCATCATTTGCACTTCGTTTTTCTGACTTGACAGAAATCGAGGCCGCTTGTCGCGAGGATGAGGAACAACGCGCCACCCGAACTATTGACTGGATCGGTGACCGTATCGGTAAACGCTGCGCCAAATGGGTAGATGATTTCGAAAAGATGAACGATCAGGATGTTGCAAGAACACCTTGGTGGGATGAATTGAGGCGTTGTGCCGAAGGAGATCACATCCCAGCTAGAGATGAGGGATGGAATCATCCAATGTCAAGTCAGTATTTCTACTTCACCTTTCTATTGCACCTCACAGTCTTGCTGCAGTAATATTAGCAGTCTCTACTACAGCCCCAAACCCGTTGCAAGCGATCACAGCCTTGCATTCCCGAACATTAGACTTTCCATCATGGGTAGACGTCACACATCTCATTTACACCCTTATAATTCATCCCAAGAACTCTCCGCTTTCTGACGAAGAGTGTGTAATCACTGCTCATTACTGTTCTTGCTCTTCATAACATACCTTTTCAGAGCAGGTGCACTCTTCAATGCCGTTAGGAAACAATATGGTCTACACACTTACCTTCTCTCTCTTGAGCTTCCATCCCCTCCGCCACCCCCCGTATCTATCCCAGCACTCGTTCCCCGATTACCTCCACCTACTATTTCCAACGGTTCTGCTGATACCGTGCGCCCTGACCTAAAGACCACACAGACGGTCCCATTGAATACTCTCAGAATGTCTGAACAAGACATCCAACAAACAGCCAGATTTGCGCGAGAATTTGTCACCATGAACTTGGTCCCATGGATGGAGAAGTGCGTGATAGAATGGAACGAGGCGGTGAGTATCAACAAATCGCCTCCGCATACTTACTGAGTACCTTCACCAGTATTCCTCGAGCCGAAGACTACCGTCACGTTTGTTTTCATCAACACGTCGGCTTTTCGGAACTTCGTCTACAACCCCAATGCACGCTATTACACCTTCTCTGCCCGGACGTTCCAGCACATACGCCGCACCTCAGTCCTCAGTATCCGGTTCCACCATCCCTCCACCATCCCAGCAACGACGCTTAGCTGAGTTTGCAACAATCCTTGGTGACTTCAAACTAGCAGTTGCCGTTTGGGAATCATTGCGGAAGGAAGGGAAAGGAGGCTCCGTAAGTGTCATATCTTATAATATACTCCTGCTATCTAACAAGGTTGCTCTTAGGATATCCTCCCTTTGCTCATTGCTCCCTCGCCAGCCGTGCAGCTCCACGTCTCTCATGCTCTGACTACCATCCACCCCCAAAGCGCTGAGCTTCATTCACATGTACAATTACGCGCCTTGCTATACGCTGTGCGATGGGAATCGACACTGACCATTGGTGACTTTCTAAGTGATACCCTTGAGGGCGAGCGATGGCTTGTCTGGGCTGCAGGCAACGTGCGTTTGTTACCATTTCTTGCCCTCGACAAGTGCACCAATTGACTGTCAGGATTTAAGGCAGAAGAACCACCAGCAGCCCTCTTATTAGCTCATGCCGCACTCCTCAGCGTTCGGAAGAATGCAAGACGGCGAGCAGCGCTGTGGTATTTCTTCGCTGCAAATCGCCTAGAGAAATGTGGTATTGTACGTTGTCTCGATTCCGAATAGTAATTTTACCGATTCCCAAACGCGTTTCCAGAAACCGCTAACTATGTATTTCCTTCGGAGAGCCCATGAATTATCCATCTCCCGACCGGACAAACTCTTGTCTCCATCATTCTGGATGTCCGAAAACAAACAACCATCAGACTTTGAAGGATTCGACGCTGTCATGTCTGGCATTGAACATCCACTTGGTGAGTGTCTTTTTGCCGCTATCTTCGTATTTCCTTGATATGGTGTATCTCTTAGGAAGATTGCTGTATACCACTGGGGACGTATCAGGCGCTGTACGACACTTTTTGGGCCTCTTGCGGTGGTCTTCAGCGTCATCCTCTCCACTTGCTCAACTCTCCAGTCATACTGTGGACATTGCGAAGGATCCTAGTAACTCGGACCAAGTGTTCCTTGAGGACTTCCAGGTTGCAATTTCGGTAATGTACATCCTTCCGTCACCTTTATAACTCTCTGACACCATTTGCCAGCACTTGAAGTCAGTATCCGGGGAGCAAGCACGCCTTGCAGATGTCAAGCTACCACTTCGTTTCGTTGTGCCCTCGCAGACCTGCGTTCGCTTAGCTCGAGATTCTGTCGAAGGTGAACAGTCCGAGTGGGAGACTCGGGAAGAGATTTGGTCGTCCTTCTGGAAGCACCGAGGCAAGGAGAAGCTTGAACGAAGTGGAAATGCTGCTGTGGAAGGTAATTTTCTCTGTCGCTATGCTTTCCGACTTCTATCAACTGAGCTTTTGCACAGAGGCATTCTGGGTTGATATCACCCTGCACAATCCCCTCGAAACGGAAGTCACCTTGGCCAATCCAACGATGATCGTCGAATCGTCTTCTGGAGATGCTGCCTGGATTAGAGATAACATCGCAATCGAGACTACCAAGGATACTATTCTCTATGCCAACGAATCGCGCACAGTTAGTGGTAACAGTCGGGTTTTCCTGCTTAGGCTGACCGTAATCCCATTCAGATATCCATCGCCATTAAGGCTTCCAAACCAGCATCACTGGTTATCACAGGTGTCGCCTATGACTTCTTGGGTCTCCTTCCAACGGTAGAATCGCTAGCACGCCGCGGTCGCAGGCTACAGGATACACCTCAGCAGAGACAGACAATCACATACGCCCCTGACGAATTCTTGAAGCTCAACGTAGAAGAGGCCAGCCAAGAGCTTGCAGTGGCATTTGTGGACGATGGACCGCTTGTGCTTGCTGAAGGAGAGTGTAAGCGGATGAAACTGTGGATTTCGAATGCTGGTTCGAGGGATATTGGGGAGGTGTGGGTTGTACCTGGTCCTGAAGATCAACTCTGGATCCAGCCTCTGGATAGCGGGGAAGGTATGTTTGATTGCTGGTTTATTACGTTCGCAAGTGTTTATGTTGAGCTAGGCTCGGCTACGGGCATAGCATGGAAAACGTGGCGGTCCGATAATAAGGTTGTTCCACCGAGACCATACAGTATACCCCTCGCAGAGAAGCTCGTGGCAGCTGGGAGCACCGAAGTCACGGTTGTTTTACATGCAGGTCGCAAGCAGAAACAGAACTTGTCGCTTCTATTCATTTACCGCGAGGTGAGTCGCTATAACATCCCTCATCCTGCTTTTGTTATGTTGAGATGTTTGATATAGGCAGAAGGCAGCCCGTTTCATTGCACACGTGTCACGAGAAGTTATGAGGTCGTCCAATGCCTCCAGATCTCTACCGCCTCGCACCCAAGTCACTCGCCAAATCATTCGTTCTCATTAAGCCTGGACCTGACCAATATCTTATCTTCGAGTAATGTGGAGATCGATCAAGTGACAACGATCAGTGCTAACTGGACATGTTCTCCCCTCGTTGAACTCTGGCCGTAAGTGCACACAAATGTTTCCTGTTCCTGTCACTAATCGCATTCTAGTGAGCCTTTGCGTCCATCTCAATCAACGCGTATATTGTTTAGCGCCACCTCCGCCGGCGATTGTACAAGTGTGAATGCAGTCTCAGCATTCGTCTCGAGGAAAATGACCAACGTGCTGCATGGTCAAGTTATCGCGCCTGACGATCCCCCGCCGTTGGAGCTTCTCTGCGGACATGTCTCCCAGGTACAGATCTCCCTCTCATCACAAGTCATCATTCATCGGCCGTCCACAGACATTTGCCTACGAGCCATTCGTCGCCCACTTCATCATGGACGCACGGCGAATAGCCGTCTCTCGCACGCTCGCTCAATCACACCCCCAAATACCTACGTCATCTTACCCCAGTATCTTCCCATTGTACAACCCCCTCTCTGTAGATTTCGTCATCTTCTGGAAGATCCCTTCTGAGCAGCGTTTTGGACATATACTTGTTTCCGAGATTGCTCTAGGTGCGAGTCATGCTGTACTTCGAGAAGTACTCGAGGGTGTGGAGAGCGCCAAAGTCAAGCGAAGCATGTATGCTGAGACGCAACGGGAGAAAACTGAAATGCTGCAAGCTATCCGGGATAGCGAGTGGAACGCTGAGATGAACCCGGTTGTTGTGATTGTGAAGGATGGTTTGGTGAGAGAGCATGATTTCAGCCAAGGGTGAGCACTCCTTCATATCTAGTAACGGTTGTTGAGCAGCTGTTGATTAGTGTTTGCATGGTTCCTGTGGAGTTCACGATTCGTAACCATTCCTTGTCCCATCCGTCGCGCTTTGTCCTTAGACTTGACCATCGTCAACAATCGTCGTGAGTGATTTTTTGCCCCATATACTGTCAACTGACAGTGTCTGTAGACATCATTTCCCTGCACCATATTGTGGCCGGACAACCTTCAGGGGGCTTCTGGCGCCGTTGCAGACAACATCTGTCCTCGCCCAGTTGTGCGCTACCCGACCAGGAACGTACGCACTGTCAGGCTGGCGGCTGGAGACTGAGGTAGGCGAACCCGACACGGAGGGTGGGTTATGGCAAGTAAGGCACCGTTACGAGCAGAGGGCGGTTACGGACGACTTGTCATCAATCGTTGTATCGGATCTCTCGCGACTATAATGTATGCATAGGGAATATATTACGGATATAACAAAACAGTGTAAGTATGACATTCACTTACACGCACGATGTGTATACAAGATAAGGTAATCAGTCTCTTTCTACCCTGGCCGCTCTCGCTTTCTCTCGCTCCCGTTCCTCAACTTCCTTCCTTGCTGCGGCGAGTCTCATTTTCTTCATTTTGATATTCATGAAGGTCTGCAGAGTGATGTGGTCAGCCTGTATCAAATGACCGGATGAGCCAAGGAGAACTTACGCCGACCATAAACTGCATCGTATTGAAGAAAGGCACCCACAGCTGTTTGGCCATTAGTTTTTAAGTAATCATGGACATGATGGGAGGTCATACTTCGACAGGAATGAACTGTTGTGCAATGGTCATGGACAACGGGGAAACCACCCATGATACCTACTGGATGTAAGATCACTGCCTGAAGGGATAAAAACTCCTGCTTACTCGGAGCACGGAGAAGAAGCCACCCTTTACGGTGCGGATGACCTCGTCGATGGATTTGGCACCATTAATGACAGCCATAGAGGCCAAGAACACTGGATATGAGCCTCAGCGCCAAAACAAATGAAACGAGTAAAGACTGCGCACCAACCGCGTTTATTGGCGAAATCAGCAAATTGCTCGCAAGAAGCTGCCCCAGCCTAGCCTTGAGCCCTGTCTTCCCAGCAAAAGCCTTCTGCAGCGTGCCGACGAGGAAATGTCCCACAGGAGCAGACACGAAGAACCCGTACAAAGCCATCTTGATGGCCTTGGAGTCAATACGTGCGCGCGAGAGAGCTTTCGTCAAGGGGGCCGCATCTTTTGGGATTTGAGGTGGCGGGAGACCGGCTGCGTTCGATCCAATAACTTCCTGGAGGAAACAAAATGTGCCTGCCGAACACGCATCCGACACGTTGGGCGTCATACGTTTTTGCTAGATTGAACGAAAGCTTACTGGACGTCAATGCCTTGGTGCGCAGTGGGTTTGTCGACAGCTGCGTGAGGTACCGCGCCAGCAGTGGATGCATGGGGGCTTTGTCTGCGCTCATAGTGGTTGCAGATATTTGGCCAGCTAGCAATGAGTGTTGAGCAATGCAACCGGCGCGGACCGGCTAATGCTGTATAAATGAAGTAGCCATAAACCGATTACCGTGTTAAATGATGATGAGGGCACGTGCGAATGCATCCTAACTTCTCGATACGAGTCACCCAGAATGTCCAGGAAAGTGTATAGCAAGCAACAAAAGTGGTATGTATCTATAGTAAAGTATACTATGTATTATCTGTCTAGGAGGATTAAAATGCAAGACACCGCTATTGCGATCCCTGACTAACTCTTTTTAACCCTGTAAGCTCTGTTAGCTTCTTTCCCCTCGCAAGCAATATACGAACACATACCAGGCTTTCACATAATCCGCAAACGACACCATGCAAATTGTTTGCCAGATACCGAGACCTATCCGGGGTGTGACACCACGATAGAGACCCTTGATACCGTTCTCCTTGTAAATGAAGCCGAGGGTGTTGAGAATAGTTAGTTTTGCTGGGCGGTTAGCATTTGCAGTGGCCTTGGCCATCGATTGCATCTGTCACGTGAAGATGTTGGCTGAAATCATAGTCAAGTCAATCATGGTGTTACACTAACCTCAACCCGGACGACCTCTATAGGCTGATTCCATGTAGCCAGTGCACCACCAATAGAGGAAGCCAAGATCTTGTCCATGGCACCAAGGCTGTCTTTTTCGCCCTTGCCGCGTATATTGCGGATCGAAGTTTCAGCAAGACGAGCAAAACCCATGCTGCCCACCGAGCATCAGCTGAGAGTACCATCACATTGTGTGAATATTACAGACCGAGAGCCCCAGTTGGTGCATTGTCGCACAGCAACAGCATTGACGCCCTTGTTGATGCCCTTGATACCTTCACGGCGGTAGATGTCCATGAACACCTGGAAAGTTGACCGTTCAACACCAACAGCGGCCTCCTTGTGTCGTGTGATTTCAACAGTCTTCATACACGTCGTGAATCCTGTAGGAGACATTAGCATAATATTCGCGATCATCGCATGCAAGTCAGTCCCGAAAGATGGTTAATTGAAGGCAACACAGTATTATGAACTAGTCTCAATAGATAAAAGTATGCATCACGCATGAAGAAAGCTTCTGTGTGAAGACCTACCCATAGTTGCATAAGCCTGAGCAACACCACCGGCCATACCACCCAAGAGACCAGCGGTAGCAGGGCTGACACCCATACCAACACCAGCGGTCTCGATTTCAGAAGCCGTGAAAAGAAGCACACCACCCTTAGTGGAGGCTTCAATCCAAGCCTATTCATGAAATCAGTATGAATTGAATACCTAGACGTTCACGAGGTAATCACTGACCCACGGAATCAGACCTTGATACATTCCGGCGATACCACCACGGGCCCATACCGCCTTGGTGGCCTGGAGCATAGTTTGTGACCGGTTGGCGGCCATTTGGGTCTTAAGGACTTCCAAGGGTTGACCAAGGGTCGTGACCTAAAGATAGGACTGTCAAATTTACTTAACACGATAAACACTCCCTCGACTTGCCTCCTGCAAGGGCGAAGATAGGTCAGTAAAAGTCACCCAACGGAAATGAGAGTGAACGCACAAACTATGACATGAAAGACGCATCACGACGCGTACATTAGCTGATAATCACGGCGAATTTTGAAACATACCATGTTCATGATAGCACCTACGGGAATTCACATTGTTTAGCATGTTTCATGAAGCAAAAACACGTAGACGCGCTGACCGACAGCAATGTTAGACCAGTTGATGCCTTTCTGGCCGGGTTCCCTTTGAATTGCCATCGTGTGCTAGTCGCCGCAGGAAGTGACCGGGTAGAAAAGAGAAGGTGAGAGAGGTAAAGAAAGATAACGTTGAAGTTGATGCGAATAAAAGGTTGGACGTTAACCGGTACCTTCCAAATGGGACCATTCTCAATGTAGAGGCGACGTCCATTGATTTCACAAAATAGCCCCAAAATAGCTAATTTTAGAGTGACATATTATCTCACATGACCTGACACGGGTGTCACTTTGGGGGTCAAAATTCTGTATAAGCGGGCGCAGTCGGAGCGCTCTACTAATCGTACGTTCGTCCAAGATTTTTATAAAGCCGAGTCACACAAGTACGTTGCTCGTACCCAAGGATGAGTCTATTGGTACAGAACAGCAGTAAGAAGTCGGCATAATTAAAGAGTTCCATTCAAACGATGCAGGATCTACAATGGTACAGTCGCATTAGAGAAAGACATCCAGATATGTGCAGTCATTAACCATAGGGGGTATGCAGTGAAAAGGAAGTTGATGCTAGACTGAGACATCTGACAGTGATAAGAATGATAGGTAAAAATGTGCGGGGAGTTTGTTATATTACGAATAGAGAGGGGTAAGGAAAGGAAGGGCAAGTCAACAATAACCCCGACAGAGCAGGATACCACCCGCAGACATAGTCCAACCACGAGGAGGGGGGATGGAAGCTGCGCGGAATCCATGAGGCTAGTGAATCCTGACGGCGGAGGGTTGGTGATCGAGCCTTCATGCATTGGATGTGCCGCTTAGTTGTTCGATATCTGCCTTTAATCTGCGGGGGAAACACGCCATGGTATGAGTACAAGTCAATAAATGAGATCCAAAGATAATCCAAAGATAACCATCCGCAGGACAAGTAAAGAAAGGTATGATAAATTATAGTAAAGTAAAGCGGCCATCACCGAGAAAAGTCAGAACAATCAGATAAAGTCGAAAATCACGGCCAGCGCGATCACTACCCCAAATACACTTTGAAGTCCAAAGACCTTGACATACCGAGTGATAGAGTCTTGGCTCTCTTCTTGCTCTTGCTCAAGATACTGGATCTCCATCGATTTGCGTGCGATGTCCTGGTGGACCTCGTCCAGCTTGTTCTGGAGCCCGTCAACCTCATTCCTGAGATCCCTGACGATGCGCTCATGATCAGCCACCACGTCGTGCATTTTCATGTTGTGCGCCTCGTGCATTCTCTGCAGTTCCTCCCTGGTGACCATAGTCGACGATGGGGACATTGCCCCGCTGTTTTTCGGTGCAGCTGCAGCCGCAGCCGCAACCTGTGCTTGAAGCGTGGCGATCTCCCCCTCCAGGTCGGATAGTCTAAGAGACAGCTCTGATTTCTGCGCTGCAAGCCTGCCGATCTCCTCTTCATGAGCAGCACGGAGGCTCATCACGTCTTCGACACGTCCACGAGCCGCTTCCTCGAGCTCCTTTGTATGATTGGCAGACATTTCCGAAAGGGATTCCTTTGTGACGGTAAGAACGTCGTTAAGCATGACATTCTCATCACGGAAGTTGGCAAGCTCTTTCGTCAGGCGATCGATCTCGGACGCCTGGTCAGCAGAGGTGGAAGCGGCGACGAATGCCGCCCGGGCATCTTCAAGCTGCGCCTTGAGGCTTTCCGCGTCAGACCGCGAAGACTCTAGCGCTGTCTTGGCTTTGGCAAGATCATCTTGCGTAGCACGTAGCTCGAGGCTCTGGTTACTTAATTTCTTCTCCAGATCGCCGACCTGCGATGTGAGAACGTCTTCATGGTCTGCTTTCAGTCCATCCACCGTCGACTGGTGGGCACTACGGAGCTGTTCAATTGTCGCTTGTGATTCAGCACGGAGCGATTGAAGGTCTTCGCTATGTACATCTGCAGCTTCATTCTGATGCAGCGGCAGAATTAGTGTAAGTTGTGACACGGTGACAAGATGATACATGCCTTAGCACGTTCAAATGCCTCCTGCAGGAGCAAATCGTGCTCCGCCTTAAGAGCATCAACTTTAGCATTGTAGCGTGCTTCTTGACTCTATGTCACCCATGAGAAATGATATTACAGATGTTAAACATAAACTCGCCTCCAGCTCGATAGTGATTCTCTTGATCTCCTCCGAAAGCTCAAGATGCTTGGAGAAAAATTCACTTTCGGTCTCCTCGATCTGACGCTCATGCTCCTCGGCAGTATTCTGAGCTTCGATCTTTGTCTGCTCATGGGCTGCATGAGCAGCAGCGAGCTCTTCCCGCAATGCTGCAAGGTCGGCAACAATATTGGAGAGCTCATCGGTGGCGGTTTGCAGCTCGCCACTGTGAGCTTCCTTGACCTCAGTCATCTGTTCAGCGTGTTGTTCCTCTCTGACTTTAGATGCAGCAAGAGCACTCTGAGTGGCTGCGACGGCATGGGCTAGTTCCTCCTCCACCCCTTTGAGGCGGTCAAGTACCTTCGCATGGTCGTCCTCTGCTTGCTCTTGACTCTCCTTCAACTCCAAAATCTCGACCTCCAGCTCTGAGAGCTTGTTCGCGTTTTCCTCGCGCTCCGCCCTGAGTTGCCTGACCTGGGCTTCGAGAGCGTCTGCATCAGCGGCTCGCTCGTCGGTTTCACTCAGCCTGACGTGGAAATCTTGAATTGTAGAAGCGTGAGAAGCTCTCAACGCTTCCAGTTCTGCGCTAATAGTTTCGTAGTCGGTCCTTGCCCTAAGAACAGCCTCGCGCTCGCTTTGAGCTGCTGCTGCTGCTTCGGAAGAAGATCGCTCGCTTGAGGCGCGCAGAGTCTCAAAGTTCTCGCGAGCTGCAACCAGTTCAGCTGTGAGAGAAACTACTTGACTCTGGAGGTCATAAACATTATTAGTGTGGTTAGATGACGCCCACTTTGCCGCATCAAGCTGAAAGAACGTGTCTGAGACAATCTGGATGCCTGAAAATAAATCACCTACCTCCCGCTTCATGGACTCGAGTAGAATAAGGACCCGTGAATGTTCAGCGCGATCTCGTTGCAAAGTAGCGTTGAGTTCTTGCAGGTCCGATACAGCAGCAGCCCTCTCTTGCTGCAGCTGCAGAAGTGAAGATTGACTTGCTCCAGCATCTGCACGAGCCGTATCTAGAGCTACTGAAAGGTCGGCAACCGCCTGCGTTTTTACTGAGAGCGCATCCATCGCCTCTTTGAGCTAAGAGGAACTGTCAGCAATAAGCTAAAGCCAAATACAAACACCTCACTTTCTGTTGCATCTCTTCTACAGATTTTCCATCATTAACTTCTCGAATGGATGAGATTGAAGTAGCCTGTCGCGTAGGGGCCACTATCGAAGAGTTTCCCTTCGAGGATGACGTTGAAGGCGTTCTCCTCACAACATCTGATATTGAAGCACGAGGACGAGAGACAGCAGAAGCAGCGGCATTGGACCTCAATGACGCAGTGGAACCAGAAGGAGAAATAACAGAAGAGCGCGAAGGTGCGCTGGCTTCAGCTGGAGGTTTGGAAGATGTTAAGGATGCCAATAAAGAACCCCTCGACTTTGATGGCGGAGGGTTGCCCGTAGCAGATGGCGCCCTTGGAGGGAGCACGGATGATCGGCGAGATGGGGGAACGGGAGGGCTTCTAGAAGACGCCATGGTGGACGCTGTTTTTACTGGCGAATTGGCAGGGGGAGTGCTGATAGATTTCCTCAAAGATGAAGGAGCAGAAGGGGTGGTTTTCGCAGTAGTGAGAGGAGTTGAAGTAAGGACCTTGCTCGCAGGGCTTGGTTTCGTACTAGTAGCGCCAGATCCAAACGTGCCAGAATTCAATACCTTTGCTCACATGGCTAAGATGAATTGAGTCAGACTGAGGTGAGGCAAACACACCTTCTTCACGGTTGGCGTAGGCGGTGCAGATCTTGTCGGAACAGCTTTAGCGGATATGACTGGTTTCTCCTTTCCTATTTTCAAGACGGCCTTTGGAGCAGTGAGCTTCTTAGTCACCTCCGGCTTTGTGGCAGGTGCAGCATCCTTAGGCGTGTCACCGGGCTGCGTGGCTTCCTGCATGACTATTTGATTGATCACATCATCATCTACTGCGCCATCGGCAGACGAGCCAATTTCGCCCTGTGTGACTGGGTCTTCTACCACGACAAACGCCTCATGTTCATCATGAGGTTCAGGAGACACGCCATCCTCGGCAGCAAAGTTAACCGCAGTTTCGAGGTCGGTAGTTCGGGGAATGTTCTCTGTGTCAGCCATAATCACTAAAGATGATGGCGGGGTTGAAAGAAAACGTGTTGAGACCGGAATTCGAACGGTCAATTGATGAGGGAAAGAAATAAAATACAAACCAGAAAATCTAACATTGCCGATCACGGGACGCGCCCAACTTGGCGCCGGCCGGCACCGAATCATTTTTATCCGTGGGCTAGGGAACACAAATTCACATATTTCGAAGCCTGTGACAAGGTCTAAAGGTCTACATCTAGCGCATACAACAAACTACTTGAGGTCAGCATACAGATTCAAAGCATTCAAAGCAGGTTCATCGAGGGAGCTATGATTATAGCTCAGGACAGAGACCTTACCAACGTCTTTAGTTCCCCTTATTAATAGCACAACTAAAAAATGCACTTACTCCTCCAGGTTCAACGTTGAAACGAGTTCCTGATGATCAAACTTGAACACAAGATATTACAAACAACAGTCGGTTGTATCATACCTAAAGCGAGTTCGAAGTTTATCCATCGGGAAATGAGGACACGATTGAAGTGGCCATGAGCAATGATTAGCACGTCGCGTGTTCCCTTGCCCTCTTCGAAATATTGTCTGTGGTACTCACGAACCTGACAGAAATGAGATTTGCAGAGTATGCAACTAAAGCACCGACCTTAGTGATCACAGAATCAACGCGATCGCGCATCTCCTGAGCACTCTCGCCTCCGGGACAGCTAGATTGGTCAAGTCGATCGGGAAACATTGAGTGAGACCTGGTGACAACTTACCCGTCTCTCCAAATATCCCATTTGGGGTCTATAGCAAGAATTTCATGTTTGAACAAGCCTTCGTATTTCCCATAGTCCCATTCTCTAACGGACTCATCAATGATATGGTCCGGGACCTTGGACAAATGTTCGAATAACAAGTGGAATGTTCTGTGCGCTCGCTGACGAGGAGATATAAGGGCAACACAGAGATTCTGTGGATCGATAGGTCCTGCAAAAGCAGGAACAGTATGAATTGGGCAACCAATGTAAACAATATGATACTGACTGCCTTCGCCGACCAAGATGTGTGCTTTGGACTTGATTTGTTCCTCTCCACGGACTGTCAGAGGAATGTCGCTTGTTCCAGTCTAGCGAGGTCGTGTTGACACATCGAAACGAGAACGTCTCGAGTACTTACGTGCCGTCTATCGCCAAAAAAATATAAGCCATGACTACACCCTTATAAGCCCAAGGACCTCACCCATTCAAGGACCATTCTGTTTCACCTTTAAAGAAAATCCGAGTCAACTCTTCTACTTAGTGCAAAATATGAATAGTACTGTGCGCACCATGTCGAATAAGAAACAGTCTTGGTGTTGGAGGGGTCATGACGCTAATAGATGACGGTTAACACTGGTATCGATTATCAGTGAGTGAACCTGAGAACTGTGGGTAATAAAAGGAGGCCATCCTAAATTGGTCCCGCTTAAGTGGTAGTGACTAAGTATAATAAGACTGAGTGCTGTAACTTGAAACAATTTATACAAGTCACCACCGAAGCCACAGTTTGCCATCTGTGCCATGTTCGACGATTGTAATGTCTCGCGGTTATGTTTTGCCGTCATTTGCTAACGATACACGTAGTTGTCGAGCACGCTGCTCCAACAGCAGGTCATTCTCGTGGCACTGCGCCTCTTCCACAAGTCCAGTACGAGGGTTACGAGCCGTCGCCTTATGACAGCGAAATTCAGGCCGAATTAGAACATACTGGAGCCTTGGTGTGTGAACAAATATCAGAAGAATTCATTCACTGAATCTTCAAAGGATGCTCCATTACCGAGCCCAGTTACGGCCAACACACCATTATTCGACCTCGGACGTGTCCAATATACGCTTCCATCTCCTCTCGTGTCTTTGGCAGTCTCCTCAGATGTTCTTGCCATGGCATTAGCGTCAAATACCATAGTTCTCATCGAGCTCTCTCATGCAGAGCATGTCGTTACGATCCCCATCCCACGAAAAGCGACCGAATTGACTATACACAAGATCTTCCTGGACCCATCAGGCCGCCATCTTATCATCACTTCCACTCAAGGCGAGAACTGGTATTTATACCGTGGCTGGAAGAAGCCTAGGCAACTCAAGTCGTTCAAGATGGTCATCGAGAGCGTTGCGTGGAATAAGGCTGCGTTATTGGCATCCACCCACTCCATGTCAACAAGAGAATTTTTGATCGGCACGCGGAATGGCGGTATATTCGAAGCTGTGTTAGATGCTGGCGAGGATTTCTTCAAATCACAGGAACGGTACTTGCAACTTCTGTTTACCCTCCCTGAAAAGTATCCAGTCACCGGGATCAAGTTTGACCTATTTCCCCCCTCTGATCTGCGGAATGCCCTGGTTATCGTTACGACTCCTTCACGAATATATCAATTTGCAGGCTCACCAGATCGGCGGTCTGAGGAGGGTGGTCGTGTTTTCTCTTCCTTGTTCGCCGCATATCGGGAAACTACGCCGAGTGAGTATTGGGTGCTTAGCAGCATAGCTCTTCCCTGACATGAATAAGAAATATCCGAACTACCTGGAAACCTGCAGTATTCCGAACTTCATTTCTACACCCCTAACTCAGACCAAGCACTCTCCCTCCCGAAGAATCTTGCTTGGATGACTGGTGTGTTTCTTTGTGTTTATGATTTCCTTCACCTAATGCGAACGTTCGTAGCCCCTGGTATCTATCACGGGACGCTCAATTTCGACCCGAATTCTGACGACCACATCGATTCAACACAACTCCATCCATACCCATCTTTCTTCCCCGGCACATCCCCTGATACCTCTCAGTCACCCCCAGAAGTCCCAGTCTCGATTTCCCTGACGGAGTTCCACTTCATCTTGCTATACAGGGACCGCATTGTTGGTATCTCCACCTTGAATGGAAAGCAGACTTATGAGGATGCCATACCGTTGGTAGGTCATACATATCAACGCAGGTCACATTGTTGCTGAGGGTTGACTTAGAGGCCAAATGAAGTCGTACGAGGACTTGCTGCTGACCCAGTTCGAAAAACATATTGGGCTTACACGGATCAATCCATTTTCGAGCTTATCGTTGGCAATGAGAATCGGGACGTCTGGCAGATATATCTGGCTCAGCAGAAGTTTGACATCGCACTTCGGTATGCAAAGGTCGGTAATATTACATAGGTTACCTTCACTGGATGCTGACTGATTAGTTGAGTGCAGACGGCGGGCCAGCGAGATAGCATCCTGTCCGCTCAAGCCCATGCATTCTTTGATGAGGGTCGTTATTTCCAGGCTGCACAGTGCTATTCTCAGTGTTCTGCGCCATTCGAGGAAGTTGCATTAAAGTTCTTGGATGCTGGCGAACGGGATGCACTGCGCTCGTACTTGATTTCAAGACTCGAGCGGACACGGAAGTCGGTGAGTTTTCCCTCTGCGATATCCAGCAATTGGGCCCTCACTGTCTTTCCATGGTAGGACTTGACTCAGCGGATGATGTTGGCAACATGGCTCGTCGAATTCTATCTGAGCAGATGTAATGAGCTGGACAACCTATGTGCTTCTGAATTGGTGACTAGCGATGCCGAAAACCTGCAAACTCAGCGTGCGATACTCGAAGACGACCTACGACAATTCTTCGATACATATAAGGTACACCATTCTATACATGATTTACTCACTTGAACATATCTTCCCCAGAGTAATCTAGACAAAAATGTTGTTTATGAATTGATTCAAGGTCATGGGCGGACTGACATGTTCCTACACTACGCTACAGCGGTCGGTGACTTCGAACGCGTTATTGCACACTGGATATTAGAAGAACAGTGGACCAAGGCCATTGATGTACTCAACCGCCAGGTAAGCATTATACTTGTGCACCGCAATGTCCCTGACTAACTGGAGGAAGACGAACCCTGAGTTATACTACCGCTTCGGTACCGTGCTGACCAGGCAAGCACCAAAAGAGATGATTGAATCCTGGTTAAAACAACCGTCTTTGGATCCCTTGCGCCTCATTCCTTCCCTACTGCAGCTGCAGCATCTCCCTCGCGACCCGCTGTCTCCCGACCACGCTGTGCGGTACCTCAGTTACGTGGTGTTTGAGCAGGGTGACAAGTCACCGATGGTTCATAACCTTCTCGTGACATTCCTTGCGACTCGGCTACCTCGTTCTTCAGAAGAGGATGGCCCATTGCTAAATTTCTTGACCTCTGCGCCCTCGGATCCGATGACAGGCAAACCATACTATGACCTCGACTACGCTCTTCGAGTGTGCAAAAGAACGGGGCGCATCCAATCATGCGTCCACATTTATTCGCAAATGGGTCTTTGGGAAAATAGCGTGGACCTGGCCTTGGAGAAGGGTGACTTGGAGCTTGCAAAGGAAAATGCCAACAAACCGGAGGACGACGCACCGTTGCAGAAGAAGCTTTGGCTCAAGATTGCGCGATACGTGGTGCAGGATAAACAGGACATTAAAACGTAAGTGAGATCTTCGTCAGTGGGCCTTCCTGCTCATGAGTCTGTGTAGCGCAATGCAATTCTTGGAGAACACGAATATACTGAAGATTGAGGATATTTTGCCCTTCTTCCCTGATTTCGTCGTCATTGACGACTTCAAGGAGGAAATCGCGCATGCTTTGGAAGGTTACTCGGCCCACATCGATGACTTGAAACGAGAGATGGACGATGCGACTCGTACTGCGGAGTCTATCAAGCAGGACATCGCTGAGTTGAAGAATCGTTTCGTAACTATCGATGCGGGGGAAAGGTGCTCCGTTTGTTCGCAGCCTTTGTTAACGAGGCAGTTCTACGTCTTCCCCTGCCAGCACACCTTCCATGCAGATTGTCTGATCGGATTGGTATGTTTACTCTTGCTATTAAAGAGAAAAAGATTGTACTGAATCGCACGGTCGTCAAGGCAAAAGAATATCTTCCTACACATGCGCTCCGGCGGATCATTACTCTGCAGACCGAGCTGGTGAAGGGAGGTCAAAAAACCAATCTTGATAATGCAGTCTCTGTCACGCCAAACGGGCATTCGCGCCAGGCAGCTCAACAGCGCACACTCCTGTCTGCTAGCTTTGGAAATCCTGTGCAGAATGGTAGCAAGGCAGCGAATCTCCTCGGACGAAATCTACTTTCTGCTGGAGACCGCCTGAGAGATCTTATTGTTCCAGATGCGCTGGCTTCGGTTGTATCTGCACCGGGGTGGATACCGGGTATGAGTGGGGGGAAAAAGGTTGGGGTGGATAAAGACATTGAGAAGAAGGTAGAGAAGTTACGGGCCGAGCTGGACGACGTTCTCGCGAGCAGCTGTCCGCTATGCGAGAGTGTGGTTGCAGGGTTGGATAAGCCATTCGTGAAACCAGGTGAATTGGACACGACCTGGGCGCTGTAGGGACGGTACATTGTATGGACATAGCATGCTCTAATACAATATCTCTAGCAGTGGTTAACCATGAATTTTTTTTGTGCGTCCTGCTTTTCGTCGTAGCCTCGCGGTTTTTCTAGCTCCCATCTTGGTTACAATTAGTCTTGAAATGCGGATACAGAACCTGGATGTACCTTTGCTTTATCTTCTTCCAGTCTGCGCCGCTCCTCTGCTGCGTTTTTCCTCTCGAGGGTGATTTCTCGTCTCCTACGCCACAGGATTAGATGTGATCCCCAACACGATGCAGAAATTGTCACTCACCGTTGCTTCTCAGCATTTTTCTCATTTTTGAGCTCGGTTTCCAACTTCTTTGCAGCGTTGGTTTTTGTAGTCTTCTTCATTCGTTCCTCAAAGTTGGACCTGTGTCCGACAGAACATTGCGTTCGACTAGTTGGGGAATGATGTTTTGTCCAGATTGAGTGAAGTATGGTACGTACAAGGTCGCTGATTTTTGTGCCTTCCATGATTTCCCAGAGACACGCCCATGTGATGAGGAAGTGAGAGGGACGAGCTCCATTGTGGTTTGATGAAGGTGTTGATGTCCATATTAGGATGGTAGATAATGTTTACGTAAGTTAATTTAATGAAGAGTCTCCAAGGTGAATTGTTCACGGTGATCTCGAAGTTACTTATGTTTTTTTGTTGGTTGATGCGTACTCTCGCGTACCGATCGAGGCCCTGTACGTACCATCGGAGGATAGTTTAATAAAATTAATTTTGTGAACCGAAAGACTTTGTTTTTTATACGTGGGATTATTTATATTCCATAATGTGTTAGAACCAAGTCGGAAGCATATCTTACCTTGGACCAAGTTCTGCGGTCATGTTGAGGTCCGTCCATTCTCCATGGGACCCTCAAGACGACCTTCGAAGCGCCCGCTCCTATGCTCCTCATCACACTCATTTTTCCTCAATATCCGAATTTCCCGATTCCCCATCAGTCTACAGTCACGCTTACTTCTCTCCAGACGGCAGGGATATCGAACCGAATATTAGTTCATATTGTTATGATGGACCAGACACCTCCAGCCAGCGTCGGCTATCCGTGTCCAACTCCGACTACCTTGATGATCATGCAGCGAGTAGCTTGGACCTTGATGATGAGGACGTTGCGAGTGTTTTAATTAACTCCGCAGATGCAACCGACGACACGGAGAATGACGACGAAGATGATGATTCCTCCCATAGGATAAGTGTTCAGGGCCCAAAGATACGGTTTCACTCTCGAGCTCCTTGGGAAACTGGAGAAGACACCATTGACGAGAACGACTCGGATCATAGTGCCATGTCCACCGCGTTTGGCAAGAAAGTCAAAACTAAGACTACGAAGGCTGATCTCATGCGGCACTTTGGCAAGAGTTCCTCCGCCAGACCCAGCGCCGAGTCAAGCCGTTCTCAGTTTCAGTCCAATGGTTCTTTTGAAATTATTGCGGGTAATCATTCTAACTCGCGAGGTGCCTTATAGTACGTGTTTATCTCTCTTACTGTGTGAGGTTTTGACCCCCAACGTTCAGCACCCTGGCCCAGGAATCATTCTCGACCTCCTCTTTGACTGTTCCCACCTCTCAACGGTTTCCTGCCCCTTCGCTAAGAAATCGCCACAATTTTTCTCTTCCCCGCACTACAAACTATCCACCCACAACTCACTATGACGAACACACGTCAGAAGAAACTCAGTCTGCCACTAGCTCCTTGCGAGAAATGGGACATATTTCTCGGCCGTCGTCCTCCACACAAGATACACCCGGACCATACTCTCCAGTTTCGGAGGTTTCACGAGGTCACGAACGTAGTGATACTGTCTCGTCGTTTCATACTTCCCAATGCCGTCTGTCTCACGAGGACTTCGTACATCCCTATGCCAACCCTGATTTGGTGGCTTCTTATACCCCTCCTAGACCTGCTCAGTTCCGTTCTACCTTTGGACATGTCTCGCGAAGCGATTCGGCTGCCACCGTAATTGACTCACTAAGTTCGCGGTCCGGTGCTTTCTCATCCACTATAACACCAGACACCTCTGCCTCATCCATACCATCACGAGATCACGTCCCTTCCACAGGCATGCGCGTTCATGGCAAAGATATTTCTCCTCCCATCACAGTCCTCCACTCCAACGACCTCAATTCCGCGCAATGCGACCAGAGCACCAACTTACCGTCTTTTCACCCCCCACCCGTAATTGAAGGTGTTCCAGGTTGGAATGCTTATCCCTCTCCAACTGTCACTTTGATATCGCTGCAGGAGGCACAAGCGAGAGAAAGGACCCGCAGTGCTACCGCCAATGCCATAGTTTCGTCCCCCTCTCAGGTCCATGAGACTACTTCACGCGTCCCTTTTCCTGAGCCAGACGACTCTGCCAGTATAGCGAGTACTGAGACTTCTGCTACTGGCAACTTCAAACGGGTTCGTGCTCGCTCCACTAGTGCTGGCGCTCGTGCCAAAGGTGTCCTTCATTCAGTTGTTGCGGCATCTTTCCATAGTAAGCCTGAGCGAAGGGGTTCAGAACCCGAAGTCGCTAATTCCAGCGGACAAACCCTGAAGCACAAGAAGAGCGGGTTTATGAGACTCTTTAACGGGCGTGAGCGGGAGAAATGTCGCGACAAGGGGAGGAGTCCGCCGCCCCCAGTTCCGCCTTTGCATGGTGTTTACTCAGACTACCCTCACGGAGGGAACGAAGGTAGCAAATCGTCGCTTCCGACAATCCCACCTCGCTTGTCGTCCTTAAGCTCAGATGCCGGGAGCAGCACTGCCCTCAACGAGTCTTCATCGGATGCCGAACAGGAGCTTTCCCCAAAGTTGTCCTCACCTTCGCTGAAGCGCGTCCCACCCTCGTTGTACATATCCACTGGTGCATCAAATCACTCGCCGCTCTGCGCTGAACCTCGACCCACAGACCCGGCTCAGTCACCCCAGTCTGGGAACAAAACACCTGGACGTCCTCAGCTTGGGGCCATTGACTTTCAAGCTCTCAAACTACGTCCAATGTCTACGACGTTTAGCTCTCAATTTGCAGACATTGTTGCCATGCCAGAGGTAGAGCATGCGCCAGAACTCGAACTTGACACGCCGACATCTACGATCAGTTCAGTGGCAGCGCTCTCGCCCTTCACTCCTGGATTGTCGCGACCCAGCGATGATAAATCATCGCCAGTGGAACAGTCCCTCGTAATCAAGACTTTGCAAGAGCAGATGATAGCGTCGAAGACGGCCTGGCAACGCCAGATCTGGGAACTGCAAGGTCAGGTGAAGCACCTGCAAGCTGAAATCGAGGACCTCCATGCTGTGAATGAAGACAAAGGATATTGCGAACACTGCGGTAGGGGTGGTCTCAGAAAGGAGCGTGAAGCTTCTAATGCAGGAACGAAGAAAATTGGTGTTGTCGACAGACCTAGAGGACGCACGGGCGATACCACTCGCTTCGTTAGCAGGATCTAGGCTGATGTCTGCCAATTACCACGACTACCCCATTCACTTATCTAGGAAGGTTGGATCGCTATCATGGTACTCGTCACTCATTATTTCTTGTTTGGGCCACATTAAATATGACTGCTAATCAGTCGATTGTGTGCGTTTTGATATCTGGGCTTACACCATCCATCTAGCTCTTGTCTTTATGTATAACTTCTTGTTTTTCCTCCCCCGTCGCTAATTAGGTATAATTCTATTCATCTTATAAACTTATCAGTAACTTACCACATTCTTTCTGGCGCCTTCCCCGTTGTCGTTCATTGTTGATACCTTTGATTTGTTCCTACTTTTCTGTCCGGTTCACACATACCTCTCAATCGGCATATCTCTTTGAGTACTGTATACTGTTAGTTATGTTTTCTCGCAAGCAGATGTATGTGATATATAGAAACAGTCTAGCTGTCCAAAAGTCCTATGCATGTATATAAGAGTTCGACCAGCTCAGCTCTCGTCGTCTGCCCCCAACAGCCAGCCAAGGCCTCGTTGAAGCACTCGACTTGCTTGTTGGGAGACGTCTTCACCATCCAGCCTGCGGTGGCTTTCGTCTCGACTTCCCGACCTGGCTTGACCCTCGCGACTCTCCGAACGCTCGCGTCCACCAACTCTGAAGGGGAAATTAGATGCCACGCGGCTGAAGGCTCGACCAGCGAGGGCAGCCGCATCCTCGGCATTAAGAAGGGGAGTTGTGGGAACGTGGAGATTTTTTAAGCGTGATTGAAGGGAAGAGACAGGTTTTGTAGTGGCAGGTTTCGGACGAGGGGAATGATCAGCAAGCCGTTCCTTGCGCACCTCCAAATCCTCTTGTTCCATTCGCCGCCAAGGAATCAAAATATCGTTCAGTTTGTCTGCCGGGCACAGCTCCAGCGCACGACCCATAAGCGTGAGCTTCTGTTCAACGTCCGGGAATTCTGGGTGCCGCCCGAGCTGGAAGCAGGCGAGCCAGCAAACTTCGCTGGCCTCCTGGAGTCGTGGGTCCTCTGACCCTGATAATGCAATAGCTGAGCGAAGCTTGAACACTACGTCGATCATCTTTTGGTTCGTATCAAAAGCCCGCGTAAAATCCTCCGCTTGTAATGCGGCGTCAGATATCATTGCGAGAGTTTTCACCTCTGCAACAACGTCGCCTCGGAACCCGAGTTTGTGAAGGAGGTCGAGCATTACTTGTGTATGCTTATAGGCGTCTGCATTGCTCGAAAGGACCCGGGAGATTAGGGACAGGCGGTCTTTGGTGAGTCGTATCTCAATGGGTAAAATGGGAATTCCTGGTCGAGACATGACATTGAATGAAGAGAGGCGGGATGTGGCCTCGATGAAATCTCGCTCCTTTGTTAACTGTTGAGATGGCGCAGGAACGTCCAAGCTAAAGGGAGTATATGAGTACCTGGTATCCTCCGGTATTATGAGGGCTCACCAGTCATAGGCAAGCTTCATGTCGCCAACTTTGTAATTAGCGGAGCTTGCGTTATCATAAAACTCGCGAGACGCGGCAAGGCAGAGATCTTCAATTTTGGAGGATTTAAGGGCTAGCTTGCTGTGCTTGGAATGAATAAGGTCTTTGGCGATATCAAATCCTGATTGACGGTTGAGCATCGAGTCAAGACCAAAAGCTGGTTTACTCACGACCAGAGCTCAGAAGCCCGCTGAAAAATATGGATGACACCTCTTCTTCCGTCAAAAGTCCAAAGGCACTTGGTACACCAGATTCATTCCTCCCACAAAGTTTTAGCATGTCATCAAGCAACCATTCCCAGTCCTCCATCTCGCCGAGCTTGTCGGCGGTGGTACCAGTGCGACGCGCCATCCTGTTGGCCCAAGCACGCTGTTCTGTGGCATTGCCTGCGCTCTGGAGAAACCAGCGTAATGGTGCGGGAACGTTCCACCGCGCAAATATCTCTCCGGATTCAAGATGGACGTCAAGAATATCGAGCGCGCGCGAAAGCGAGGCGACTGGAAGAGGCTTGAAGAAAAAAAGTAGATCTGTAGGGCTACATTGAGGGTGCGCTGTGGATGGCGTCACGAATTCCCCAAGAGAAACGATCGTAGCGTCTGCTTCATCTGCTTGGTCTTCGGGACTTGGGCCAATGTCCCATGCGGGAAGGCACTCAAAAATTCGGCTCATTGTGACCCACTCGGTGAGGCTGTTGTTGCCGTAAAGGCAAGCCAGAGCAAGCCGTACAGCGTCCTCATCGTTCTTGATGACCCTTTGTGGTGGAAGTAATGTCGGTTTGGAGGCTTCAATGACTGCCGCGACGATATCCAACGGTGCACCAAGAATGTAATTATGAAGAAGACGGTCAGGAAGGTCTGGGTCAGGCTGACCAGCTCGTTCCGACCGCGACTCCAAGACGAAGAGATAGGGCATGATTAACCGCGAGATATCCTTAGCTACGGTGTCTGTTGTTGAATGAGCTAGGTATGCACCCACGACTTGGGACGGTTCCATGTTTCGCCAGCGCGCTAAAGTCCAATCCTCATCATCTTGAACCCACGCCCGAGGAATGTCGTAAACCAACCGGGTCATCAAGCTCAGATCTTCTCCTAGCTCATCAAGGTCTGGGATGCCTAGCGAGCCACCGTGCTGCACAAGGGAAAGTGCTATGTCTAGCATCCCTGTCGATGATATGACCTGGTCGACGCGTCTCCGGTACCAACTAGTCAATTGTTGTGCAGACAGCAGCTGACTTTCTTGGGAAGTAACGTTGGCTGGAGAGGGATGCAGAGCTTCGAATTCAGCTGAGAACTTCATTTGTGCAAGAGCCGCTTGAACCTCTGTTGACTCTACCCAATCTTCTTCCGTCCGCCATTTGTGTAACGGGCTTGCGAGCTCTTTGTCTGTGGTCATATCATAAGCTGGAAGAACGTCACAGTAGTCGGAAGGGTTAGAGTGACACGGTATGCTTTCCAGAATGGTGAAGCGGGACGGCCACAGACACGAGCGGTGATACGTTAGAAGTGTTCGTACAGCGCCGAAACACTCCTGCGATGCATAGAAGCATGCCATATCCAAAATGTCCTCTGTCAAAAAGTCCTGTAGCGGTATAGGAGGTTGAACAGGAGTTGCTGCGTGAGCAATGATGGAAGCTTCCACTTCCTCTTTCCAAGGGTCATCTTCCCATTCTTCATCAATCCCTGAATTGTCTTCTTCGTCTCTCTTCTTCGCCAGAAGTTCCTTATAGATCTCGGCGAAGGAATTCAATCTGTCGAGGCGTGCAAGTAGAGCAGTCCGAATGAGACACAGTTGAGCATCTTCAGGTGTGTCAGTGAAGTACGCGCTAAGCAGTTCTTTAGGCTCATTTACAGCGTCAGAACTTCCAGAAGCCCTAGAGGGTAGGAGAAGGACCTCTTTGCACCTCTGCACTGCTGCGCTCGTTCGATTGATTCCAAGGTCGATGAGGGAACGTTGAACTACTTCGTCGCTCACGAACCGGTCGACGCAGGCAGCTGCCACCCACAGGTCATCGTTGGCTGGGACAAGAGTGTCCTGAACATCGCTGACTGTAATTTCCTGGTCTTTGAGAGTTTCCCAGCGAGTATATGACGACTCAGTGGAGACCATGGTGGTAATGAGGAGATGATGAACGACCTTGGGGCCTCGAGTTAGTAGTGCTACACTCTGCAAAGTACGCCACGTGCATACCACCTGCGTGTGATTACATCAAGTGTTGTGAAATTGTAATCAAACCTTATGATCAACTCAAAATCAACTTGAATATTTAGTGCCAAGTCACTCTTTGAAGGCTGCAAACAGCTGTAATTGCTGCACCTCCATCATCTCCAAACATTCATCCTAATATACCATCACAGGTTGGAGGCGGTCCCCGACCAGTGACCGTACAGTCCAGAAACCCGTATGTTTTCATACCATTTCTTTCTTCTCAAGAATCATGTTTACTGATCTGAAGCATGTATGAAATATTTATTGTAGTGTCATCGTGCCTATAAAATGAGTCTGTCCGAATCATTTACAAAGCACTTCTCAACGCCCGCTTTCAGAGCGAGCCCTTCCGCTTAGACTCGTGACCAGTCCGTCTACCTTCCGCTACCCACCTGGGCAAGCTCAGGCTATTGATAGGATTGACTTGTAGGGAGAACACTCTGATGCTAGTGATTCGGAGGGTAGCAGGCCACTGACAATCAAGCAGCCACCTCTAGAAATATTATTGGATAGTCTTTCTAAATGCATCCTTGGCTTGCGGACCTTTTGTCTGCTTGGGGGCTGGTGCAGCGAACAAAGAGATCTTCAGTTCTTGCTTGCAAATTTTGGCAGGAGATCAGCACCCCTCTGTTATACCGAGAAATCCATCTTCGCCACATCGGAATAGTCGCAGTACTCCTCGGTACTTTGCAGTGCAATACGCGACTTGGCGAGATGATTATGGACATCAATGTGTCTTGCCATGTAATGTCCCGGTACTTCCAACGCATCTTGAGGATGAGCTCAAATTCCACGCAATTATCGCTAAAGTGGGTGTCAGCTACCTATCGGTATTCTCTATACGCCAGTATGACCCCTCGAAAGTAGTCCACCTCGACGTTGGAAGGAGCGTTTGTCAATAATTCTTCTATGCCTTCCGCAGTGTAAAAATCTCACCATCTTGTCTTTGTCCTTGATATCTACGACAAGGATTGTGTCAGATATTTTACCCTCGAACACCTCCAGGAATGTCAGATTACCGTGTTGTGGTCCTCTTACCGCAGCCTGTAGACTTCCTTAATGCAATCGCTCTGAAGTGGAAACTGCCTTGCCTTCGCTGTTTCACGGGTATGAATGGCGACTCAAACCATCCCAAGTCTCGCAGTACCTCAAAATTTTGGATGCACACGGAAAACACTTGGAAGACTTTCCATCACTGCTCCCCTCAACCGCATCCAGCGGGCCATTGAACTTCTTCTGCGCTTGAAACGTGTTCAGTCGGTTATAGACCGCCGCCTGTCTGGAACACCTTGCAATATTCCCACATATGACGGAACTCGCAGCTGAGTCGGCCCATGAGCCCCTTCTGGGCATGCAAAATGTCCACTGATTTCTTCTAGATCACTGTTCCTCGCCTATGTATGGGAGGGCTTTGTTGCACAAGACTTTGCGGTGGATAGATATCTGGGTGACGTGGCACCTCTCCCCAATGGCGCCGCCCGCCCATGGCATGCCACACAGGTGTTATGGAAGTCTCAGTGCTTTCGGCAACTCCAAGCCATTAGGTTTTTGAATCGGGCGCTGCTCAGAACTACAAGGTTACCTCTCCACCTAGTCATCCCTACCGACTCGGTGCAGCACCGCGACACCTTGGAGTGGCGTTTTCCAGGGGTCCAGAGTCACGTGCAACATGATGCAGGACATATACGGGACATGGCCGTATGTGCTGGCCATGAATCGTTCGGAAGATTGAATCACGCCCACATCGATTCGATGCCAGGAGACTCCGACTACGATAGTGATGACCAGACATTCGAGAACGTCTCCTTGGTATTATATTCAGCATATGACATCGAGGAGGATCTAGAAACGATTGAATATTTCCCGTTTGTTTGTTACGATGATCTAGAGAGGCCTCGAGGACGAAACGAACGTAGATCTCGAGACGGCATTGCACATTTACCGGGACATTTTGGGTACATGATGTTACTGCGATCGATGGTGTACTTCACGTCTTGCGACGAGCATTCAGCGCTCAACATAAATATGTAGGATCATATCCGTACATATGGCTTTTACCTCGATAAATAGTCAGAACTTTCATCCGTAAGGTGAAACTACGATACTTTTACCAGAGTAAAGAGATGATATGCGGTCTACGCGTGGCCAAGCACTGCAAAACCACTGACATGTGAACGCCTAATCTAAGATGTGTGGGTCCATGAACCTCCCATACCAAAAGAAAGAAAGAGAAATGAAAACTGAGCGATCAAAACAAGGTTTCCTAAGGCAACAACGTAAACAAACGACAAACTTTTGATGTAGCATTTATGAGCTTACTTCGTCTCTCAGGTATTCACCAACATCACTAGGAAAGGATGCTTCGTAAGACACAGCAAACGTGATGATGGATAGAACCTACGCTTGATGAAAGACAATTATGGCTGTTGGGTCTAGTTTCCGGGTATCTACTGTTGACCGAGCTGTGACGCCAAAGCCCTACCAAAATGATGAGTCTGTGCCGAAGGCATCAGAAAAGAGTACGTACTAATGGTACATCATTCATACTGAAGACTACCACCCCTTGATGTTCAGGAGTATCTTCTGTTATGCGGCCAAGATGCGCCTTCACAACATGATTACCGTACAGGAACGGCATCTCTCCGTTTGGTTTGATCCAAACCTATCGGACGTCAAAGTAAATAATTGCGCTACAGAAACTACCAGAAGGGCAGCAAGTCCATAGGACACACCTTATATTTTGCATATTGTGCAATATGGTCAAGCGCTGTTATGTGCAACTTGAACTTGCCACTTTTACTGAATTTTCCGAAGCAAGTGCCAACGCTGACGAAGTTTGGCCGAGCGACCGATATGCTCATGCGCATCGACGATTCTGAGACATAGTAGACCCTATCTTTATGCAGTCTGAAACAATATGGCTCATCCTTGCGGTCGATGAGGTGGATGAGGTTCTTTCCCTAATTTTTATAGGGTCAGTGAAGAAGGGGTATCAAAACAGAGGCAATTATACGCACGATGTAGTTTGCAAGTTTTGTGAAAACTGCTTTGCTCTCGTCTTCTGTGAGGGGACGCATTGCAAAAATTGAAGTTACTTGGGGTAGATGAGGCTAGAGTGACAGTTTGCAATGAAATTGACTGTGAAATAAATAGATTTCCGAGTAACGAGGTGAGGGGCAAGTTTCGATTTCTCATCGGGAATGTCCGAAAGCACAGCTTACTTAAACAGATCTATGTTAACGGTTAGATCAAGTTCGGGACCAATTTGAGAACACCGTGATTAGTACCTAGCTCCTTGCACACCACGAGACACAAAGATTGGCCCAGCTGACTCGACTACAACGACCGAATTGTTCGATGCTCCTGCCTTGAGGTCCATTCGAAATGTCCACACCCTCATTTTCGTCATTTCCACCCTCGTTCGCCTCGTTTCCAGACCTTGACCCTGGTCCGAGTAGGAATACCCTGGACCGGACGCGAAATGAAAGCTCCACAGACGCTCGGGAGAAAGATAGCATGGTTAAAAAGGATAACAGCCGACGTGGCAGCAAGAAGTTGGCAGACAAGTCTCGAAAAGACAAAAAGCATAAGACGGCGAAGCACGACCTTGAGCCGGTGCTTCCCAGGCAACACGAACATACATGGAAGGGAGTGAGTATATCGGATGATGAAAAAATCAAGGCCGAGGAGGATAGACGTCTCGCTGAGAGTGATACTCAAGAAAGTCAATGGGATTCTCGCCCAGTATTTTTCTCTGATCGGAAAGGTGACCAACTAAATGTTACCTACGGCGGTATTCACGCTGGAAATGTTCCCAAGTACCATATTGTAAACCGTAAGTCATCTCTCGGATGCCCGGTTGATGTCTAAATGATGTACAAGGTGGCAGAAGTATTCTTGGTCTTGATGGGGACTGGACTATCTATCGCGGAAGCAAGGGTATAGAGATAAACATAGGAAGGAGGCATAAGGTACCGTAGTCCTACGTCAAAGGTATCCACGAATGACCTTGTTTCTAGCAACCCGCCCTGACCGACTCGAGCGTGACAACATTGTTGGCAGCACCCCCGTCTCGACGCATCATTGGATCCGGGGATAGTTACAAATATGAAGAAGTTGACGGTTTCTTGCGACTGCCCTCCGACCATGGTCACAAAGCTGCCGAAAACTATCGTTCTATAACCAGGCAGCAAGAACACCTTGATTCAGACTCTCAGTCGTCTACTCCAGATGACAGCTCGGGTGATGAGTCAGGACCCATTCTCACATCACATCAGTTATCTTTGAAGACACTCGAGCAGCAGTTAGCTGCCGATCCATCTTCAGTCGAGACATGGTTGTCACTCGTGAGACACTCATTGTCTAACATCCCCATCACCTCGAAAAACGCGACCAAAGCTCGGGCAGAGATAACGCTTGCTATTCTTACCCGTGCTCGTGCTTCCCATCCACACAACCGGTCATCTCGCATTCTATTCCTGAATCTCCTAAGGGCAGGAGAGGAAGTTTGGCACAAAAGTAAAACCAAGGCCGAGTGGGAGGAAGCCCTCAAACTTGGCGGAATTGAAATTTGGATGGAATGGCTTGAATGGCGCATTCGTACCGCTGCCGGTGGAGCTGACACGTCAATCATGGATGCGATGCGCATCTTAAGCGCTCTCGGTAGCTCTGAAAGCTGTGAAATTGATAAACTACGAGTCGTATGGCGAGTTGCAGTCGCATTCCAACAAGCAGGTACGGAACTACTACCGCGTTGATTATCTGTATTCCTTATCGGTCTGTTTCAGGCTACTATGAACGTACTACAGCCTTATTCCAGGCACAAGCGGAACTGTGAGTTCTGTGGAATTCCACTTCGAATGAGTGCTATTTTCACACTTGCGATAGAATATTCGAGGTGCCCCAGCCATTGTACGGACTTCCCCTTGAATCGCAACTGGAATCCCTCGAAGAATTTTGGGAGTCCGAAGTACCGCGCATCGGGGAGCCTGGAGCGAAAGGTTGGGGTCATTGGATCTCATGCGGTAGACCTGAGAACTCTGGTTCCCCGTTGAAGGCGATTCCCCAGATGGACGTTGACATCCAATCGAAAGATCCGTATGTCCAATGGCATTACGATGAGTCGCGCGCCGATTGCACGTCGCGTGTGCCCGCCCGCTCCGTTGATACACGGAGCCAGTCTGACCCATACGCGACAGTTCTGCTTTCAGATATCAAGGCACTATTACTGCCCCTCCGCACAGAAGGTGCCAAGAATGCGTTCCGCCTAATCTGGTTATCTGTTCTAGGCTTGCATATTCCTGGCCTTGCGGAAACGCTATCGCAGGGATCTTGGGATGATCGATGGTCATTCACTTACCTCTGTTCTTTCTCGCGGTTGGACACGATTTTTCCTGCTACTGCAGGACAGCGGCAGTTGATCGCTGACTCTCATGCTGGGACGCTCATAGGCAGAGAACGAGAATTTTCTAGTTCATTCGGTCCGATCAAAGAGTGGAGTCGCGATACCCTCGGACCGTTGGAGTGGGTAGGCCAAGAGAAGTGGCGCATGTGGACTGCCGTAGATCTGCAAGGGATCGACCAGGATTTCGTACGAGCTGTATTCAAGCAGCTCAGGTGCGGTAGTGAGGACCATGAGTGGGACATTTATGCATTAGCATTTGAGGCAGCTCTTAATATCAAAAGGTGCGATCCGTGTCTCTATGTGTGCGCCAATAGCACTCATGCTGGTGCTCTAGTGCTCTGAAGCTCTCGCGGTCGTTTTTATCGACAGCACGAGATTCTCTACCACACTGGGCAACCCACGCACGTCTTGAGCGCTTGCGCGAGCAGGTGGGTGATGCCCGTAAGGTCTATCAAACGGTACTTGTAGCCTCTCAGCACCCACCTACCGAGCCTTTCGTTGGTCGGTTATGGTGGGATTGGGCTGAAATGGAATGGCTCAGTGGTGACCAGAATGCGGTACTACGTGTTATCCAGCGCTCAGTCAACATCGAGGGTGCAGGTGGCATGATGATTCTTCGTGTAAAACGCACTCTCGATGATACGATTAGCTGCGCTCACGAGCAGTGGAAGGACCGAGAGGGTTGGATAAAACTGCGAGCCTTGATCGAGCTGCTTACCTCCTCATCTCAAGATGGGGCACTCAAGATATTTGACTCTCAGCCGAGCGTTAATGAGAGCTCTGAATCAAGAGAGAGCATGATGGTGGCATCTCTTATACTATTGTACAATCATTCGGTCGTGCTACGAAGTCCTACTCCACCAACTGTCCTGAGGGATCGACTGCAGATTGCTGTCAACACTTACCCGGACAATAGCCTGGTGTTGGGAATGTTTCTAGAGGCTGAGAAGGGGTATGGTATCTGGGGTCGTGTACGGGCACAACTTGGACAAAGCACAGCTGATGGAGGCCCAAGGGAAAAGAGCATTTCACGGCGTATCGCAGAAGTATGGGTTGCTGGATGGGAGAAAGGGCGATGGCAGAGTGAGATCGAACGGACGAGGAGCGGACTTACCGCGGCTGCGGAGAGTGAGAGGTATGTGCAATTATCCTTTTCCGGCTATCATGGGTTGACATTATTTTTCAGGACGACGGGAAGCGCTATTTTATGGCGTGTCATTTTGGAATTTGAGATTCGGGTCGAGGAATTGCAAAGGGCGAAGAAACTGCTTTACAGAGCAGTGAATGAATGTCCGCTTGCCAAAGGTAAGTATACTGGGATGCTGATCAAACTATAAGCTAAAATTGATATGCAGATTTATACATGGTGGCTTTTGGGCCACTGCGTTCTATGTTTAGTGCTCGGGAGCTTGATGGATTCGTGGACATTATGGCGGAAAGGGGTATTCGGATGAGGAAAGGTGTTGATGAATACGTTGAAAGGATGACTGACGGAGATGAAAGCGGTTCTGATAGCGAAGATCTGGATGGTTCCGAGGATGAGATCGAACACGAGGCGAGGCAGAGGCGGCTACTAATGCCTTACTAGCTAATTCTAGTGTACTATTCCCGGTGTGCAAATAAACCAAGACCTTGATATTGTTTTGGTTTATTTGTGACGAGAACTCCCCATTGCATGACAAATAGTTACAAACATTCTCCCTCGCCTTCGTCGGTTTTCGTTAAACGCCAGGTACTGACCAGTTATCGTCACCCAAGGCCATTGTTCGTTCATACGTCGCGTATGTGAATATCACCCGTCCAAATCATCTGGCCGGTATATCTTCTAATCGCCCTTCTCTCCAATTACGCTCCCTACCATTAAACATCACTGACCTTCTACTTCGCCGGCCCCGTACGGGGCTCTATAGTTTATTTACAACAAATACTGTAATCCAACATGTCCACCATTCCAGCTCCCTTACTACCGCTCGCTCGTGAAGAGTGGCCAGATGCAGACTTCGATCTACCAGATGGCGACCATATCCGTTCTCTCGACGTCGAATCCGACAAGGATGATGATGATGATGATGAAGCTATGGATTGGGATATTGAAATGGACCTCGGGAAAACTGGCGGCGCAAAGGCAAAGGCCGTCGTCGCTAGCATGGCTGCCAGGTCACACTTCTCAAGGATTGTCTCTGGCAACATGATCACAATCCGTCCCCCACTCACTTGTCAGGAGGAAGAAGATGAAGAGGAAGATGAAGGTGTGTCCACTATAAAGGTCGCTGCTCTTCAAATGGCTGTTGCCAAGCCCCTTCCTTCTCCCATCGACGAGGACATCGAATCTGCCTTCGCACTTCCTTCAGACCTCACACAATTGTCCCTCGCACCTCTCTCGCTTAGCCATCGCTCTTCGAAGAACTCCTTGGAATGGGGTGATCATACTTCATCATCTCAATCCTCTGATGCATATTCCTCCCTTGGACTCGCCGATGCTTCCTCGTCATCAAACTCTGTATCCTCCCTTTCCTTACACGAAACAGAAGAAAGTGAATGCGATGAAAACGAGAGCGAGCTTGAGGGATTAGTCGTTCCCTCCGGCCTCTTCGAGTCCAGCCAGGGCGCAAAGCATCTCAAAAAGATGCTCGAACTCAAGAAACAGGCCCTGATAACTGATCCACGTATAAAGGTTGCCAGCCCCGACCCCGAGGATGACTTTGAAACGGGTCTCCTTATCGAAGATGATGACGATTTCAGCCCAAGCAGGCTCGTCAACACAAAGCAGAATCAGCGCTACAATCGTAGCAAAAGCGCTCCTGCTCGCGCACTCTTGCCCATACGTCCGCCCTCAAGGATGAGGGTCGACAGGGCAAAGTCGCCTGTCAATCCTCCTATATCATCTGCCCGTCAGTTACAGCGCATTAAGCTTTCGTCTTCACCCCCACCCCGCCCATTGTGTACACGTGCTCTCACTTATAAGGAAGCACTTTCCGCCGCCCCTCCTCCTCCAACAAACACCTTTTTATCCCCTAAACCTGGCAGTCTCCGAGGACAAAAGTCGCATTCTGGCCTTAAACCCCCTACCCCTCCCTCGACACAACGCAAGGGGCTTACCCGCAAAGCCTCTTTGTCTTCCTTAATGGAATGCAGCACCTCTCAGGCATCAGGCTCTGGTATCGTTGTTACTGCAGGTCCATCATCAGGTAAACTCGCACGCTACGAGGCACCCACAGCTGCCTCACGCGCAAAGTCACACACGAGCTCAGCCAGTCGTATCCACGGCCTCGACTTTATCGTGCCACCCACGAGGCCATCCACCCCTTCTTCAAATCCTGCAGCACTGCGCTTGACTATGCCAACTTCAATGCGTATGAAGTCGCGACCTGCCCTGTCCTCTGTCTTTCCCGGACCTGCCACTGTCACTACCCTCCCTACACCTCAGCCTTCACATCGCGCGACATCACCCATACCACCTCGCCCTCCTTCAACAATATCATTACGTAGTCGTGCTCATCAGACGCAGACACCACTCGTACCTTCGACATCAGCTCCTAAACTTCTGCGCCGACCAAAGCGACAACGCACATACGGTGACGGCACTGAACTAGACGCCTTTGATGACCTCCCGACGGATCGAGATAAGGAGGGAAGATTTAGGGTACAACCTAAGGCGACAAATCGTGGGTCTGTTGCCAACTTGTCAAAATCTTCCGACAAGGAGAAAGATAAGGAGACAGGTACGATGCGCAAGAAGGGAAGAAAGGATGTCACTAGTCCAGGCAAGAACACGTGTATTTGTGTGCTCGCCCTCCTCATATATCTTCCTATTATAGATGTCTCTGGCGCACTTGCACCCGCCACCAACACCTTGAGGCGCACGGGTCGCATTGAGTTCTCAAAGGCTTCTGGCACCGAGATTTCCATAAAGAAGAAGAAAGATGCCTCATCGCCTGTACTTGGTCACACAAGGAGAAAACCTACCCTGATCCGCCACCTCGGCAGTGCAAGCGGACCAAAAGGTACGATAGTCTTAGTAACTCCTAATTTGATGTTCATGGGAACGTCAACACAGTCGTGGGTGAGATGAAATGGAATCCGACAACCCTCCGTTGGGAAGGAAATGATCAAGTGCTCCGTGATTTCGATACAGTCGTCGGAACTTCCACACGCCCTGCGTTGATTACACACCTCACCGGGTCATCCATTGGATCCCCAGTAGGTTCCTTTGCCGCCGGTGCTCGCAAGGTCGGCAACATGATCTTCGACCCCACACGGATGTGTTGGGTGTCAACATTACCTCCCGATGAAGAAGAACCAGATGTCTTCGCCGATCTCGCAGATGACGAGGACGATGAAGATGCGTGGGAAGCTAAGGGAGGCACAATCCGTGCCAGCCAAGGATGCGCCAATGGCGCCATGTCAGATACAAGCTGCTCGACAAATTCAGCTATCATCATCACCGCCCCCAGTCCAGCACGCAGTCGAATACGGACAAATTCCGAGTCGGAAAGCGATCGTGGTTCAAGGGCATCCATTGTTTATGACGTGGCTGATAATTTCGTGGAAATATGTCGTGCTGCAGAAGAAAGACACAGGCAAGAAATCAAAGGATGGCGAACGTCACGGCAGACGGATCCTTTTGGTTCGCCTGATCGACGAGAACTGTATGAAATCCGTGCCCTGGCTACCCGGAAGTATTGATATTATTTTCGTACCTTATGCTGTTCCCCAGCTGTTCCCCAGTCTCCCCTGATCGAACTGCACGACGACCTCATGCATGTCTTTGATTCGCATATCCTTTTCCGGAGTTTTCTCAGATTTGCCGTACAAAATTATTGGATTTGTTCCATGCCACTCCCTGGATCGTTTGTGTATTGTCGATTCGATTCGTCTTTGTTCGCCTATCTTATTACTTTTGCTTGATTCTTTTATCGTCGCTCGTTTGATTTTCCTTTACGTTTCGTCTTGACTCAATGTGTATGGGATAATATGGAATACGCTGTTCAAATACATTGTGAATAGGTCGGCAATAAATTAGGTTCGAACATAAGCCGCTCTCCAACTTTAGCCACTGCCATTCCATGTCAACTGACAACGAATGTCCTCTACGACTGGGGAGAGTATTCCTGTGGGCACTGGACATATCACCTGTGATTTACATTCATCAACTGTCGTCTTTTCGAAGCTCTCGTCTTCATATCCGCTCAAGCTCTTATCGCCCAGAGTTGCAGAACATGGGGTTGCTATAGTGTATGTGATGAGCTACGGTGGTGGTCTGGTTGGCGGTGACTGCATGCAACTTGTTGTTGAAGTAGGAAAAGAATGCAAACTCTTACTACTCTCACAGGTGCGATAGATGGTGTGTATCATATGAGAATGGTTATCTAAGACACGTCCGCCAGGGATCCACCAAAGTCTTCAAAACGCGTGCTGGAAACAGAGCATCCACGCGTTTTCGAACATCTTCCCAACCGACTCCAAGTAGTCTGAGTCTGCAAGCGGTCACAACTCAATCTATGGAAGTTACCATAGCTCCAGACAGCGCACTCTTCCTCCTACCCGACCCCGTGACGTGCTTCCGCTCTGCATCCTATACCCAAGCGCAAACATTCCATCTTGCCGGGAGTGCGTCAATTGTATTGCTAGACTGGGTTACCTCGGGCCGCAAGTCTATGGACGAGGAGTGGGATTTCCTCCGGTATTACAGCGTTAATGAAGTCTTCGTAGAAGGCCGCCGCGTCGCACGGGACGTTTTACTGCTAGATAACTCGTCCTACGATACCCAAACTGCGTCCGAATCCTGCTTATCGAATCCTACTACCCGCCCACCACCTCGGACGCTCAAAAATAGGCTTGCACCCTATTCATGCTATGCCATGCTTCTTCTTTACGGACCCCAGACGCATGGTGTCGTGACTGACTTGCAGGCAAAGTATCGCACTATTTCTATTTTCAAGCGTGCTACCCCGGAGAGGTTCCTTTGGTCCCTGACTCCCGTGGATGATGGCAAAGGCACGGTTGTAAGAGCTGCTGGGGTTGATACAGAGGACGTGAAGAATTGGTTCAAGGAGGTACTTAGGGGGCTGGAAGCTGTTGTTGGGATTAATGAATATCGCAAAGCGTTCCTTTGATGCCGCACAAGATGCTGTAGTCGGAATCCGACAGCCTGAGAAGGATATTCAAGTGCATGTATGCTCACATTCAGGATTACCCATGACCATGATAGCTGCCGGTTCCGAGCGCACTGTTATGCGATAAGACAGTTTGATACCTATGTTCATCATCCTCTTGTCTGATGTCGCATTCAGGATCTGTCGTGCCATCGACAACAGACAAGGCCGAGCTCTATGAGGCCCATGTCGACACTAGTCAAGTCAACGAAAGACGACTCCTTCGTAAGATCGACCTCCGAGTCGTGCCTTGGTTGGGACTTCTCTACTTTCTCAACTTTTTGGATCGGGGAAGTATAGGAAATGCGAAGGTGACGCTTTCTAGCTAGCTAACTAGTTGACCTTCAAGACTCTGACGCGTTTTCAGTTATACCACATGGAGACCGACTTGGGCATCACAGATAAGCAATACCTCATTGCACTTACTGCCTTCTTCTTTCCGTATGCATTACTTGAGGTAAGGGGAACATATGCGATGTTTGCCCGTTATATTGACCTTATGCAGCCTGCAAGCAATGTAATCCTCAGAAGAGTTCGACCCTCGATATGGCTTTCTTCAATGATGTTCGTTTGGGGAATTGTCATGGTATGTGTTAGAAGCTCTCTCACATCTTCGCAATGTAATCACTCCAGACAAGATGTGCCACGGATTTCTGCACAACTACGGAGGGCTCGTCAGTAAGTTTGGTATACTCTGAAAGCTGATCGCTGTCGGAACCAATATCTATTTCTAGCCTTGCGAGTACTGCTTGGAGTGGCAGAGGCCGGTTTATACCCCGGAATTGTATTTTATATCTCTTGGTATGTTGATGATCCATGTGCCTCAGAATCCCACTTCGCGGTGCTGATATCGCGCATGCAGCTGGTACAAGCGGTCCGAGCTTGGTACACGGGTGGCAGCATTCTTCACTTCTGCCACTATAGCGGGAGCATTCAGTGAGTACTACTTCCCAGTACATCTAAGGTTTTGTGAAACATCGTATGTTCGTAGGTGGTCTCCTGGCCGCTGCTATATCCAACATGAATGGTGTCGCAGGAAAGCCTGGCTGGTCTTGGATCTTCATTCTCGAAGGACTCTTCACCGTATTGTGTGCGGTTGCTTCATATTGGGTCGTCTCGAATTTCCCTGAGACAGCGGGGTTCCTGACCAAAGAAGAGAGTATGTGGTAAAAGATCTCCAAAACACTTACTCGACACTGACACAGTGAACGCAGGGGTTTTCGTCATTAGACGTTTGAGAGACGACATGCAGTTCAGCGCTGGCGGCGAGGCATTCAAAGCCCGATATATTTGGCAAAGCCTTAGGGACTGGAAACCCTACTTAGCAAGTACGTGCATTCATGTCATTGTTGTCAGTGTTACTGAGTGGACATAGTGGGTATATGTATGGGATAGTTAGTTCAAAGAGTCATAACCCCATGATTGCTCTAATACGTCCTCAGTAATGGTCCATTATTTGCGTTTTCCTTATTCACCCCGACAATCATCGACGAGGTTCGTAAATTATCCACAGGTTCAAATATTATCTCTCATGTTCCTTCCCTTACTGCTGAAACTGGCAGCTTGGTGAGTGCTGTCAATGTTTATCCTGCTAAAGTGCTTGACCATCGTACCAGGTTACACAGCGACAACAGCGAACCTGCTTTCCGTACCTGTATACATCTGGTCATGCATAGTGACCGTGATTGTGGGATTAGTCGGTGACCGCCTCGGGAAGAGAGGATACATCAATTTGTGCGCAACATCATTTTTAAATAACTTTCGAGTCTCACTGGCATGTACACGGTAGAATTCTATTCGGAACGGGTAAGTGTTTTTAGCTTTCCATGACGAAACATAGGCTATAGATCTTCCAGGTCTGGTTGGTTATACCATACTAATCACATCCAGGACTCCAGCATTGTCTTATTTTGCATGCTTCCTAGCTTCATCGTAAGTCTCACGAGATGTACTCTGACTTGAATACTAGCTTGAACATCTTATCCTCAGCGCTATATATCCTACAGCCCGTATGTGTTAATTTTCTTTTGCACTCAGATAGCATGGAACTGACGCAGCCATGAAACAGCGAACTCGGTGTCCGTTACTTGGTTTATTCTTACTTCTCTTACTGACCGTACTTCAGGGCATGGGTGGCAAACAACGTCGAGGGCTCATATAAACGAGGTGTCACACTAGCCATGGCTATCGGGTGGTACGTCGATCCTTACATTAACCAGGCAGTGTAATTGACACCAATAAAGGGGAAATTTGAACGGAGCTGTTTCCTCGAACGTTGTCAGTCCGCAAAACTAGCTCAAACTAACTGCCAGCTTATATTGGCCCGTAGTATCGTGCACAGGATGCACCTTGGTATAGGCTTGGCCATGGCATCATTCTTGCCTACATTGCAATTGGTTGGTTATGTTCAGCAGCATTCATGTTCCTGTTGCGTAGGGAGAATAAGCGAAGGGACAGAGGAGAGCGCGATGAGGTGATCGGCAGCGACAACTCTGGGGAGGATATGAGCGAGTTAGCCTTGAAGAATGGGCGATTTGAGACAATTGACGATGCACGACGCGAGAAGGGTGATGAGTGGAGTCAATTCCGATATACCCTTTAGATATTATTTAGTACTTAGTACGCATCGAGAACGGTAAGTAGAAGGGTAACACGAGCGTCACGTGTAATTGAAAATACAAAACATATATGTGGTTGCCGTCTAGAACCCGAGTCGTAGTGAAATAAAATCCAGTGTATCAGTGCAAGAGAAGGAACTACCATTTGTAGTCTTCTGTTTTCGTCGACGTGGCAACTGGTGCAGGGGCTGGATCTACAACACTCTGGGGGGCTTCTTCAATCGGTGCTGGAGCGCTGCGCTCATGACCGCGGTTATCATCTAGCCACTTGTCCATATCGTCGGATTTATTGGCGAATGGGCGTTTACCCAAGAGGTCAATCATATCCTCACTATACAAACAATCATCAGCTTAAGGCAGCCGAAATGGACACTGCGTAACATACCGTGTAATGACTTCCTTCTTCAGTAGAAGTTGGGCGACCTTCTCTACGTTCTCCCGGTGGAGTGTCAGAAGCTCAGTGGTCCGCTGATGTGCTCCACTGAAATATTATTATTAGCTGATGTTGCAGAGATCACACGAATCCACCTACATGATCATTTTCCGCACCTCGAAATCCAACATTTCGCTCGTCTTCTCACTGAATGGTTTCGTCCAACTTTCCTTCTGGCTCTCACGACCACCATAACTGACGGGACCAATGATAGTATTCATGCCGTAGTTTGCGCAAGCTTCAAATGCCATGCGAGTGATCTTTTGGAGATCATCCTGAGCACCTGTCGTGATATTTTCAGGGCCGAAGAAAATCTCCTCTGATACACGGCCGCCGAGGGTCATGCATATTCGGTCCAACATTTGCGGAGTGGAGAGCAGGTAGCGGTCTGGAGGAAGGTACTGCACAGAAAATCATTATTTATGAGAGACTGTCAAAGAATATCTGTACTCACTTGCGCATACCCCAAGGCCCCAACGCCACGAGGGATAATGCTTACTTTGAGGAGCGGGTCGGCATGTTCGAGGAACCAGCCGCAGACAGCGTGACCAGCCTCATGATAAGCAACGGTTTTCTTCTCCTCCGAACTAAGAACTCTGCTCTTGCGCTCCAGACCCGCGATAACACGCTCAATTGCGCTCTCAAAGTCATCCACCTTGACGGACTCGTGACCCTTGCGTGCGGCATGAAGAGCAGCTTCATTACAGACGTTCGCGATGTCTGCTCCTGAGAAACCTGGGGTAAGAACGGCAAGTTTCTGGGCAAGTTTGTCTGTATCGAGCTCCTGTGCTAGTCGGAGTGGTCCGAGGTGCACCTTAAAGATCCCATTGCGGCCGGAGACATCTGGACGGTCAATGGCTATGTGACGGTCAAAACGTCCAGGACGCATAAGAGCGGGATCCAGAACATCTGGACGATTGGTGCCCGCGAGTACTACAACGTGCTCCTGGGTTCCAAAACCGTCCATCTCCACCAATAACTGATTGAGGGTCGACTCCCGCTCGTCATTTCCACCGAAGCTACTTCCTTTGCCTCTGGCCTTCCCAATGGCATCAATTTCATCAATAAAAATAATGCAAGGTGCGTTCTTCTTTGCTGACGCGAACAGATCACGGACGCGGGAGGAACCGACACCAACGAACATCTCGACGAACTCCGAACCAGACACAGACAGGAAGGGGACAGAGGCCTCGCCAGCAGTCGCTTTTGCTAGCAAGGTTTTTCCTGTTCCTGGTGGTCCCGATAAGATAGCTCCGCGAGGTATCTTTGCACCAAGCTTCTCAAATCTGGCGGGCTCCTTCAAAAACTTCACAAATTCCACGATCTCTTCCTTTGCTTCGTCCATACCCGCAACATCCTTGAACTTGACTTTGACATCTGTGTCCTTGTTGAAAAGCTTGGCTTTGCTCTTTCCAATGCTGAAGATGCCACCTGGTCCACCACCTGCACCACCTCCAGCTCGTCGCGACATGTACAGAAGGAGACCGGCGAAAAGGATAGTGGGAGCGAAGTTAAGAATGGTATTGAAGGTAGATATCTCGTCATGGTAGGCGACTGGTATCCGCTCGTGAGGAGGTATACCAAGCTCTGCCTGAGCCTCGTCAAGCTTCCGTTCAAAAGCCTCGACGCTGCCTATTGAGAAATAGTAATCTCCACCGAGAGATGCTGTGGGGTACATCGCGCCGGTGGCATTGGAGTGTAATTTGACGCGGACTTTCTGCCGGTTGATAACGATGAGCTTGTCAACTAGAGCTTTATCGAGGAATGCGGTGCGGAACTCCTGCCAGGTAATTTCTCGTGAGCCCGAAGATGAAGAATTGGTTAGAGCGTAGAAGATAGCAGCGGATGTGGCGAGGAGAGCAAGTTGGTTGACGTTAAATCCATTATTAGGATTATTACCGCCCGGTGGTGGTGGTGGTGATTTCTGTCTTGGAGTCTCGTCTTCGTCGGAGGACTGACGAGACCAAGTCTGCTGCTGATATCGCTTGAAAAAGCCCTCGAGACCCTTCGGGATTTCTGGACCTCCATCTCCAGATT